AGAGTACTCCCTAAAGTTTTTCTCCTCTGATCTACCTGTGTACACTTGAATATTCTCTGATTTTTATAAAAATAACGAATATGGCCAAATAAAAAGCGGTAAAACAAGAATTAAAGGCAATATTTCGAAAAAAGTGCAATTAAAAATAGGGAAGGAAGTTAAGATATGGGGGGGTAAAGGACACTTTCGAAAAGTGTCCTTTTTCTTCTTATCTACTTCTTATCTCGGCCGCATTTGGATCTTTTTTGAGCATTACCTTTTTCGTAAAATATCCGCATTCAATTTTAGTTTTACTGTTTTGAATACTGGAGAAATGGATGCCTCAGGGAAACCAAGAATATTTCAACCGAGATCTAGGGGATTTAGCTTTAGAGTACTCTCCTCCCTTTACATCTTCGGTAGATTTTCTCGCCACTCAATAAAACCACTCGCAATGGCTTATACTTCAAAAGATGCGCAAAAACCTTACTGAACGAATGGTATTTTGAAATCCCAGAACTATCTACTAGTTTCCTTGAGAAAAGGACTTAAAACTGAAATTCAGAAAGGGAAGACACCTCGAAAACAAAAAAACGAGAACGAAAATAGGAGAAAGATCACAATAAAAAATCAAGAAATATTCAATCAAATAATGAATACCAATTTTTAGAGAGCAATCTGTCAGCCAATTTGATAAATTGTCGGACAAATATAGGAAAGTGGCACTCGCTGATATGAAAGAAAGAATCGAAAAGTGCCATTCAATTAACGGACTGAAATACCCACTAATTTTTACTAACCAAATTTAATTTGAGTATATAAAGGAAAGGAGAATTAATTGAGCAGTGATTTATATAGTCACTAAATATTCCAAAGAGATATTCCATTAATTAGGAGAATATTAATTTTTAGACAATTTATTACGCGGTATATAACGAAAAGTGAACATTTTCGCCACAAAGAGTATTGTTTCGCCCAATCTCTAGCAAACTTGTTTTGTGTTGTACGTAAGTTTTTGTTCGAACTACTTTTTACTTCTTTTACTTCCAACTAAACATTCTTAGGAAAACTGCATAGACACGCTTAAACAAGTCCTCTAAAAACTGAGTAATATCATGGCACTAATCGATTGCACAACATTGCCCGATTGCCGCCAAGAGTGCACCGCGCTTTTTTGGGCGTAAAAGCCGGAAAAGTCTTGGGAAAAACCTTCGTCGTTTCTTGATCAACCAGATTCGACCGTTTTTAAGCGTTTACACAAAAAATTCTTTTTTTAACATTAATGCATTAGATTTTCTTTATTGCCTTCTGTAATCTAAGATTTTGCACTCGTAACCGTCAATTTCTTAGCTTCACGTTCGGTGAGCGATGGAAAGTGGTGGGCAATCGGTCGAAAACAGCGCAGAACAGAATCATCTTGAACGATTGGGTAAATTCCACTATTAAAATCATGCTAGCAATTGGATCCTCAAACGCCTTTTACAAAGTTTGGATTTCGGGTTTCGTTTCCAACACAAACGCGACACCATTTATTCCGAAATCGCAGCCGGAAGAGGAACGCCACCAAGGATTAATTTCGACGGATCGGAAGGCCGATCGCCCAACGTGAGACAGCCCAAAGACACTCGTCAAGAAATCTCACAGCATGCTGAAGGACGCCTCAGAGAAGGTTAATTTTGTTTTAAGACATGAGGAGCTTAAGTATTATCTTTTCAAAATTGCACATTTTTAGGTAATGCAAATCTGCAAACCCGTCGAGATGTTCTTGCACAGTCAACTCCGCCCAGTGAATCGTCAAAGGTACAAGGAGCGACCTAATGCAGGTAAATTCGCAATTGGTTTTGATTTTTTTTGTTTGCCTTTAGAAAATCTTCCAGCCACGCAAGCAAAGGCAACGCAATATCCTGTGACCAAACCACCGCCGGCTAGCAAGAAGCAATCAACGTAATGACTTGCAACCTACCGATCAACTGAAGGGTTTGCATACGAATATTTTGCTTTTATTGAGAGTAGCCTGTTGCTAAGCGAATCTCGAACAATGTCGGAACCAAAGAGGAGGAACAGGCCAAAGAAAAAGACAAACCCAACAACAATACAGGAATTCAAGAACAAAGCTCAGAAGGTATGAACTGATCGTTAATTTTGAACTAAGTCTTGTTAAGGCACAACTACTCGCCAACGCGGCACTTCAAATCGACAGACGCCAAGAACAAACCCTCGTGGTGGAAGAGGGGAAAAGCAACTCCAGGAAGTTATGGGCGACAAAATGACCATGGAACAGAATTCGAGTAGGACGAGTTTTGAGGACGCTTCTCTCCCAAAAAGTTCAGGTTAGCTTGTTTTGTGATTTAATATTTTGAGATTGGATTCTGGCAATCGTCGCCAGCTGCCAGTTCCGCACGGGGAAAGCCAGCAATTCCGAATCGTGGTCATCCAAATCAAAGCAACGGAGGATGGACAGACGACGCCGTCGCAGTGACAATTTTGGTCCCGATGTTGCACTAGCGTGGTACTATAGTATTCATCAACAAGTTTAAAGCTAAAACGCTTTTGGATCGATTGACTCTTCAATTGGAGCGCGATGGATATAGGGTGCACTATCTGCAGTAATATCATTCGGACCCATCATGTAAGAGTTTCTAAATTTCTTAAACGTTTTCAATGAAGGCGTATTTGGTCTTGCAATCAATGTTATCACCTGCTTCATTTGGCATGTACGAAAAGGTAGGCCTCGACTGATGGAGAAGAACGGCCAGATATTTCTTGGAGATGCCCAACATGTAACTCGATTCGAATCAACGTTTCCCAGATACTTATTTCTGTTTCTGGCTGGAAAAACGAAGATCCACCTGCAAATCGGTCTGATTAACATTGAACTCGAAAATATTCATTTATAAATTCAGTGACGAGCTTCCTCATTCGTGCGGTGGAACTGTGCAAAAATCGTGGACCTACCAGTCGTCATCCTTGCACTGACGTCTCGTCATCCTGGTCCACCGTTCAGGTGTCCGGTAATTCTTAAACATACCGTCAATACTGAAATGAATCATTTAGGTACAAGTGACAAGAAAGTGTCTTGTAGACTTACTGGGAAATGGCTGTCGGACGGGACGGCAACGCAGAAGAAAGGTAATGAGTTGTTTGTTTTTGTTAAATTATAGGAATTGAGTGCGACACGGTTTCCGCGACAAGCAGCTGAATTGTGGGATTCACGTTTGTCAGAGTATCTGCCACGCAGGAGCCTGTGAACCATGCCGTGTTGAGGTAGTAGCAAGTACTTGGCTTAGTTTTTTGACAAGATCCGGAACTTGTGGGCTGTCATTGTGGCGGCAAAGAGGAGGAACAATTTTACGGTCGGGAAGCTGCTTTCTCGTGCAATAACAAATGTAAAGGAGTTTATGATTGTGGTGTTCATAACCTGCAAGCGACTGTAAGTTTTAAAATTTTGTTTTGCTATATCTCCTTGTAATTGAGCTGCCATTCGAAAGTTGGCGGGCCCTCCCAATGGTTGTGGATCGTGCCTTGACAGCCCAGAAAGGATCATCAACTGTTCATATGGAAAAATCGTCAATCAAATCGCTTTTAAAGGTTGGAAATACAAAGTTGCAAAAATTTGAAACATTTATATAGGGTGGTCAACGCAACCTGCTCAGATCCGATTCCAACATGTAAAGCTGTATGTGGGAAAATTTTGCATTGTCAATCAAAGGTGGTATTAATGAAAGCAAAATTAAATGAATAATTTTTAGGAGTTCACCATCGCTGTCAATCCCTTTGCCATAATGGGGAATGTCCACCCTGTTCGTTGAAAACTGAGCTAAACTGCAAATGCCAACGATCTACAAGAGTGTCCCATGCAAGGAGTTTATGCCAGATGGTCAGTAAATTTTCCCTTTCAATAAAAATCTGTTTAGAAGTTTTCGAATGTGATCGCGTGTGTAAGAAAGTGAAATCGTGTGGATTGCATAAGTGCCAAAAGAAATGTTGCCAAGAGGATCAGCATATTTGTATGCAGGTGGGAATTTTAATCACTAGTCTCACTAGTTAGGAATGTGTTCATTTAGATATGTGACAAAATGCTAAACTGCGGTAAGCACCGATGTGAACGTTTGTGCCATCCCGGTCAATGTTCTCCTTGTACACATGCAAGTATAGTTAAACTGTTTATACCTTTGTTAACATTTGCTACAGGTTTTGATGAAGAGTTTTGTTTGTGTCCGTGAACCGTATACTATCCACCTATCAAATGTGGAGATCAACTGGCAGAGTGCACTTATCCGTGTCGAAGGTTAATTTATTTGTTTTTGATAAAAACGGTCAAAATGTTTAGGGAACATGCTTGTAACCACGAAGTTACGCACAATTGTCATCGAGAAGAAAATTGCCCACCTTGTATGGTCTTGACAAGTAAAATGTGTGCTGGGGGGCATGAGGTAAACCTGTCCAAATAATGTTTTTATCTATTCATCAATTTTTAGACGAGAAAGAATATTCCCTGTCATCTTGAGACAATTTCTTGTGGGCGCCCTTGTGGTAAAGCTCTACGATGTGGAATTCATGAATGTGATAAGCGATGTCACCGTGGTGAATGCGAAAAGGATGATGAAATTGTGATTAAGATTTATGGATGTTTTATAAAGCTTGTTTGTAGTAAAGGCCGTGCCCACAACCTCGCTCGGATTGTGAACACAAATGCGGATTGCCTTGCCATAGAAATTCTCAGTGTCCTGCATCGGATTGCAAGTAAGCACTGATTCTTTTGTTACTGTTTAAATAAAAAATGGGAACAGAATGTTTTATCAATATTTTTAGAGAAAAGATGACCGTTTTGTGTGAATGTGGACGAAGGAAAGAAGCTCTTCGTTGTGTTGATGTGTTGAAAAATGTGGAAAGACTGCGAGCGATTCGTGCCGAGGAGGAAGAAAATCGCAACGCAACGGCTGCTGGACCAATTAAAATTCTTCGTCGATCAGCAAGTATGGATCGTCTTAACAGGTGGTTTGCTGGTTCTTCCTTGTTTATATTATTTTACCTAATTTATTTGAAAAATTTTTAATTTAGTTTGCCTTGTGATAGTGAATGCAATCGTGTAGCCCGAATCAAATCGATGGCTGAAGCTCTTGACATTCAGGTTGATGACAATGGAGACCAACTTCAGGTACCTAATATCTTTAAATGCTTGGAAGTGCATTTTTCCCTTTAGTGTGCTCCAATTACATATTCGGAGTACTTGCGCTACGTGATGAAAAATCAAGCGGACTTTCTGATGTTGATCGAGAAAGCTTTTGTGGATCTAGTTCGTCGAGTGAATGAAGTAGTGGTTAACGTATATTTTTATGATAATGATTATTAAGGATTTGGGCGACAATGGTATATGTCACAACTTTAAGCCTATGCGAATTGAGGCTCGTCGGGCAGTGCACGAGTATGCTGTGTACTTTGGATTAAGTAAGTATTTTCATAAACTTTAGATTTCAATATAATTTTAGGCAGTGAGAGTGTGGACTCTGGCGCGCAAAGAAGTGTTGTTGTTACTGGAAAGAAGTACGTTTAGAGAGTTTACCACTCGTAACAAAAAATTTCTAGGTGCTCTGCACGTATTCCTACAGTAACTTTATCAGCTTACGCGGCTCGATTTCCAAAGAAGCTTCTCCAAACGGGCCCAATCAACATTAGCAGGTTTAATAAGCGTAAAAGTTTTTCTAAACCACTTTATTTTTAGTGAATGTGTTAACGCTATGATCAATGTCAAAGCGCCAACATTGACTTCGGAAGAACCTCAGATGAAGCCGGTAGCGATAAATTTTTAAAACCATCAAATAAGTTTTTTGCAGCTTGAAACAAAATTGAAAGCTGTCCGCCGTCGCCCACCTCCAACTTTGCAAACGACGGTGGTGCCGATCTCAATTGCTAATGCATTTTCGGCATTGGCCGAAGAAGACGAAGAGCAGCACGAGAAAAAGTATTTTCTATTATTTAAGTATAACTATTTAAATCTTCAGAACTTCAACGTTCGATCCATTTGCCGATGAGCCAATTGCGAAGTCACACGAAAGTGAAAAGGGGGCTTTTACACCGGAATCATCTCTGGTTTGCACCGAATCTTTTGGGTAATAGATTTTAAAGTTTAACTTTTCTAATCAAGCTTTAGTGCTCCAAATGCTCCCGATTCTTGGGAAGATGGTGAACAAGAAGTGTCCTCAGATGTTGAACAAAAAGTGCCTCCAGATGCTTCACTAGAGTAGATTTTGTAGGCCTAGGGTTTTTGTTTTTTCTTTGTATATTTGTGTATGGTTTTTGAAAGTTGGCTGTTCATTTGTTAATTGGCAACATTTTTTGTGATTCTTTATTGATCGGGTACAAAGTTGTTATAAAAAAATTTTGCCAATGAGGAAGATTTTTTAGACAAAACACTTCGTATGCACTTTGGACTGGAGCCGATTTATCCGCCCATTCATCGCTTTCACGTGCTAGTGAGGGCACTTTGAACCGGAAGGAAAACGACATGATAAAAGTGGATGTCATGAGGAATGGCGCTCGAAATCTTGTCTCTACATCTGATACAAGAATATGCAATTTAAAGATGGACTTCAGATTTCTAATTCGAGAGCTAAATTGATCACGTGGAAGATGCATCTCTTGTAGTCGTTATCGTGATCCCTATCGTGAGAATATCTAAACTTCTTGGAGGTCAAGTATCTTTTAATATTTCTATTTCTCGTGCTCTGTTCGCACTCATTTTTTTCAATTGATCCCTTGTCCGGCAACAATGAGAGTTCTCCAATTTCCCCCCTCAAAAATCACGTGTGAAACGGCCGCACCCACACACAAAAAAAAAGCACCTATCAAATCGTTTTCCTATCGGCTATTTATCAATCTTTTTTTGGTTTTTACCCCAATTCTTTTTTTTTTCTTCGAACCGTCTCCTAACGGGAAATAAGATTTATTGAAAAGAGAAAAGGAGAACCGTCTCGATTATTTATCCAAAAATCACCATCAATCAACTTTTTTCAGAGTGTTCAACGCCGCTTTAAGCAACGATGAGTCTCTTTGAGCTTCTCTTCTCTGAGAGAAGAAAAATGAACGGTGTTTGCAAAGTTGTGAAATTTTTGAAAGTCGATGCCAAAAAAAAAAACGATTTCTGAGACACTTCACGAAATCTATAGCCTTTAAATCGACATAGAATCGTCAATTTACAACGAATCAAGCGAATTCTTTTTTCAATAGATTCTCCATGAAAAATCCTATAAAATAAATATTAGGTTTATCAGGGAAAAGTTGAGTTTTGTGGGGTAAAATCGGGGTTGAAGTTGGTGGGACAGTTATGCGTTCTCTGTGCGTTCTCTTCATGTAGCTCGTAAGGAAAAACGGGGTCTGGCACACGGCCCTAGGTAAAGGTCGTGGGAAACCGATTCACTCGGTTTAATTACCCAAGTTTGTTCGCGAAATAGGGTTTGAGCCTGGTGGCCATTTCGCCTGTGTGTTCTTTTCGTGTCGCCCATGGGGAAAAACGGTGTCTGGCACACGGCCTATGGTAAAGACCGTCGGGAAGCCGCCATCCATCGGTTTAATTACCCAAGTTTGTCCACCAAAATGTGGTTTGACCTTGGTGGACGTTTCCCCTGCGCGTTCTTTTCATGTCGCTCGTAGGAAAAAACGTTGTCTGGCACACGGCCTAGGGTAAAGGCCATCGGAAACCCCACCAAGCTGGTTCAATTACCCAAGTTTGTCGACCAAAATATGGTTTGAGCTTGGTGGCCATTTCGCCTGTGTGTTCTTTTCGTGTCGCACATGGGGAAAAACGGTGTCTGGCACACGGCCTATGGTAAAGACCGTCGGGAAGCCGCCATCCATCGGTTTAATTACCCAAGTTTTAATTACCCAATTAATTTCGAGATGCCATTTTTTCTGCATAAAAGAACGCACAGAACTTGTCCCACTTTGTTTCTTTCTCTTTTTCTCTCGTTTTTAGACTTTTAAATATAGCTATAAAGAGCTTTAGCCGACTGATTTCAAATTTCGTCAGATTTCTCAGTTATTTTCAAATCCTCAGAAACGAATTTGTTTTAAAGTAAACCTAAAGAAACAAAGCGAAATCAGGCCATATCTGCAAATCTTGAAAACTCTTCAAAAAACGTTGATTGATAGCTAAAAAAGGGAGATTTCCCCCTTTCAAACCACGTGGTTTAACGAAAAATCGAACAAAAACTGAAACATTTCGTTGCTTTTTGACAAAAATTCGCCTGAAAAGAGTTTCTTAATATTTTTCGTTGCAAGAGAATTGCAGTCGTTAGGGGGAAAGGGGAAGGGAAAGGGGTTCGTTGGGGTTTGCTAGCTGATAATCAAGAGCTCAAGCTCTAGCTCTAGCTCTAGCTCTAGCTCTAGCTCTAGCTCTAGCTCTAGCTCTAGCTCTAGCTCAGGCTCCAGCTCTAGCTCTAGCTCTAGCTCTAGCTCTCGCTCAGGCTCCAGCTCTAGCTCAAGAAAGCTAAAACCCAAAAATGTATGCTCGATCTTTCTCCTCAAAGCTAAAGCTAACTTTTGTTGGCGCTGGGTTTCAGCGATAGTCGAGTGTCGAGTGTAAAGAGTGTTCTTTAGTCCTAGTCCTAGTCACAAGGCGGGTGTGTTCTCCCGAAAATTTTGAAGAGAAAAAAAACGATCAATGACAGGGCAGCTCTTTTTTCTCTCTCTCGCCAATGGTCAGCCGTTTTTTTTGGAGTTCATCCAAATGGGTTCAATTCTTTTAATTCTCCTCCAACTGTTGCTCGTTTTTCTCGTCTCTTTCCGGTTTTAATTAATTCCCGATTTCAGACTCTCAGACTCAACTTTTTTGAGGTTTTTTAGACTCCAGAACTTTGTCCAGGTTATTTTGAGATTTTGAGTTAAATTTCTTCGTAGTCTACAGTCTACAGTCTACAGCCTACAGTAATCCCTAAAGTCGTTTACTAGTGGCTACAGTGATCCCTAGCAGTAGGCGAGGTTGAATTTGGATTTGATATGACTCAATTCGATCGAGCCCTCGGGTGGCACCGGGAAACAGTGGCGGGAAACAGTACCAGCAGACGAGGTTGAATTTGGATCTGATCTGAGCCTGAGCATAGCAGCGGAAGAGCGGCCGACGAGCAGCCGACGAGGTTGAACTCGGATTTAATATGATTCAATTCGGATCTGATTTGAGCCTGAGCCTAAGCCTGAGCATACAAGAGCGGCGGAAATAGAAGCGCGGAAGACGAGCAGCAGACGAGGTCGAATCTGGATTTGAGCCTGAGCTCAAGCAAAGGAGCAGACGAGGCAGCGGATGGGCAGCGGATGGGCAGCGGATGGGCAGTGGATGGGCAGCGGATGGGCAGCGGACGAGTGGACAGAGAAGTTTGGGAAGGCCGAAGAGGCTGGGTATCTGTAAACGCCCTGTGCCAGAAAGTGCGCGATTGTGCGCGAGCACAAAGAACACCGGGTGTTTCGTTTCTTGACTTCAATTTTTGATCGATTCTCAGGAATAACGTTCCAGCAACGATAAGGATTCGATTTTGATCGATTTTGATGAGTGCAACGAGTTCTTTTCCGGGAAAAAGATGAGCAATTTGAGTGGTGAATTAAGGATTTTCAAAGAGAAACCTTTCCGAGTGCGTTCATTTCTCGATTCTCTCATCGATACTTTTCATGCGCTGTTTTTCGATGTTCTTTTTGAGATCATTTCTTTCTCTCTTTTCGTGAAATTCACGTGAATGAAATGAATCTATTAGCAATCTTTTCTTGATGTACTTTGCGCTTGAAAAGAGGAAACACACGATTTCTAGCACACTGAACTCTTCAATGAGAAAAGCTATGTGATTGTGAAGAGCCTGACGACAGAAAGGGCTCGTTTAAGAAGCTCAAGAAGCTTTAAGAAGCTTTAAGAAGCTTTAAGAAGCTTTAAGAAGCTTTAAGAAGCTCAAGAAGCTCTTTTAAAGCTCATGCTCACCATTTAAAGCTCACCAATGTGAATTCCAGGTGAATTCATCAGAATTTATGAAAAGATAAAGCATTTTCCTCACTAAATTGACCGCTTTTCTTAAATCCGTTGTGCCAGATCGCTTACGTTTGCGTATTTCAATCAGCTTGCAGCTTTCATTCAAAAGCCGTCAAAAAACGTTTAGAATGCGATTTCTGAATCAGTTTTATCTCAAAAAAACGTTAGAGAACTAAATCTAATGTAACATTAGTCTCAAAATCTAATATATTTGACCATTTCACTTAAAAAAATAGAAATTCCAGCTTGAAAAGATTGGCGAGGAGTCGAACCCGGATGGTATGTGGCTGTAGACGAGCCTACTACCGACTGCGCCATGGGGGCTCCGAGGAAACCGGAAAAAAAGCCTTTATAACTCGCTCTGGCAGTGTCGGAAGGCCGGGAGCGACTTTTTGTGGCTTTTTTTTCTAGCTTTCTCGTTGTCTTCATAGTGCAGTGGTTAGAACGCTTTTCTACCAACCACAAGGTCCGGGTTCGATCCCCCATGCTGCCATTCAATCTTGATTTTTTGATTTTAAATGGCAGAACTTTTTCACGATGACTCAAAATCTAGCTTCGTTTGTCTATTTCATTCAGCTTTTATTCTAGAGTGCTTAAAAACGTTTAGAATGGTTTCTGAATGAGTTTTCTAAAGAAAAAACGTTATTTATCGCGTCCTATATTTAGAGATTTATGATTATCTAAACGATTTTCGCAAAAACAACAGAATAAATGCCTCTAAAAGTTCGCTTTGCATGCGTCATCGCCATTTCTGTTCGTTCTTTCACGTGTTCCGCTTTTTTGATAGCAATATTTAGATAAAAAAAAGAAAAGTTCACAATTACTCTGATTTCCCTTTCAAAAGTGTTGGAGATGAGAATAATTGGAAAAAAAAAACGCGAAAGCTTTTATCACTTCAAGAAAATTGGCGCTCTTTTCTCAATTTTCTTACCAATTTTTGAGAAATCACAAGGGATTTTCGAAATTTCATTACTTCCGCTCAGCTTTTTCAATGAGTTTACCGTAGTTTATTTGAAGTTTAGAAATTTTGGGTGAATTCGGAAGGATTTCGGGGTAAAATAATGGCATTAAGGGAAGTGCTTTGTGTGTTCTTTTGTCGTCGTCCGTGTCGTCCAAAAAAATCGGCTTCTGGCAACTTGGGTAATTAAATCGGCTGCCTGGGGTTTCCGAAAGGGTTTACCCAGGCCCGGGTGCCAGAAATCGATTTTTCCAACGAGTGACGTCAAGGGTACGCACACTTGGGTAATTAAACCGGCCAAGAGGGCTTTCCGATGCCCTTACCGGGAGGCCGTGTGCCAGATGCCGTTTTTCCCTATGAGTAACGTCAAGGGTACGCACCATGGGGGAAGTGCTTTGTGCGTTCTTTTCAGTCGTCCGAAAAAATCGGCTTCTGGCAACTTGGGTAATTGAACCGGCCCAAGGGGGCTTTCCGAGCCCTTACCGGGAGGCCGTGTGCCAGATGCCGTCTTTACTTACCATTGACGTTAAGGGTACGCACATTTGGGTAATTAAACCGGCCGAGCCCCGACTTTCTGATGGTCTTTCTCTAGGCCCGTGTGCCAGACGCTGTTTTTTCCTTACGAGCAACATGAAAAGAACGCACAGAGAACGCACAAAGTGTCGCACCAACTTCAACCCCGATTTTACCCCACAAAACTCAACTTTTCCCTGATAAACCCAATATCTATTTTATAGGATTTTTCATGGAGAATCTATTGGAAAAAGAATTAAACGAATTCGTTGTGAATTGGTAATTTTATGAGCAAAAAAAGGGCGATGATGTGTCAGAGCCTAGTTCAGTGGTCTAGTTAATGATTGAACACTCTGGTGAATCAATTTTAAACATAGTTCAATGCCACAGCGGATCAAGGTACATTCGATCAGATATCTGCTGGAGGGGGGAAAGGATTAGAGGGCAAAATCCTGGAGGACTTGGCTCTAGTCTTTTTTGTGTGTGAGAGAGCGATGCACGTGAGTGCTGGGGGCTGGGCACGTGTCTTTTCAATGGGGGAAAGGGGGGAAAGGGAAAAGATCCGCCCCTCTCTTTCCCTCAACTCCACCCGGCCGACCAAATCCTTTCACAGTTGCTATTTTTTGGGCTTGTCTTTGGTCGACATTCAGTGTGTCTACAGCTTTTGGCTTTGGCTTTGGCTTTGGATTTGGATTTGGTTTGGCTCTAGCATTGGCTTTGGCTTTAGCTCTGGCTCTGGCTCTGGCTTTAGCTCTGGCTTTGGCTCTAGCCTTGGCTTTGGCTTTGACTCTGACTTTAAAAGCCTTTGTGTAAAGATTTATGGTTAAACTCGACTTTGAAATGTCCTGCTAGGTAAATTTAAATTTCAATCTCTATTAACATATTAAAACTTAATAGAATCCAAATCTAGTATCTTGTTTTCAAAAATTTTAAACTCAAAAAGTCACCACCGAGACTCGAACCCTCGACCATTCGGCCACCAACCAATCGTGCTAACCATTACACCACAAGGCAGTTGATCCTTCCCCCAGAAGAAGTTAACTTAATCCCTACTTCTCTTTAGAACGCAACCTTTCGCTTTTCTCAGGCGACGATTAAAACCCTTTTCATCCCCCAACATCAATGTGAGGGTTTAGCCTAGTGGATAAGCTCCTTGTATACAAAACCAACTAGGCATTTTTTGCTCGGGTTCGAGTCCTTGGCTTGCAAATTTCTTTCAAATTTTTGCTTTTTGCTAGCTGGGATGGTTTTCCTGGAGCTTTGGCTTTGATTTTGACTTTGACAAAAGCCAAGCCTCGCCAGCTGGTACTCTGAAATAGTTGATTGCCTTTTCACAACTCAAGGAAGATGAGAAGAAGATAAAGAAATCAGAGCTCAGGAAGGAATGGAGATCGAATGAACAGATTCTTGGTCGTTCATTGACTTTTAGAGTTGAGAGTCTCTAGAGAACTTGGGGGATCTCTTCGTTCACAGAACATCAACAAATAGAGCATCAATAGAGCATCGATAGAGCTTTTCCTCATTTCTCTAGAGTCGTTCTTTAGAGGCTGTCTGTCTGTTCTATTCCAGACATTCATCTACTTCTAGAGTTCTTCTAGAGTTCTTCTAGAGTTCTTCTAGAGTTCTCTTAAAGTTCTTTTACAGTTAACTTTCTTTTCTATGCCTTTTCATTGATTATATTAGTTTAATTTTTCTTTTTTAAGATCTTCTTTGATCTTTTGATATTGTAGCATCTTTTTAAAGAGCTTTTTAATATTTTAAAGGGCTTTTTGATCTTCTAAAGATCGTTTTAAAGAGCTTTTTGATCGTCTAAAGATCTTTTTAAAGAGCTTTTGATCTTTTTTGATCTTTTAAAGATCTTTTCAAGCTCTTTTTGATCGTCTAAAGATCTTTTAAAGCTCTTTTTTTGATTTTTTGATCTTCTCTTCATTTTCTTTACATCTTTTTAAAGAAAAAAACAAAAGAAAACTATAAAAACATTTCAGAAAAATGTCAATCTCATTTCATGTGAATCCGGAGTATGCAATGTTGTCTGAGATTGTGCCCGGATTGATGATTTGTGGAGTTTCGGCGTTGAATGCAGAGACAATGAAGTCGAATAAAGTCACGCATATCATCAATGCAACGACTGAGGTTTGAAATCAAAAAAGGAATCTCTAGACTCTAGACAACTCTAGACAACTCTAGACAACTCTAGACAACTCTAGACAACTCTAGACAACTCTAGACAACTCTAGACAACTCTAGACAACTCTAGACAACTCTAGACAACTTTTAAAAAGCCTTTCCATCTCTCATTCTCTAGGTGCCAAGTTTACGAAGTCTTGGCGATATCCAGAGGACAAAACTTTGGTTAGAGGACACTCCACAAACCTACATCTATCCACATCTCGAATTGCAAAGTGATCAGGTTTATATTTGAACGTTACTTAAAAAGACATTACTTATGATTTCAAATTTCTCCCTAGACTTCCTTAGACTTCCCTAGACTTCCCTAGACTTCCCTAGACTTCCCCAGACTTCCCTAGACTTCCTTAGACTTCCTTAGACTTCCCCGGACTTCCTTAGACTTCCTTAGACTTCCCCAGACTTCCTTAGACTTCCCTAGACTTCCCCAGACTACCCACAAAAAACTAGAAGCCCAAATTTCACTTAACTATCCAATTTTCTTACCCAAAAGTTTGCTGTATCAAAATTTCAACACCAACTAATAGATGTTAGACCACAGTTTAACTACAGTTTAACTACAGTTTAACTGTATCTAACCGATCCCATTCTTCTTCGACTTTTCATCAACTATTTCATCAACTATTTCATATCTATTTATCTCTATTTATTTATTTCCCATATGCACTTTGTTCTTTTGAAAGATTCCTGAAGAAAAGGCAAAGAAAAGGGAATTGTTGTCATAAACAAGAGCAAGGGGAAGTGTTGATTTGAGTGAACTGGGAGAGACAAGGAAAGTGCTTGAATTTCAATAGGAAATGTTGAATTTGAATTTTAGACTTATCGCTATCAGTTTTTTCCTTTCCTCGAGAATCTTTCGAAAGACCAAAGAACATACGCGAGATATAGTAAATGTAGAGAAAAGTGATCTTTATTCAAAAAAGTTATTTTAAATTCTGAATAGCCTTGATCTCATCATCCTGTATACTGAAAAGTGATCGAATTATCCATAAACTCAGTCAAATATCGTAGATTCTATTGCATCTCAAATCACAGATCCTCATCATCTTTCATAAGCGATCTATTCATCGGCTTAGAGTCATGAAAGAGATCTCTCGTTCACGTGATTCCCACAGAAATTTTCGAAAAGCGGAAAGGGCCCAATGGGAAATGAAAGGACTTTGCCCGGACGAGTTTTTCCTCTCTTTTCCCAGCTGGTCCCTTCTTTTCCCATTCCACCAAAAGATCAATGGCTTTAAGGGAACAAAAGGTTGTCAGTGTTCCTGTCCGATTGATTGCAAACCGTATACTTTGAGCTTAAAAATAAAAACACACTAAAGAGAGGACCTCTAGGTAGATTTTAGTTTTGAATCATATAGAAAATTCAAAATTTCAAAATTTCTCTATTTTCCCACTCTGATGTTGTTCTTGATGGATGTTTTCAGTCAACTTTTTCAAAGACAGATTTTTACGTGAGAAATGAAGGGAAAGATAAGATTGTTGAGTTGATCAAAGATTGGGGTATTGTTTTTGATTTATTTCGTTCAACTTTGCCAAAAGAGATCTTCTAATAGTTTCTTCAATTCCTATTTTACCACCGTAAACTCAAATTTCTCGCATAAACCTAATATCTATATAATAAATTTTTCAAGAGGAATCTATTATAAAAAGAATTAAAGAAATCCGTTGTAAATTGGTGATGTTATGGAGAAAAAAAAGCTAGTAATGCGCTCTAGTAGATCGGGTTTGTTTATGGTTGAAAAGACAAACCGATCTTCGCTCAGTTTGTAAAATTATCGATAAAATCTGTTTGGTTTTATCTTTTTTTTCGGATAAGTCATAAAATCAGAAAAAAACGCGTCTGAGTGCCATGTGATGGGGTTTGAAAAGAGAACGAAAAAAAAATGGAGCTGATAAAGAGGTTGGGGACACGTTGCCCCTTAGAAAAAGAGAGAAAAGTCTAAGATAAACCAGGTTCAAAAAACACATCTAATACGGGAGATTGGGGACTGAGCTTAAATAAGAAAATATCGCAAGTGATTAAATAACAAAACTAAATAATAAAACAATAAGAAAATAGTAATAAACCTAAATCAGAAAACCAAATAAGAAAACTAAATAGTAAAACTCAAAAAGAAAATTGGGGGTGAAAAAAAATGCGACTTTTTTGCGCACCTGGACATTTGCTCACCTTTTTTTCGCTGGAAAAGGCTTTAGGAAAGGCCGTAGAGCTTCAAAAATGTTTTCATATAAGGGAATCGTATGCGTAGATTCCTAATTTCGACAAATCAGACCTCACTGACACATCAAATTTGGGCTAAAAGGCAAAAACTACGCAACTTAACGCTTTTCCGCAGTTTTTGCCTTTTAGCCCAAAATTGACGTGTAAGCGAGGTCTGATTTGTCGAAATTCGGGATCTACGCATACGATTCCCTTATATGAAAACATTTTGAAGCTCTATGGCCTTTCAAAAGCCATTTTCGGAGAAAAAAAGGCGCGCAAATGTTCAGGTGCGCAAAAAAAGTAGAATTCGTCCCACCCCCAGGTTCTAGCGCTTTTCGAGATTTCAAGCAATTTAGGCAAAGCTTTGGGTGCACTACTATTCAAGAATACGGTATACGACAAGGATACGGCCATGAAATCCCTTATACGAAAACATTTTTGAAGCTCTACGGCCTTTCAAAAGCCATTTCCAAAGAAAAAAGGCGCGCAAATGTTCAGGTGCGCAAAAAAAGTCAAATTCTGCCCTTGATTAAATAAAAATAAGGTTAAATCAAAAATAAGATTAAAAAAATAAAAAATATCGCAATTGACGAAAAAAAAAAATAAATTGTGAAAAAAGAAAAAAGAGAAAACTACCGTACCCCGACTGTCTGTCTTTTTGTCTGTCTTTTGTCTTTTTTGACCTACCGTATCCCAGAGGCGAAAAATTGGATAATTTCATTATTTTCTTCTTTTTTCTTGTCTTTTTCTTTCCTTCTTCCTCTTTCCTTCTTCCTTCTTTCTTCTTTCTTTTTTCTTTTTCCTTCTTCCTTTTTCCTTCTTCCTTTTTCCTTCTTCCTTCTTCCTTCTTTCCTCTTCCTTCTTTCTTTTTCCTTTTTCCTTCTTCCTTCTTCCTTCTTCCCTTTTGAATATTTTCAAACGCTGAAAAGAAAAAATATTTTTTCTCAAATTCTTAAACTTTTTTATAGTTAACGACAGAAAATGCGTAAAATTCCCTTTAAATTTCAAATTGACCTCATGAAAGCACGTGGTCGCCTTTTTTTCTCATTTCCATTTTTTTCTGTTGATCGACTCTTATCATTTCCCCTTTCTCCCATTCAGAACACGGAAATTCTTTTCTTTTTCGGAAATTTAAACATTTGAACATTTGACGAAAGATGTTTTGACGTTTTTGGCGAAAAAAAAAATTGAAAAGAGAATAGAGTTTTAAGATTTTTGGTCACGTCGATGAATTTGATGGGAAATTTTGAGAAAAATCTCTTTAAAAGTCTCTAAAAACATGTAAAGTTCGAGTTTTTGACTTAAAATTTTGAAGATTCAATTTATTTTGTTTTTTAGGTGTTAAAATTCGATAAATAATGCAATAGTGGGGGTTTTTTGTAGAGGATTTGAAGAGGGATTTGGAAATGGTTTGGAAATGATTTGGAAATGATTTGGAAATGATTTAAAAGCTACTGAAAGACTATTGAAATTATTGAATTATTGAAATTGCATTAAAATCACGTTTTTCTCATAAACATGGTTGTTTTTTGTGAAAAAAGGATTTGTTTTGAATGACAAGACCACGTGATCGGTCTCTTTTCCCCATAAAGATCAAAACAAAGCACAAAGTTCAATGTTTATAGTCAATGATTTCCAGATTCGAGCCATTCTCGAGGACGGTGGTCGAGTTCTTGTGCATTGTGTAGCCGGAGTGTCGCGTTCGGCCTCGATCGTGCTCGCCTATCTCACAAAGTTGGTCTGCTGAAGTTAAAAAATCAAAAACCTCTAGCAGGGATCGAACCCTCGACCCCTTCATCTTGACCCCTGACTCGAAGCCAAGCGCACTAACCACTAGGCCACCTGGTAATCTGGAACCTCCCGAAAATTCCCGGTTTTCTTCCCAAACCGATGGATTTTCCTTGGGTTTTCTTCACTTTAGGAAAACTTGGGTAGAAAGTGGGAATTTTCGAGCCAGGTTTTTAGTTCCTCATGGCGCAGTGGCTAGCGTGCTTAGCTTCAAATCTGGGGTCGAGGAATGGGTCGAGGGTTCGATCCCTGATAGAGCTTTTTTGATTTTTTGATCAAGCAAAGCAAAAGCCTCAATTACATATTAAATCGATATCTATCTATCTAAAATCCATTTAGATACTATTGCCGATCTTTGCGTGACGCCTACCATTTGATGAAGGCAAAGCGGCCAATGGTGCGCCCGAATCTCGGCTTTTGGCGTCAATTGATCGCTTTTGAGCAGGTTAGAGCAATGCTAGAGCAACAGAGAGATCTAATACGACTTTATCCTTTAACTATTTTAACTCACCAATTTCAGAACGTCAAAGAGAACCCTGGATCGGTTAGATTGGTTAGAGAGGAGAGCCACGATCAACTTCTGCCAGATGTTTATCTAACTGACGTTATCGAAGCTAGGCCAACGGTTAGAAAATCGATCTTTGTAAATTTTAACTATTCTAATCAAAGTCATACTTTGATTGAATTCAAATTTAAAAGTTAGAAAATGAGAAAGCTTGGGCCGGGATCGAACCCTCGAGCCGCAGCCAATCGCTGACTCAAAGCGAAACGCGCTAGCCACTGCGCCACGGAGGGCCTTGAAAGACGACGAAAATTCGTGGTTTTGTTCCCAAAACACTGCATTTCCCTCTGGTTTTCTTCGGAAGGGAAAGCTTGGGAAGAAAAGTGAAAATTTTCGCCGCTCTCCGAGCTCCCCCATGGCGCAGTGGCTAGCGTGCTTAGCTTCAAGTCAAGGGTCGAGGAAGGGGTCGAGGGTTCAATCCCTCTCGAAGCTTTTTGATTTTTTAAATTGATCAGGGCAAAGAAAATCTACTCTAGGCTATCCTATAGCTATAAGTACAGTCCTGGAGCTTTATTTGAAGCCAATTTGAAGCCAATTCAAACCCAAATCACCATACATCATTCTAAACTATTACCCGTTTACTACATACTACAAATTTCGATAACAGTTTTCTCTTTTAGAGTCCTTGCGACGAGGAACGCGCCACTGATGAAGGTCGCACGAGGCGACAATCCGGGAAATCCAACAAATTCGTGCCTGTTCTCGAGCCACTTGCCGAGATTGCCGAAGCAGCTGCTTAAAGACAGAGAAACAGCTAATTCCTTTTCTGAGAAGGAATTCCTTTTCAAATTCTCTCAAAAATTCGCTACGGGTTACTTCTAGGCCCTATCGAAATCATTGAAACTGTTTGATTGCATTTTTTTGTTAATTTTATTATTTCTATCCTTTCCCTTGAAACAAAGCAATCAAAATCTCAAAGAAAAGTTGTCACATTTTAAGAATTGCTTTGAATTCAAGAATATTATCTATGAAAAGCCGTTGATTTTCTTTTTGATTAAAAATACGAAGCTGTTCCTTCAAAAAGCCGTGGCCGGGATCGAACCGTCGAGCCCCTCAAGCGACGCTCACCTCGAAACCAAGCACGCTAGCCACTGCGCCACGGAGCCACTTTGACACCCCTCGTAAATTCCCGGTTTTCTTCCCAAAACGGTGCATTTTTCTCGGGTTTTTCTTTATTTTTCTTCATTTTTTTTTGATTTTTTTCCCAAATTTGAAATTTTTGAAATTTTTGATTTTCTTTGATTTCATTGATTTTTTTTGTTAATTTTATTATTTCTATCCTTTCTATCCTTTTCCAATTTTCTATTCACAATTCTATTAAATCGGGTGCCTAATATGGAAATTTTGTCGTGTAAATAGAGAAACCTTTGCTGTGTCCTTTTACAAAATTCGAGCTCTTTTCCCCCGCGTGTACACTTGCTTTTTCTTTCTATTATTTTGTAAAAACGACTTCAAAATCTTACTTAAATCTTAATCAATTTTATCAATCTTTACCAATTTTATCAATCTTAATCAATTTTATCAAACAATTCCCCCCGATAAAAGTGCCAGTGTCAAGTACCGGTTCGTTTTCTTCGTTGCAATTGCGTTTTTATGTGAAATTTCAACGTTTTTAGATAAAGATTTGATTTTTTTAAAAGAAATTTGCGAATTTTTGCCTTTTTTGAAGAAATAAAGTCAAAAACCCATAGAAAACAGTGATTTTTATAAGCTAGATTTTAAAAAATCAGTTAAAAACATTAAAAATTGAATAGAAAGAGTTTAAATTTAAGCAAATTTCTAGCTGAAAAGAAAGCAGAACGTTTTTTGGGCTTAAGAAATGATTATTTATAGGTTTTATTGATAAACTAATAGAAAAAGACTGAAAAACTGATAAGTTTTGAAGAAAAAAAAGTGTCCTTCGCCTAGATAGGTAATTTTCAACGTGCCGAAACGATTTTCAACGGTTTTTCAGTTGAAAACCTATACTAAAACTGTCAAATTCGTGTTCAGCGCCCTCGATTACCCCTAGAATAGTAAAAGGAAAAGTGAAAGAATCAAAAACATGGCACAAAGTACTGATTTCTTTCTTATTTAAAAAAAAAATACCGACTGGGGCTACCAGTGGTGAATTTATCGCATACACGAAATATATCAATCACAATACAACGACACACACAATACTAGGCTATATCTTAACTTAACCCACGTCATGACAGACGGCTCCTTAACCCTAAGCTCAATGGGGAACTAAATAGCTTTTTTGGTGGTGAAGGGAAGATGACGGTGAGGGAGTGGCTTGTCACTTTAAAGAACTGGGGCCACAACCACCAGACTGCCCTCCAGAAAACCTCTCAACCCGAAGGGAAAGGAAATCCGAAGGGGGTGACCATGTCGCATGTGGGGTTCGAACCCTCGACCTTCCGATTAAGATAAAAGACACTTAACCAGTCAGCCACACGTGCTCATTTCAAAGAGAAACATCAAATTTATCGAATAAAATAATAATTTTAATTAATCTGACAAAGAAAATGATTTGAAATGAAAAGAAACGACGAAGAAATACCGTATTCTCTCTAATAGAGGTGCACTCTTTAATAGTAGTGCACTCTCTAATAGAGGTGCACTCTCTAATAGTATTGCGGTCCAGGAGGGGGCTCAAAAAATAGTAGTGCGCACTACTATTGGGTTGGGGAGAATGAGTCGGCGCCGAAAATGAAAAAAATGTCTAAAAGTTCTATTCGACTTCGTCAAATAATATGCGTTTGATATCGCACTACTATGAGTAGAATGGTTAACTAATTCTCTACAAAATGACATTTAAAAGAAAATTCAAACAGCGCCTCCGCTCAAGAAAAAGCCATTTTTTCACAAAAACTACAAACTGTCATCCAGAAAAAACCATTGGTGGGATCTTCCTGCAAATTTGGCAACTTAAGTAATTGAATGTGCTCTATCTTTTTTATATAAACACCAAAGAAGGTTTATGTGAAAGAAACTGTTCAAATGATGAGTCGGACTCTTTGCCATTTTGGTACTTGTGGAGTATCCGGGGGGGGTCTTTCAATATCCGGGGGGGGGTAAAATTTTAAGATCCGGGGGGTAAAATTTTATATACGTTATACACGACCCCTTTTAAAGATATTCAGCCGCTTAAGTGATTTGGTGGCAATTTCCCTTCAAATGTAAAGATATTCAATTTATTGAGGTGATTACTTGATTACGTGATTCGAGGTGATACTCGATCAAAAACGTAACTTCTACAAAATTTTTTTTATTTCATTATTAGAAATGTTGATAATATCCTAGTTGGCGGCAAACATTTTCACACTAAATTGATGAAATTCTATTTAAAACGCTAAAATTAACGTAAAATGATATAAGTTTAAAGGTTTAAGTTTAAGGGTTTAACAAAAGGTTAAACATTTGCCTCAAGAATTTCATTTTTAGTTACAAAGCCTATGGTAAATGTAAAAGTAAATGTAAAATTTCACGGAATTTGCGTTAATCTATTGATCTTTAGACCATTAATCAGATCATGAGTAATATTTTCGTTCTTCTTTTAAACTCTGAAAGCGATAGGTGCAAAAGATTGATAAAAGTAGCAGAATGGCCAAAAAGTAAAAAAAAAAAAGTTAAAATTTTACCCCACCGGATCTTAAAATTTTGCCCCCCCCGGATCTTAAAATCTTACCCCCCCCGGATATTGAAAGACCCCCCCGGATACTCCACAAGTACCGCCATTTTAACCAGCTACGTTTGGAAGTTCATAAACTCCACGAAAGAAAAGCTTTGTGGAATCTCTCAAAAGTGATTTTGTAGAGAAATAGTGGATCCTTTTGATGCAACCAAACGTATGTTTAAAGAAGGCTTTATGTGTGCAAAAAGTCCCTTTAAAGTTCGGCGCCGACTCATTCTCCTCAACCCAATATTAGAGAGAATACGGTAAATGATTTGAAATGAAAAGAAATAAAAAACAAATATATAATTTGAAAACGAAAAGAAACGACGAAAAAAAGAAATGATTTGAAAATGAAAAAGAAACGACGACGCGGCGCTCCCATCGACTACCTCCAAATGGCGGTGATGTCAATTGGAATGCGACGTCGCTCGAAAATTAATATTTAACAATCATTTTAAACTAATTTCAAATTTTCGAGAGAGATTTAAATCTAACATGTTAATATTAAAATTTAACATAGAAATGATTGTTTAAAGAACATTTTAACATAGAAATGATTGTTTAAAGATCATTTTAACATCGAAATCATTGTTCAGGGATCATTTTAACAACCGAATCATCCTTTAAAGAACATTTTAACGTCGAAATGATTGTTTAGAGATCATTTTAACGTCGAAATCATTGTTCAGGGATTATTTTAACATCCAAATCATCCTTTAAAGAACATTTTAACGTCGAAATCATTGTTCAGGGATCATTTTAACATCGAAATCATTGTTTAAAGGTCATTTTAACATCGAAATGATTCTTTAAGATCATTTTAACATAGAAATGATTGTTTAAAGATCATTTTAACATCGAAATCATTGTTCAGGGATCATTTTAACAACCGAATCATCCTTTAAAGAACATTTTAACGTCGAAATGATTGTTTAGAGATCATTTTAACGTCGAAATGATTGTTTAGAGATCATTTTAACGTCGAAATCATTGTTCAGGGATTATTTTAACATAGAAATGTTTCTTTAAAGATCTAATCTCTGCTTTCTGTCTCTATCTCTGATCTCTATCTCCTCTAGAGCTTGTAAATCGTGTGATTAAAGTTTGAGATGCCGTTCCCGACAAGTTTCGTTTGATCCATTGTGTCTGTTTTTAAAAGAGCTACTTCGTTTCGTTTCATTTCATTCTTCTGTTCCATTCATTCTTCTGTTCAATTCATTCTTCTGTTCAATTCATTCTTAAGCTCATCTCATTCTAAGTTCAATTCATTCTTCTGTTCCATTCATTAAAAGACTAGATGACAATGAACCAAGGACTCCGTGGGGGCTACACGCAGCGCATAGACGTGTTTTTCGTGTGCTTAACTCCCAAGAAACAAAGTTCCATTCATTATTTTTGATTTCTTTATCCAGTACATTTCTAGTACATTCATTTGATTTTCGCATTTTATTTCTTTCTAAATAAAGTCTTTATATAAATTTAATTTCTTAAATTGAGCTCTTACAGTAAAAAAAAAAGAGAAATTAAAAGTTTAAAAGAGATGTTTCATTTAAAAGAAAGCAAAAGAGTTAATAAAAGCTGGATTTTCAGTGACTTTAAGAGTCTCTGAATCATTTTTTGATTCTTTTAATGAATAGAATGGAGATCGATTCGAGTTTTTTCTAATCATTTCATTGATTCGTTTCGAGATTTTTCTTGGATAATAACTGATGGTGGATGCGCGTCGGAGGGGAGTCGTTTCAAGGAGATCCACCTGGAAATGCAAGGAGATTGAAAAGCTCTTCTACAGCAAGCTACCGTCTTATGTTAGCTATGTACTTTGTACTTTTCCCTATACTTTCCTCTGCACTTTTCCCTGTACTTTCCTTTGTACTTCCCTTTCTGCTTTCCTCTGTACTTTCCTTTGTACTTTCCTTTGTACTTTCCTCTGTACTTTCCTCTGTACTTTCCTTTCTACTTCCCTTTCTGCTCTCCTTTGTACTTTCCTCTGTACTTTCCTTTGTACTTTCCTCTGTACTTTCCTCTGTACTTTCCTCTGTACTTTCCTTTCTACTTCCCTTTCTGCTTCCCTTTCTGCTCTCCTTTGTACTTCCCTTTCTCCTTTCCTCTGTACTTTGCTAAGCTACCTTTTTTTCTTATCAGGTTGTCTCTTAGTGGCAAAACTGGAGAAAGTTTGCATTAGAGATGGGTTTGATCGGTCGTTCTTTGCGTTCTTTGCGCTTCTACGTAAACTAAATCGATCTGGCACACTCAAGCTATCGTTTTTTCTTATCGGTTTGTCTTTTAGTGGCAAAAGATTGGGAAAGTTTGTATTAGAAATGGTTCTTTGGGCGTTCTTTGCGCTTCGACGTAAACTAAATCGATCTGGCACACGGAATTCCTCATTTTTCTCGCATTAGAGTCGGTATCACGAGAAAAATGAGGAATTGCGTGTGCCAGATCGATTTAGTTTACGTGGAAGCGCAAAGAACGATCGATCAGGGCCAATGCCTAATGCAAACTTTCTCAATCTATTGCCACTAAAGCTGATAAGAAAAAAACGATAGCTTGAGTGTGCCAGATGGATTTAGTTTACGTGGAAGCGCAAAGAACGCAAAGAACGATCAATCAAACCAATGTTTGTTTCTATTTTTTGGTCTATTCAAAGAATCGATGATCGACACAAAGCTTAATCTATAGATTACGGTAGAAGGAGATTACGGTAGAAGATCTACAGGCTACAGTAGCTTCCTAACAACAAAACAAAAGCTTTCTAACGATACCTCATCATCAATCAACGTCGATACAATGGATAGAATGAGTGCAAGGGAGAAGCCCGATCCAGCAACAAGACACCAGCCAAAAGCCATTCCAAATTTGTACTAAAAAAGTTGAATTAGATCGTTTTCCTTTTATCCAATCGTCAACAAGATCGAGTTTAATGGTTTAAAAGGCTTTAGGAAGAGGCTTTAAGGAAAGGCTTTAAGAAAAGGCTTTAAGAAGAGGCTTTAGGCTTGAGCTTTGAATTTCAATTTCGCCTGGCTCACTCCAAAAGAGTCGAAAAGAGTCGAAAAGAGCTGAAATACCTGAACTTGATCGTTTAGAAATGAGGCCGAGTTTAGTGGTGATGAGTGCGAGAAATGGGAGAATAAAATGGCGCCGAGGAAAGTGAAAGAGCCTGGGAGTTGATTTGGATTTATTGTTTTGGTGACTGGATGAAAGCACTCACCAGAGAGCATCAGTAGAATACGACTTAATTTTGCGCACATTTTCGAGCAAAGGGCTAAGAGTGAGGCGACGGATGAGAGGAGACCAAAATGCATTGCCAGAACCAAGACGATCAAAACGATCAGCTCACTTTCTGGAAACGATTTGTGAAACTAAATGTAAATGTACTTTGGAGTCGATTCTTGAAGCTAAACCCATCCTCTAGTACTGAATTGAGGCCATGTACACAAAGTACAGTACACTAACAACCTAGTAACAAGTACAGCAAGCTAGATACAGTACTCTAACAAGTACAAAGTACAGTAGTCTAACAGGTACAAAGTACAGTGCTCTAGCAAGTACAAAGGATAGTACTCTAACAAGTACAAAGTACAGTACTCTAACAGGTACAAAGTACCGTACTCTACCAAGTACAAAGTACAGTACTCTAACAAGTACAAAGTACAGTACTCTAACAAGTACAGTCTTCTAGATACAGTACAAAGTACAGTACTCTGACAGGTACAAAGTACAGTACTCTAGCAAGTACAGCAATCCAGATACAGTACAAAGTACATTACTCTAACAAGTACAGTCTTCTAGCTAAAGTATAAATGCACAAACAGCAAAGTACAGTAGAAACAGTACAAATGAGGACTTCAGTACGCCAGAAGTTGCAATTCAAATTGCATCCTTCCCTCTATGCTTGATAAACTTAAATCAAAAAAAGTTCGGAGCGGACAGGAATCGAACCCGACACCCTCCTTATGGGAATCGTTTTGTAGACGCGACGCTAACCACCTCGACCACGCCCCCCTCTGGCAACGATGCCAAAAAAGACCTAGTTAAGTGGTTTTTTGATGAGAAACTTATTTTTACTAAAAAGTAAGTATTTATTTATTTTTAATCCCCTATTGCTTAAAAAAGGTTTTTTAAAATCAGTTGACGGAAAGCTGAGATCTAGAGGGTGATGGACAGACAAACGAACGGATACTTTCCTTTTATATAATAGATAATCATTCAAAACATACGAGCTATAAGTAGATGATTGCTCGGCGGTTCGATCCCTTTTTGACGGATTTCTCGCGAGAAACACTGCACAGGAATTTGAGACGAATGAATGGGTACTGTAAGTGGAGTTTAGACTATAGACTTCTAAAAGGCATTTAGATATTAGAAAAGGATTGTAATGTGTCCAGTTAAATTTTGGTGTCATTCAGGAACAACATCATAATATTATTTACTGCTTAAAAAGGTGATTTTGATGTTTTTCTAGAAAAAGATTGATAGTGGATCCAAACAGGATCCAGGGAGGACAGTGGATCCGAAACAGATCCAGGGAAGACAGTGGATCCAAACAGGATCCAGGGAGGACAGTGGATCCAAACAGGATCCAGGGAGGACAGTGGATCCAAACAGGATCCAGGGAGGACAGTGGAGCTGAAACAGGATCCAGGGAAGACAGTGGATCCAAACAGGATCCAGGGAGGACAGTGGATCCGAACCAGATCCAGGGAGGACAGTGGATCCGAACCAGATCCAGGGAGGACAGTGGATCCGAAACAGATCCAGGGAAGACAGTGGATCCAAACAGGATCCAGGGAGGACAGTGGATCCGCACACTAACCCACTATCCATTAGACTACCGAGGGAGATCGTTCAGCCCGCGAGAAAGCCTTAAGCTCGCTAGCTCGGTGTTTGATGAAATTTGGCGTAACTTTGAGGATTTATATCTCAAAAATAGCTGATGATAGCTAGGATTTGAAAGCAGTTTTGGAATGCTTTTAACCAGAGCCTGTATGCTCCGGGAAAAGTTCCCACATCTCGGATCTTTCCGATGACACCTTTGATCTTTCCGTTAAAACGTCCATAGTTTTCCGTACTTCTTGGAAAGTTTTACCGGAAACTTTCTGGAAGAAAAGCAAAGCAAACCATGAACGTTTTACCGGAAAGGTGCCGCTGTAAAGATCAAAGACGCCGTCGGATCCAGAGCGTAGCATACAGGCTTAGGGAATAGTTCTGGCGTTAGCGAATGATTCCAAAGTTTGCACTTTGGAATCATTAACTTCTCAGAATCAGATTAGAATAGAATTTAACTTCAAAGATTTTCCTGATTCCCTGGTTCCCTGGTCAGTCAAATGATACAGAAATTTGACTAAACTCGCAGTTGGATAACGATAGTTTTTCTAAATAGATTTCCTAAAATAGAAGTTTTTTCCTAAAAGAAGTTTTTTAAAAAAACTCTAATAAATACCTTTACAGTAGCGAATCAATCCAAACGAGTGTCGAAAGCGTTCATCATCGAATGTTCGAAAAGAGGCCTGGAATGAGGCTGAATGAGGCTGATCGAGAACTGATCGAGAACTGATCGAGAACTGATCGAGAACTGATCGAGAACTGATCGAGAATCAAGGCTTTCAAAAAGACAGTATTAAAGACAGTATTAGTTTAGTATTAAAAACGAACTGAAAAGACGGCATAGGTCAATAGAATTGATGAGAAGAAGCAAATGATCGCTGAGGAGATCAATAAAGCTGTGGGAATCGTGAAGCGGCCATCTCGACACATTAGAAGTACTGAAATCAGCTTTTTACAGTAAGTTGTTACAGTAATTTAACATAATTGAAGTTAAGGAATCAAATTTGATTTCAAATTCGTTTAGATACAAATTTTCTTTTATTGAAAAGGGGTTAAAATCACATTGAATTGCTTTTCTGAAAGATTTGTAGCAAAAATAGAAGAGATTTAAGGGAAAAATTGGGAGATTTAAGGGAAAAATTGAGAGATTTAAGGGAAAAATTGAGAGATTTAAGGGAAAAATTTTGGGAGATTTAAGGGAAAAATTGGGAGATTTAAGGGAAAAATAGAGGAGATTTAAGGGAAAAATTGGCAGTTTAAGGTAAAAATTGATAAATTTAGGAGAGAAAGTGGTAAATCGAGGGGAAAAATTGCAAATCTAAGAGGAAATTGGAAAATTTAAGGGAAAAAGCCGGAGATTTATGAGAAAAATCAGAAAAATGGCAAATTTAGGGAGAAAATGGTAAATTTGAGGGAAAAATTGCAAAACTAAGGGAAAAAATGGGAAATGTAAGGGGAAAATTGCGAGATTTAAGGGAAAAATTGAGAAATTCAAGGGAAAATGGGCAAGTTTAAGGGAAAATGAAAAATTTGGGTATAGTGACGCCGGGAAAATCGATGGACAGACGACTCACCGAGAGCCTACTCCGGCTCCCTATCTGTAAACCCCCGATGCCAGAAAGTGCGCGATTGTGTGCGTGCACAGAGAACAGCCGGCCACTTTTTGGAGCCAGCTCCCTATGAGTAGACCCCCTATGCCAGAAAGTGCGCGATTGTGGGCATGCACAGAGAACACCCGGCTAGTTTTTTATTTAGAGCCCCCTCGGCTCCCTATCTGTAAACCCCCTATGCTAGAAAGTGCGCGATTGTGCTCGTGCACAGAGAACACCAAGCCCGTTTTTGGAGCCAGCTCCCTATGAGTAGACCCCTATGCCAGAAAGTGCGCGATTGTGGGCATGCACAGAGAACACCCGGCTAGTTTTTTATTTAGAGCCCCTCGGCCCCCTATCTGTAAACCCCCGATGCCAGAAAGTGCGCGATTGTGTGCGTGCACAGAGAACACCCAAAGAACCCCCCATGCTTTCGTTTTTTGGCTTTTTCTCAGTCATACTTTGATGAATCGGGTTCATTTATGCGTTAAAAGATGCGCCTTGAAATTCTCCATTAAATAGATCTAGGGTTTGTTTAAGAAAAAGTGAGTTTAAGAGCTAAAAATGTGCTAAAAAGTTTTTGACATTGATTTTAATTTAAATCTAGCGATTTAGTGTTTAAATCTTTAAGAATTGCTTAAATTGATTGCGAATTGAAAAAGAATTGCAAAAGAATTGCCATCGATCAAAAGGAGTGCACCAGATGGGGAGCATTGATCGAGAACAAAAGAACAATGATTAAAATAGAGGCTTTTGGTCGATTTGGATTGTAGATGTTTTCTAAAAAGATATTTAGTTGTAAAGCCAGCTGGAAATCACATTAAATCTCTACAGTAATCGATAGTAAACCTTGAAAGTCACTTATTTGAAAGAGTAACTATAGAAATGGTAGAGTTTTACGAGGAATTTGGCTTTAAAAGAAAAGGATTCGAGCATAGAAATCAAATCCAGACTAAAACATCAAAGTTTATATAATTTTCAATTTTTTCAACAATTCAATCATCCAAAATGTGTTGTTTATGAGAAAGAAAAAGTCGAAATTGTCGAAACTTGAAATTCTAGGCTATTTCTTGCTAATTTCTTTCTTCTAACACTCACAAATTGGGCTTAATTTGTTTGCTTGGGGCAGTGATTGCTTGGGGAGTGGTTGCTTGGGGAGTGGTTGCTTGGGGAGTGGTTGCTTGGGGAATGGTTGCTTGGAGCAGTGATTGCTTGGGCCAGTGATTGCTTGGGCCAGTGATTGCTTAGGTCAGTGATTGCTTGGGCCAGTGACTGCTTGGGCCAATGATTGCTTGGAGCAGTGATTGCTTGGGCCAGTGATTGCTTGGGGCAGTGGTTGCTTAGGTCAGTGATTGCTTGGGCCAGTGACTGCTTGGGCCAATGATTGCTTGGGCAGTGATTACTTGGGCCAGTGACTGCTTGGGCCAGTGACTGCTTGGGCCAATGATTGCTTGGGCAGTGATTGCTTGGGCCAGTGACTGCTTGGGCCAATGATTGCTTGGGCCAGTGATTGCTTGGGCCAGTCACTGCTTGGGCCAATGATTGCTTGGCCAGTGATTGCTTGGGCCAGTGATTGCTCCATGGAAACTCGATAAAAAAAAACGATTTCCCTCAATGTTTGTGATGTTTAGATGAAAAAGAATCGTTTTTGAAGTATTTATTTCTAGAAAGACTAGAGATAAACAAGTTAAATGCTAATTTAAATCATTTTCTTGGAGTTGGTTCAATGGGAATCGAACGAGTTTGCCCGATTTGTCCTCCTTGTTTCGGGGCTTCGATCTGGAATTTGGAATCGATTTTAAGCTTTAAATACATGATTCTTTGGAGATTTTGATACTGCTGACTGCTGAGACTCTTCTTTAGAGCTTTAGCTTAATATCTTTAGATCTTTAGCTCAGTGTCTTTATAACTTTCGACAGAGTGCTTCAAATCAAAAACGAAAAGGAGATTTGGAATGAGCGGGAAATTCTGCGTCGAATCGTGTCTAGCTTATGTCATTTTTTCTCTTCTTAGACGTTTTTTCTCGAAGGTTTTCCTGTAATCAACCTGTAAAACACCGTTTTCGGTGATTGATGATCGAATTGCATCCAAATTCGTGTCTTCCGGAAGGTTGAATTTACGAATGAACATTCTGAACTTATTTCTATGTAAATTACTTTACCGCTTACCGTATTTTCTCTAATAGTACCCTGTCGAGCCGGGTTTTGAAATATTTGATGGTTTTGAAGTTTTCACAGAAGCTCAACACTCAAATCCCCCACTAGGATCTCATCATTAGATGTTTTTAGCTCTTAAACTCACTCTTTCTCAAACAAACCCTCGATCTATTTAATGGAGAATTTCAAGGCGCATCTTTTAACGCATAAATGAACCCGATTCATCAAAGTATGACTGAGAAAAAGCCAAAAAACGAAAGCATGGGTGTTCTTTGGGTGTTCTCTGTGCATGCGCACAATCGCGTCCTTTCTGGCATAGGGGTTTACAGATCGGGAGCCGAGGGGGTGTGAATAACAAAACTGGCTGGCTGTTCTCTGTGCACGCACACAATCGCGCACTTTCTAGCATCGGGGGTTTACAGATAGGGAGCCGGAGGAGGCTCTCGGTAATTCGTGTGCCCATTGGTTTTTTCGGGGTCACTATACACAAATTTTTCGTTTTTCCTTAAACTTGGGTGTTCTCTGTGCGCGCACACAATCGCGCACTTTCTGGCATCGGGGTTTACAGATAGGGAGCTAAGGGGGCTTTCGATAAAAACGAAATCATTGGGTGTTCTCTGTGCACGCGCACAATCGCGCACTTTCTGGCATCGGGGGTTTACGGATAGCGAGCCGAGGGGGCTCTCAATAAAAACTGGCTGGGTGTTCTCTGTGCACGCGCACAATCGCGCACTTTCTGGCATCGGGGGTTTACAGATAGGGAGCCGAGGGGGCTCTCGTTAACTCGTGTGGCCGTCGGTTTTCTCGGCGTCACTATGCTCAAATTTTTCATTTTTCCTTAAACTTGCCCATTTTTTTCCGACCCCACATCAATAGGTTCTAGCGCTTTTCGAGATTTCAAGCAATTTAGGCAAAGCTTTGGGTGCACTACTATTGGAGAATACGGTATACGACAAGGATACGACCAGGAAAAACGGCGTAACTTGACTGAGTAGACTTGAAGGTCTATAACTTTATTTAGAAAAAATATTATTGTTAACTTTTTATATTGTTATTCTAGGATGTCTTCCGTATTCTCTCTAATAGTAGGAAAAGGGGCTTAGGAAAAGGCTTAGGCCAAGATTTCTCCTTATGCATGACTCTAGAATTCATTCGGTTGACCTGGAGGGTTGAGTGCGCCTTTTAAAAGTGTGTTTTTCGTGTACCGACTTTCCCTAACAGTAGTGCACCCTGTCGAGCCGAGTTTTGGACTATTTTACGGTTTCTAAGTTTTCCAAGAAGCTCAAGAGTCTAATCCCTGAGTAGATCTCATCATCAGCTACATTTTTCCACCATTCGATTAAATAAAAAATAAGGTTAAATCAAAAATATCGCAATTGACGAAAAAAAAATAAATTGTGAAAAAAGAGAAAACTACCGTACCCCGACTGTCTGTCTTTTTGTCTGTCAATTGTCTTTTTTGACCTACCGTATCCCAGAGGCGAAAAATTGGATAATTTCATTATTTTCTTCTCTTTTTCTTTAGGTTCTAGCGTTTTTCTAGGTTCTAGCGTTTTTAGGTTCTAGCGCTTTTCGAGATTTCGAGCAATTTAGGCAAAGCTGCCCTATTATTAGAGAGAATACGGTACATTAGATACTCTATACATTGTCGATTTTACGTATTTTAGATATTTTAAGCTTTAAATACTTAGCCTATAGTATAATATTTAAAGTAAATGAATGGAATAATAAAACTAAACCGTTGTATTGATCCATACTCGTCGATTCGTTCATCGTGTTTTCCTTCAATTGTTAACTCTTGACCGGTGATGTTTACCTGAAAATAGTTAGCATGGATTACAGAAGATAGCTTTAGTCTTCTTTATGCATTACATATTAGTACTGTTGCCTTGAGCGTATCGCTTTACAGTACTACACGGGGTACGGTAGCTCTACAACTCAATGAAGTCTCATTGCGGCTTGTCAATGTCAAGTCTCGTTGATTCCCAAGTTTCCAATGTTAATCAAAAACCCCACCCTCACTCTTTTACTGTCCTCAAACATGAGTCTTAAACGAATCAGGGTAAATTTGTTTTTGTACTTTAACTTTGTACTTTAACTGTACTTTGTACTTTAACTGTACTTTGTACTTTGTACTTTAACTGTACTTTGTACTTTGTACTTTAACTGTACTTTGTACTCTACCCACTTTCAACTCATCAGGTCGAAAATGTGCTACATCAAGTGCCACAGAGAATCGATCAATTTCGTTGAGAACTTGTCCCGAACTCTCACCAAAAGAGAAATCCCGATTGAATGGAACGTGTCTCCAATATGAAGTAAACATCATTCTGGAATTGATATTCTTAAGTTTTAGCACGGGGGATACTGTAAAAGTAAAAGGTACTGTATCCCCCGGAGTGGTACTAGGGAATACTTTTACACGTGTGTGACTGTTGCCCCATTGCCAGAGGAAAAATACGTTTTTTTGGCTATTTTGCTACACTTGCCTTCATTCGGTAGATATTATTCAGGGCTATCGAATGAAACAAAGTGTAGCCAAATCGGTTAAGTGAGCAGCGAGAAAAAACAAAAATGTACCGTAAATGCTTTAATTGGACCCCACCCTAGAGGGGAAGGGTAAAAATAGTACTCCTATCTCTCTAATAGTGCCCCCCACCACTCTAATAGTGCCCCCACCACTCTAATAGTGCCCCCACCACTCTAATAGTGCCCCCACCACTCTAATAGGGCCCCCACCCCTCTAATAGTGCCCCCCACATCTCTAATAGTGCCCCCCACATCTCTAATAGTGCCCCCACCACTCTAATAGGGCCCCCACCTCTCTAATAGGGCCCCCCCCACATCTCTAATAGTGCCCCCACCTCGCTAATAGTGCCCCCCACATCTCTAATAGGGCCCCCACCTCTCTAATAGGGCCCCCCCACATCTCTAATAGTGCCCCCCCACATCTCTAATAGGGCCCCCCACATCTCTAATAGTGCCCCCCCCACATCTCTAATAGTGCCCCCCACATCTCTAATAGGGCCCCCACCTCTCTAATAGGGCCCCCCCACATCCGCGCGAAATGGTGTTCTCTATCCGTTTTCCATGTTTGAATAGCCATTCAACGCAGAAAAATGTGCTGATTTCAATGGTAAAAAAATTATCAAAATCCGTCTGATACATTTTTTAAAAATCGCGTTTTATCGAAAAAATCGCACTTTTACAAGCAACTCGCTCGCAGTGACCAACTTTCGGCGGCTCGTTTTCAGCGTGGTCGAAAGATTGCGCCCTCAAAACCGATAACTTTTGTGTGGACCTTTATAAAGATCATTTTGATACCAAAAAAATAAAAATCGATCAACTCTGCGAAGACTTGATGCCTTTTTAAGTTGAAAATGACGTTTTGCGACTTTCTGCCCGCTAAAACGTGGGCAATCGCCAACAACCTATTTAAAGCAGCCAGACATTTATATTACTCTATTTGAATTTGTCCTTTTTCCCAGAGGCTTTTAACTTATATTTAACTTATCTCTATTTAAATTGTTGATAAACAAACTCTTAGTAAGCTTTTTTAATAGTTTCGGTATATTTCTTGTTCACAAAGAGACAAAGCCAGACAGCCAGACATTTATATTACTCTATTTACGTGTCAAAAAGCATGAAGTAGAAAAGCCGCGCTTGTTTCCTTTCATTCATTTCCTTATTCTTTTCTTTTGGCTTTTCTCGTCGTGTTTTTTCGTCATGTGTCTGCAAATTTTGGATTAATGCTTAAGGGAAGTTTTTTAAAATAGATTGCTTTGTTTGGACGAATTTTAGCCATCACCACCACATCAAAGCAACGAAAAGAGCAAGATGTTCCAAGCGATGACAAATCACAGGTTTAATTGGGTCTTTGAAGCGTTTCTTTCAACATTTTTTTGCATTTCGATACCAAAATTTATGCGAGATTAACAAATTGAATAAATATAACGCTGATAAACTTTCTGAAATAAGAAACGAATTAATCAAAAAGCTAAAAAAATGACTGCAGGTAGTTGGTTAACCGTCTCTTTGTGAACAAGAAATATACCGAAACTATTAAAAAGCTTACTAAGAGTTTGTTTATCAACAATTTAAATAGAGATAAGTTAAATATAAGTTAAAAGCCTCTGGGAAAAAGGACAAATTCAAATAGAGTAATATAAATGTCTGGCTGCTTTAAATAGGTTGTTGGCGATTGCCCACGTTTTAGCGGGCAGAAAGTCGCAAAACGTCATTTTCAACTTAAAAAGGCATCAAGTCTTCGCAGAGTTGATCGATTTTTATTTTTTTTGGTATCAAAATGATCTTTATAAAGGTCCACACAAAAGTTATCGGTTTTTGAGGGCGCAATCTTTCGACCACGCTGAAAACGAGCCGCCGAAAGTTGGTCACTGCGAGCGAGTTGCTTGTAAAAGTGCGATTTTTTCGATAAAATGCGATTTTTAAAAAATGTATCAGACGGATTTTGATAATTTTTTCACCATTGAAATCAGCACATTTTTCTGCGTTGAATGGCTATTCAAACATGGAAAACGGATAGAAAACGATTTTTCGCTTTATTTCGCGCGGATGTGCCCCCCCACATCTCTAATAGTGCCCCCACCTCGCTAATAGTGCCCCCCCACATCTCTAATGGAATGATACTACAGCTTTGAGACAAAACAAACTAGATTTGGGATAAACGATCATGTCGAAATAGATTTCATTAATGTCTCGAACTTGCATTGCGGGAAAATCATCTCTAGTAGCCGGGAAAATCGACAAGTATCCTTTTTAGAGTTTAGGGTAATCAAAAGTACTTTTTTTGTTTCTTTTTTTGTTTGAAATTTTGACCCATCCCAGCTTATTTCAATTATTACTCTAAATAAATAGAATATGTGAAAAGAAAGGAAAAAAATATGATATTACTGTGTGAAACAGTTTGGTACCTTCGCTTACAATTGTTAGCTCAACAATTGTTAGCTCAACAATTGTAAGCGAAGGTATTGCCTCCTAGTTAGGGAATTACGGTTTTTATAATATCTAAGCAATTGGCAACCTGCTAAAGTTCTCTAAGCATCAAAAATTATTTTGTCCCATCCCAGCGCATCTATGAATTTGCCTATGTCTACTTTGTAATGTGTGAAAACACGGTGTCTGCCTATACATAGCAAAAAAAAACAATCTCCTAAATAACTACCGTAAATACTGTAATTGGACCCCACCCCCCCTCGTACAGTCGCGTAGTCGCAAAAGTTTTTCAGTATTTCATTTTTTGCAAAGCACCCGTACTTTCAAAAAATGTGACTTTGGTATCAAAAAATAGCCCTGAATTTCAGCTATTTTTTTTGATACCTAAGCGCGCCTTGTAGCTTAAACCAGTGTCGAGAAAAAATTGTTCAAAGCTAGACTACGCAACGCTCCGCACCGTCATTATGGGGGTGGGGTACTATTACAGTATTTACGGTAGTAAGACAAATATTTAAGCAATTGGCTTGAAATAGAGGAAACAAAAAACTAAGCATTTTTCGGGCTTTTTAGGGAGAGGAAAGTAGTCTATAGTGGTAGCCTATAGTAGTAGTCTATAGTGGCCTATAGCAGTAGCCTATAGTAGTAGCCTATAGTAGTAGCCTATAGTAGTAGTCTATAGGAGTAGTCTATAGTAGTAGTCTAGTAGCCTATAGTAGTAGTCTAGTAGCCTATAGTAGTAGTCTAGTAGCCTATAGTAGTAGTCTATAGTAGTAGCCTATAGTAGTAGCCTATAGTAGTAGCCTATAGTAGTAGTCTAGTAGCCTATAGTAGTAGTCTATAGGAGTAGTCTATAGTAGTAGTCTATAGTAGTAGTCTTATAGTAGAGAAAATGGGGTAGTGGTGTAAAATACTACCTCAGCCTCTAATAGTACCCCACCCTAGAGGGGGAGGGAAAAAATAGTACCCCATGGGTTCCAATTACAATATTTACGGGAGTTTGCCTCTGGCAATGGGGATACTTGTTGGTTATGGGACAAAAGATTCCTGTCTAGATCTTTTGTCCCATAACCAACCAGTGGGCGGGGCCAATCCGATCGATCCGATCAGATTGGCCCCGCCCAGTTTCGCTTTTTTGCCGTCGCTTTTTGGGAAAATACGTTTTTCTCAGTTTTCCCTAAAATAATTCTAAAACTTTTAGAGAAAGATGGATTTTGAAGAGATAGAGAAAAAACTAGCTATCGAATTATATCAAAAGTGTCCAAATTTGGCCAACTTTCTTTTATGTTTTTTCAATTTAGACACTTTTCGTGCTATTCGCTAATTTTTTCCCTATCGAATGATGCTAAAAGTTTTAGAATAGGTTTAGGGAAAGCTAAGAATTTTGCCAGCGGAAAAAAGGCAAAAAATTGGATGGAGTCAATCCGATTGGATCGGATTGCATGTCTATTCCCCTATTCCCCTATTCCCGTTTTCCCGTCTTATCATTTTTTTGTTCGTTGAGCTAGGTTACAGGTTGGTTATTTTTATTTACATCATGTTTTTTTATTCTTCTACGCCTAGTAGACATAACTAGCGCTACATTAGGATTCTTTTGGACAGCTTTTTGAAAGGGAAGGCTTTTTTTTGTTTTTTTGTTTTGTTTTTTAGGTTTTATGCTTCTTTTTAAGCGAAGTTTTTGGTTTTTATGCTTTTATTCATTGGTTTTCTTAAATTCTTGTCAAGTTTTATGGTTTTTAGGTGGGCTAGAGAATGATTGTAAGAATATGGGCCCAAGAACGAACAATCCAGTTGAAGGTGCGAGTTTGAAATCAAATAGCAAGTAAGTTATTTCAATTTTGTTGAGTAATGATTGTGTTAAGGATTTTGTTGAGTAATGTTTGTGTTAAGGATGTCCCCAGCATCAAGGATCTGATCAAGATGTGGCGCGATGAATTGGACTATTTTCGAGCGAAGATCGATCAAATCAAAGAGCTCTGACAATCAAAGAGCTTCCGCGAGAAGCTCTGACAAAACAAGAACAGAAACGCCAAGAAAAAGTTCATGGTTTGCTTACGTCGTTTAATAGTTTTGTCGATCCGTTTAATAGTTCTGTCGATCTTTCGTTGATTGTGCTAGTTTTCTTGATCGTTTGGCTTTTTTGATTAGTCTAGAATAATGTTAGTTGTTATTGATTGCTAATTGGCGCGATGATCGTTTGATCAAGATGGCGCGATCAAGATCAAGATGTGGCGCGATTGATCTTGATCAGACGATCATCGCGCCAATTAGCAATCGTTGTTATTGATTGCTAAAGCACTGATCGTTTATTGTTAATTCATAAATATTGAAAAAAGAGGTGCAAAAACACTACATTTAATTGGATACTAACTTGTATATAAACTTAGCTCAACGAAAAAAATGATAGAACGGGGAGTTTTTGACTGGGAATCGTGTGAAAAGTTGTGCTTTTGACCGGTTGCGCAAAAAAAAGTCGCAATTGCCTCATCCCTCATCCCTCGCTCCTCACTTTTCAATCCTTTGCAACTCCTTATTGAATTCCTCAAACGGTGATCGCCACCAGGTGCCAAAATATTGATCCGGCCAATCTTCTGGCATGTTTAGATTGTTTAAAAATAGAATTCTATAGAATATTAGGGTTTTATAGCAATAGGCTTAGCTTTAATGATGCAAAAGTTGAGATAGGGTTGTGAAAGAGTGACCGAGCTAGGGGTAAACAGCCTTTTGATGTTATAAGTGCGGAAAGGAGTGTTGTGGAAAAGCTTTTTTGAAACTTACTCTTCGAAAAATCCAATTTTGGCTCAAGTTTGATGTAAAAATCCCCATTTTCGACCATTTTTATGAGTTTTTAGCATTTTTCAGCGCTTTTTTTTCATTGTTAATCTTATAATTTTATTGAAATTTAGATAATGTCAAGCGGATTCGTCTCGGAGACGCAATTGGACGATGAGAGAAAAGCGAGGCAAGATGAATGGGAACGAGTGAGGAAGCCGGATGATCCAGCAGGTTGGACAATTTGTTTGAGTTTTAGTTTTAAAAGTTTTAAAATAAAGATCTGGGTTCTAAGATTCTGGTTCTAAGATTCTGGTTCTAAGATTCTGGTTCTAAGATTCTGGTTCAAAGATCTAAAGAAAGGTTTAGATTGATGTTAAAAATATACTCACTAGATCATATACTCACTAGAATTTGACAACGATTCTTTGAAATTTTTACTTTTACAATCTTTCTTTATATTTTAATTGCTTTTAAAACTGGACTAGCTTTAAAACTGGACTAGCTTTGAGAAAGTATATTCATTTAAAGCCTCAATTTATCTATTTTGTTTTAGTTGCTCCCGAGCTCGAGGTGTGCAACAAATCGTTATTTGATCAACTGAAGGAAAACAAGGACAAGAAACAAGCCGAAATTGATGAAGCAAAGTCGTTTAGTAAGTTTTTGATGTAAAGATTGTCTTGAAAGTAGAAAGATCTTGAAAGATAGTGGCTATGCCTTGAAATATATATGTTGTGTCCGATTTAGATTTCCGTCCGATTTAGATTCAATCTAAATCTTATATAGATTGAACAATAAAACAATAAAACGCTACTTATTTTTAACAACAATAAAACGCTTAAGAACATATATTAAGCATGTTTATATTATTTTTTCAATCTATATAAGATATAGATTGAATCTAAATCGGACGTCCGATATAGACTGTAATCTAAATCGGAGGTCCGCGATAAGTTCAATCTAAATCGGACACAACATATATAAAAATTTTAAATGAGAGTTTTATTCCATAAAATTACGTATATTTAGAAAACATGATACGCGGCGTTGACGAGGATGAAGCCGACTTCTTGGCAATGGTCAGCAAAAAGAAACTCGAAGAAGAAAGACGAAGGAAACAGGTTTGTTTTGGCTAAATTGAACTTTACCGGCCAGAGCCAAAATCCATTCAAAATCAGTTTTTATACTTTATTATGCCTAGTTATAGAAAAAGAAAGAATTTTTAAACAAAAAAGATTTAATTTTAAACTTTTGCTTTTACTTTTGACATTTTGGACCATGAAGTTCAATTTAGCCTCTTTATACTCAAGAAGTTTGTTGCTAAAATACATTTTATCTTTAGGAAGAGAAGGAGATGTTGGCCACACTATCAAACACTGTAATCCCAGCAAGCGAACCGACTCTGTTGCGGCCACCGGTTCCTTCAACGAAACCCGTTGAGAATAAACAAGCCCGGCTTCTCGTTGGAGCTGTTAAGCGAAAAACAGGGTAGGGATCAAATTTTGTTATTTTATCTCTTTTTAGCAGTACAGATGAGGGAACGGCGTCGAAAGTGACCAAGAAGGAACAAGAAACTTCAGCGTCTGGAGAATCAACTAATGAGGTAGATATTTAAGCCATTAAATAAGGAATTAGCTATTGATTTCATTGATGAAATGATGAATTTCATTTAGGAATCCCCTGTGCAGAAGCCCGTGTCAAGTCTGGTTGCTTATGGAGATTATTCGTATGTTTTACAATAAATAAAGGAAATTATTTTATTTTAGTGACTCGGAAGACGATGGCGAAAGCAATTAGATTGAAATTAAATTTTTCTTTGTTAATATTATGTTTTTATGTTTTATCTTGTTTTGTACATATCTGAAAATGAATAAAGCGTGAACTATTTCAGAGTGAATTTTATTGGTTAAAAACTTATTTTTTATCTAAAAAGTTTCATTTTTTTTATTGTGTTTGACGTTTATTATTTATTTTAGATGAGCGTCGACGAAATAGCAGCGAAGAATGAAAGGGTTGCTGCACACTACAACGCGGTCCCCCAACAGCCAGTCATGGATCGAGTCGATAGCCGGATATTCTTTATGAGAAATATGAACAATTGGATCAAAAGTGCTTTGATTGGTTGGTTTGATTCATTTTTCAGCGATTCTTTAACGCTTTTCAAATTTAGGAGACATTTCGGATCGTTTGAAAAGAGATGGTTGCTACAATCCGCGTGTCCTCGATCTTGCTTGTGGAAAAGGCGGTGATTTGAGAAAATGGCAGTTTGCTAATGTTAAGAGCATCGTTATGGCAGGTAAAGCATTTTGTTTTTGAAGATAAGTATACCTTTGCAAGCAATAGATAACAACACTTTTTTAGATATTGCTGAAGTTTCCATTGATCAAGCTAAAGGTCGATATGAAGAGATGCAAGCACGTAGACAAGCCAACTTCGCTGCGCAATTTATTGTCGCTGATTGTTGTAAGGTGAGTTTTCAAATTCCCGTTCCCATTAAGATCCGTTAAGAATTCCCGTTAATATGCATCTAAATGATTTTATTCATTCTTGGCTTGAAAGCAAAGATTACTCGAAGATCGGAAAAGAAAGATTACCAAAGAAAGCTTTTTAGGAAAGATTACTCGAGAAGTACGAAGAGAAGCAACAATTCGATCTCGTTAGCTGTCAATTTGCTTTGCATTATTCGTTCATCACTCAAGAAAGTGCACAAATGTGAGACATTGCTCTTAGAATCTTTACACTTCATTTAGGTTCTTGAAAAATTGCACTGAAAATATTCGTCCTGGAGGATATTTTCTTGGTAGTCTACCGGATGCAAATCGGATAGTGTAAGTTTCATTTTCAAAAAAAATAACGAAATAACAAATAATGTACTTTAGATGGGCTGCACGACAAGGTGATGGAGAATTCAAGAACTCCGTTTGCAGTATCAAATTTTCAAAACCAGAAGAAATATTAAACGGAGCTCAGCCACCGCTTTTTGGATCGGAGTTCCATTTCACATTGGATGCTCAAGTATTTTGTGTTAATTTAAAGTATACTTTGATTTTTTTTAGGTTAACTGTCCTGAGTTTCTCTGCCATTTCCCATTGCTCGTGAAGTAATTCGTAATTAATAGATTATTCAAAAGGAATTTTTTAGAATGCTTGAGGAATGTGATATGGAATTGGTGTACCAGCTTCCTTTCCCGGATGCCATCAAGCATTATAAGGAGGCTCGAAGAGATGGTTCGAATTTTGAATTATACAATGTCTTACGATTGTTTTAGGTTTAATTTTATTCGATCGAATGAAGGCCCTCGAAACTTATCCTGCAACTGGTGATAAAAAGCTAGCTGGAGCTGATGAGGATTATGAACACCCGAAGAAGTTGCAGGATCAGTTCGATATGGCGAGCATCGTTTGTTTTAAAGTTATATTGTATTTTTGTAACTACGTGCATTTGAAGTAGCTTTGTCTATTCTAGGGTACATTGTCCAAGCCCGAGTGGGAAGCTGTCTCGATGTACATTGTCTTTGTTTTTCGTAAGAAAGGTTCGTTTTTAATACTCGATTTCAAATTAAGTTAATGGTGGTTTCAGGTGGAAAACCAAGAGAACCATCAAACCGTCAATCACATGGAGAATGGAAAAGTTTATTAAACGTTTTGTTTTTGATTTAGTTGTAACTTTTAGAACCAAGACTCGCAGAAAAGACAGAGGAGCCGTTGGAAAATAATGATGGTCAATCAGAAGATGTTGTTGATGAAGAAAATGGCCAAGAATAAAGCGGCTAAAGGTTTCTCATTATGAAATTGTTGCTTTTGTTTGAAGTTGATGACTTTTTTTGGTTTGTTGAAATTTTTGTACGTTGTCATTTTTTCAATCTCGATACACTCGATCTTAAGTTTCGGGTTTAAATTTTTTACTTATGTTGTTTGTGAATTTTCTTGGTTGAATAAAATGTTTACAATGACTAATAAAAGCAATAGAAAAACGCTTGGAAAGACAGACAACTTTTTACTTGGCTATTTTGCGCTCGAATTACAGTAAGAAAGAGTCAAGCACCGTTATTTCTTGCTGTAGCTACCGTATGCCAAAGAAAAGATTGCATGGCATTCTTTTATTCTTTCGAGTTTTCAATTTGCTTTATAATTTTATCATTTTCATTTTAAATGAGAATACATTACAGAAAATTTAATGGAATTAGTCGATTGCGCTTTTTGTCAAACTACAGTTGATCAGAGTGAGGCCACAAAGGTAGTTCTTACATCATGTTATTACAATTGTAAAATTGTTTTTAGATAATCAATCTTGCTGCTGCCGAATTCTTCGATGATCGATTGGCTAATTTTCTTCCTGAGCCAAAATACTTCTTGAATCTCTTCAAGAAGAAACGGGTATTGCTTTTGGATGTGTGGAAAGGGCATCGATGTGCTAGTGTTGTTTTGTAGAGGGAGCTAGTAAACTAGGAATTTAAATCGTTCTTGATAGTAAATCTTGATAGTAAAGTAAAGTAAATTAATAGAAAGTTTTGAAGTTTTTTTTTAGATAGAAACCCCAAAATCACCAACTCTGTGGATTTGTGAAATACATCAAAAGCATTCATGGTATGGTCCGACAACGAGCAAAAGTGTTTCAAATGTGAGTTGGGTTTTTTATTTTCTTTTGAATTATCGTATTTATGTGGCAAATAAGTCTTTTTGGTCTTGGAAAACAAGTCTTTTTGGTCTTGGAAAACAAGTCTTTTTTTTCTTGGAAAATAAGTCTTTATGTTCTTTTTGTCATACTGCTGTTTTAAAATCAATTCATCCATTTACCTAAGGTTTACTCTAAATAAAAAGGATCTATGATTTGATTAAAAAGATTAGAAAGGATCTGCGATTCGATTAAAAAGATCAGAAATGATTTTGGATTCGATTAAAAAGATTAGAAATGATATTGGATTCGATTTCCAATTTTTTTTTTGATCTCTTGATCTGATTTGATCTCGATCCATTTCCAAGCAAATCAAAATGCAAAAACAGCTTTTTTTTTCTTTTCGTAAAAATCTATTCAAAACGCCTACAAAGAAATTGGCTTGATTTGATGATTCAATTTCTTTGAAAATTTGTCTATATTTCTAACATTTTGGGCTCTATCTTTTATCTATTGACACGAAAATAGGATTACCTAGTCAAAGTACCTGAATCATATCATTGAATCGTCGATCTTTCTTTTGACTACCCAAATTCTTGCCCCTAAAAAAATGGCTGAGCTCCGTTTAACACATAAGAAATTCACACATAAGAAATTTGAAACCCATTTCAATGTGGTTTTGGTAGAAAAATGATTTGCCATTTCAAATGGAAGAATTTCTAATGAAACTGTCGTTCAATCGATGCATTCGTTGTTTTTAAAAACAGAGCGAAAAGATTTGTTTGTCAAACCATTATTTCAATTGATTTGAAATAACGATTCAATTTAGGATTCGTTGAATGCTATCATGAAACAAATGTATCCCGGGGTGAGGAAATTTTGAATTTTTTAAAACTTTCATTAATACAATTTATAGAATCAAGAAGAATCAAGAAGAATCATAATAGAATAGAATTAAGAAGAATTAGAATAGAATAGAATAGAATTAAGAAGGACCAGAATAGAATAGAATCAAGGAGAATAGAATAGAATTAAGATGAATCAGAATAGAATCAAGAAGAATCAGAATAGAATAGAATTAAGAAGAATAGAATCAGAATAGAATAGAATTAAGAAGAATCAGAATAGAATAGAATCAAGGAGAATAGAATAGAATTAAGATGAATCAGAATAGAATAGAATCGAGAAGAATCAGAATATAATAGAATTAAGAAGAATCAGAATAGAATACAATACAATCCAATCCAATCCAATCCAATCCAATCCAATCCAATATAATACAATACAATTTCTAGAATCAACTTATCAGTTACGCGGAAACACCATTTGCTCAAGTTTATGCACGAGAAATCGGATTTGAGGCACGTTTTACAATTGCATTTCAACTAGTTTATGGTTTTTGATTCGGATTTATTTTTTTTTTTTTTTTAAAGGATGGATGCGCTAAATGTGGACGAATTGGGGTTCCTTGGATCACGCCAATCAATCCCGCATCGAGTTTTGTATGTTTCTGATGATCGCTTTGATTAAACTTATTGATTTTCAGGCTTTGGGACGATATATTGAACCAAATTGTTGGGAGCCAATCGAAGGAGCACGAATGTGCAGGTGCTTTTTGCTGCTATTGCACGACGATATGAAAAAGAAAACATTATCTACAGAAAACATTTTCCCGAAGCATTACTTCAAGGCGAAATCGATGTCAATTTTCGAAGTTTTCATAATGGAAAGTCGGCAAAGTTTGGAAAAGTTTGTTTCTTTAGATCTTGGTAAATCGAAATTTAGGTGACAGTCGATTGTGTCTTTTGTGAATACTGTGAAACGTTTTGCTCACCTGTTGAAGCTGTGCCCGTCGATAATCCTGATCATTTACCTCATTCTTTTCCTTCTCATCTTGCGGAAAGGTAATTTTTATGTTTTTCTTGTTAAAGATCAACCTTAAACGAAAGATCAATCTTAAATTTAGAGTACGTAACATGCCATCCGAGTCACTTTACTTCTGCAATAAGCACTTTTTGACTGGAGTAACGGTATTTATTGATTAGTTACTGAAAAATATGAAAAACTTCTTCTTTCAGGAAAATTGCCGCATTTGTCGAAAGTTTCCCGGTGAATATTTCACTATGCAAAACGAATCGGTTCGTCAATCAATGGGAGAGTTCTGGAAGGTTCTCCTTGACTCGAGAACAAGAATTTGTCGCTCACACGTTGGCGAGAAGTTTATTTCAAGTCGGAAAGGAGAGGTTCTATTTCGAGTATCATATAGTTTTTAATCCTTTCGTAAATTTAGTTGTTCCTTATGTCGGTGATTTGTGACTATTGTCAAGCAAAAGTTCATTTACTTGACACTTATGGAGGGTAATATTTCAATTTCAATTCAGAATTGATGAAGAATCGATTATGTTAAGATTATGATCGATTATAATCGATTAGGATCAATTAAGAATTGATTATGATCGATTATGATCAATTAAGAATCGATTATGATAAGATTTGTTTGTTTGCATTTTAGATTTGCACCCCAAATGATCAGCTCACCATTTCCTAGACCTTTCTTAAGCAGGTACGATTTTATAGACTCCTGTTTTTTTTTTTATTACAATGTTTAGAGTTGAGAAAAAGACCATTGCTGATGTGCGCATTTGCCGACGACACTATAAAGGACACGATGGATCTCGGGTAGGGGTTTTTCTGTTATCAATTTTGAAATATAAAACTTTAAAATGTGTAGAAAGAATTTAAATCTAGTGTTATAGCTAAAATTGATGCTTTTAGGCGACAAGCAAACTTCATTACACCATTATGTCAGCGTTGAAAGCGTCATCACAAGAATCAGCAAGTGTGCTTCGTGGAATAACTGGTAAGCTTTGAGCACACTAAGCAGAGCTAATGTAAAGCTTTGAGTATGCTCATGATAAATTAAATCTACTTTAGAAATCTCTCCTCCTCGATCAAAACAATCAAGTTTAAAAGAAGTTACACGGAGAACGAATGGACAGAAAAGTAAAGACTATAAAAATTACAATAATAATGGATTTTTTTTTTTGTTTTAAGGAAACTATTCCAACTCTTGGGGTGAATCAAAACTAGAGGATTTTATCTCGTTTTGGAACAGAAATGCAACAGAGTGCTTGACGAGTGATTTTGTAGAAGAGGAAGATCAAGCTTTGTTCAAAATGCCAAAACTTGGTTGGAGTTTTTTTGTTTGTTTGTTTTTTTAGCAAAACTGCTTTAGAAACTGAAGAAACACTATCAAAAGTCGAAAGTTTGAGAGAAATCAAAAAGGAGCCGCCCACAGATTAAAGATTTATTTTTTCGATATCCATTTATTGGGTATTGTTTTATCGATTAGGTATTGATTTTAGTTGTGTGTCATTTTCTTTTTGATTCATTGCCCACATTGACAGGTGCAGTATGAGGGTCGAATCAAATTCTAAACTTTTTTCTTTTATTGATTCTTTTATTGGTTCCTTTTATTTTTATTGGTTTCTTTTTTTTTTCCTTTGAATAATAAATTTATTGAATATTGATTGAAGTTTTTGAAATGCTGGTTTACATTTTTGAAATATCTTAAATTTTTGCGAATTTGAAGGGTTTTTGATTTGAAATTTTGCTAATTTGAAGTGTGGAATACCGTAATCCAGACAGTCTAGACTGAATACTCTAATCTAGACTGAATACGGGGTAGGCTAGTTTCCGCAACTTTTTTTTGCGCAACTGGGTCATTTGCGCAAACTCACCATAACTTTCTTCTAAGTGGGCTAATCTTTATGATTTTAGTGTCATTTTATTGCACTTATTGAGATCTACAAAATGACACTAAAATCATAAAGATTAGCCCACTTAGAAGAAAGTTATGGTGAGTTGCGCAAATGACCCAAAAAAAAAGTTGCGGAAACTAGCCTACCCCCTGAATACTCTAATCTAGACTGAATACCGTAATCCAGCTAATCATTGGTACCTGGTAGCTCGTAGATCTGGGGATATTTCCATTAGCTGTGTGATGACTTTTAAGTGATCCATGGCTTTGTTCTCGCCCAAAAATCAGATCATCGGCAACATCCTGTGAGTTTGATTATCTTGATTATCTTGGCGTTCATTGGTTTTTGTGATACCTGGTATGATCTTCTAGCAGTTAGGTGATCTCGTTCTTTCTAGAATTTGAATAGAGTTAGAATGGGCTTTTAATGATTTGATGGACCTAATGGAGCTATTATTTGATGGGGAGCTAATGGAGCTAAAATTTGTTGTTAGCTCACCCGTAGAATAGCACACGTTTCTTCTAAATGGTCGGCTCTATCGCGAATTTGATGAATCTTCTTCTGAGCTGCTTGAAGTTCTCTTTCGTAACGTTCTTCGACTTGATTCCAATTTGATTCGAGTTGCTAAAGAAAGGGTAATTAGGCAACTTGATATTTGCACTAACTTGTCTCTCGTCTTGCAATTCTCTCAACTTCTCAGCTAACTCTCTAATGTGCCGATCAGCTCGTTCCAATTGGTCATCCCGTGAACGCAGCATTTTCTCCTAGAGTTTTCCCCCCATCTATTGGACTTTAAACATCGAAAAACTACAAAAATGATGGACTGTTATACTACAAAAGCTTCTAACTTTCTTCAAATCTGTTGGATTGATATGATCTATAGCTTTAAAAAAATAGAGAATCTCAAGAGCTTTCAAATGGACTAAAGCACAACGAAAAATATCAATTCTAAAGATAGTTACAGTGATTTGTAAGAAAATGGATCGTACTCGAGCGTAGTCAGACTAGAAATCACTGTAACTTTCTTGAATGAGATTTTTGAGTGTTCTTTGATCCATTTGAAAGCTCTTGAGAGCTCTCGATTTTTTTTAAGCTATAGATCATGGCAATCCGAAAGATTTGAAGCAAGTTAGAAGCGTTTGTAGTGCCCATTTTTATGTCTATTGTATTCTCTATCAAGATGCGGTTTAGTTTTACGCTCAAATCTACCGTATCTACGAGCTTTCGTTGTGTGCTTGCACTTCGCGTTTCAACTGATCGACGATCGCGATCAAAACGCTTCTGAATTTCATTTCTCCCCGAAATTTATGTTCTTCAACCCTTACAGCTTCTCGGTGTAAAGCCTCGTTTTCGATAACCAATTTCGAAATCTCAGATTCAAGAAAAGTGACCGTATCTGAAGGGATTTTGCGTTGAGAATTTTTTGCTTTGAATCTTTTAACAACCTACTAATGATTGACGATCTTCGTGATTGTGCATGAATAGGATTTGAAGAACGAATTCAGAACAAGCTAGTAGTATGATGGAAATGCACTGATCCAAGTTGGTCTCCGAGCGGTCACCGGAAGTACCTTGACAAGGGAAACCCATTGCACATTGCACACACCAAAATCTCTCACGCTGCACTGCATCCGTACACTTGAAGGGGTTAAAAATGAGACGTGGGAACTCTACCAAAAAGAAACATGAATAAGCGCTTCAATGTGAACTTTGACTTTAGTAATGTGAATTGTTGTACTTGGTACTTGGTAATCTGTTTTTTTTGCGAAAAAAACAGAACGAGAAAGTGTGGTGCGGAGAAAGTGCCGAAGTTGAGAGAGAAGAAGAGAAAGTGGCTACTTTGCGCCAAATTTTTTGGCGCAACTCGCCATAACTTTCTTCTAAATGAGCTAATCTTTATCATTTTAATGTCATTTTATAGATCTCAACAACAGCAACAAAATAACACCAAAATCATAAAGATTGGTCGACTTTAAAGAAAGTTATGGAAAGTTGAGCAATTTGACAAAAAATTTGGCGCAAAGTAGTTTGATCTAATTGAAATTTTATGCAAAGTAAGCGCAGTAAGAGCCTATTTATCGTAAACGATGTTTTAACATTTGTAGAAAACGTTCATTCATTCATCCATTCATTCATACATTGTATGACATTGGGAAACCAATTGGCGCACTTTTTTTTTCCGGTTTTGACTTTGAAAATTCAACAATTCTGAAAGCTTTACTGCTTTAATTTGCTTTTCAGCTTTTGCTAATTTTCAGCTTTTGTTGATAGGAATTATTTTTCTAGAAGTTAGACTTTCGTATTTACCGTAGCACCACCGCGCAACGCGACGCAACAAAAGACACATTGTTTTTGAATGTCGAGCAACCATTTTACGAAATTTTTATTCATCAAAGTTGTGCAAGATGATTGGAAGATGATTTTATGATTTTATGATTACATGATTTTATAATTTTATCATTTCATGATTTCCTTTGAGGAAACACGTTGATCTCACTTGATCAATTTGTATTTTTTTTTTTTTTTAAATTTTTACTAAATTTAATTTACTTTTCCTTGGGTAATCAAAAATAATGTATATTTTGTATTTTTTAGATATTAGATAATATCTTGAAAAAGTTTTAGTTGAATAAGTAAAAAGTTGAATAATTTTTACGGGGTAGGCTGATTTCCGCTATTTTTATTGAGATTTCGAGAACTAGCTAAAGTTCTCAGGCTTAGGCTTAGGTTGCCTTTTTGCTAGAGTTTTGCCTCTGTAGTGTTGCTATGTTGCTAAGCTTGAAAATGAGAAGAGAGGCAAAATATAAAGTGGATAACTTGTTCAAAATATTAGAAAAATATCGTCAATCGGTTAAGCGTGGTTGATTATTTTAGAAAATGTAAAACAGATTAGAAACAAAGTCTGATCAAGTCTAGAATAAGTCTTTAGATTAGTCTGATCAAGTCGAGTCAAAGTGGCCTCCCTAAGTTTATTAGTACCTTTTCTTTTTGCCTTATATTAAGTTTTCATCTAGTTAACTTTTTATTTTTAGAAAGCCTGACAATGTCGATCTCGAGACGGCTCCAGAAAGAGCTAGCGGATATTCAAGGGTCCGGCGCCAAACCCTACAGCTCGGTCGAGTACAACGAAAGCAATTTGCTACATTGGACAGGTTGAACTTTAATGAAATTCTTTATATTGTATTAGTTTTGTTATTAAAGGTAGACTTATTAAATGAAAACTATTTGGTGCTATAGTAGTTGGGTGGGCAGTGTACATTCATCTCGATTGAGCCAAAGCTCACTAATTTTTGCTTCTAGGGTTTTTTTAATGGTGTAGATTCTTTATTTGGTATTTATTTAAGCTTTGATAACTTTTTTTCTAGCTATTTCAAGCAGTGACTGTGGCTTTAAGCGTCTTAACTCAATCCTGCATCTTTTAAACCCAGTAGAGCCACTCTTAAAGGCTCGAAATTGTTGCTCAAACTGGCATAAAAGTTGGAAAATGAAGGTTTTTTTATTCCGAATCGTTTATAAATGCTTTCAATGGATTCATGGCAGTTAATTACCCTAGAAAAAAAGTTTTAAAAGCTAGTGGCTAGTTCGAAAAAATCGGTGTTTAAAAACTGCCCCTCGCCCAACTACTATAGCACCAACTATTTAAAGTTAGAATATCAATCGATCTGTGTTTTTAGTGTTGTTGCATCCCGACAAGGAGCCTTACTCAAAGGGAGCTTTCCGAGTGCAAATCGATTTCCCAGCCGACTACCCATTCAAGCCGCCAAAGCTGACGTTCTTGACGAAGATCTATCATCCAAACATTGACGAGCAAGGACAAATCTGTCTTGGAATCGTTCATCCGGACAACTGGAAACCAGCGACTCGCACCGAGCAAGTGCTCATGGCTCTTCTTCAACTCATCAACGACCCCGAGCCCGACCATCCTCTTCGTGCTGAGCTCGCCGAGGAGTTCCAGAAGGATCGGAAGAAGTTTCTCAAAAACGCCGAAGAATTCACCAAGAAGCACTCGGAAAAGCGCACCGACTAAAACAATCCTTTTTACTGTTAGCACTTTTCCTATTCTATTTTTCAATACCCAAATTTTGTCTTGCTCTTCGCGAAATCTCAACACCTGAGTTTCTTTATTGTATTCCATGGGTATTTTGTGTCTTCTGTGATGTAAAGTTGAAATTCATTTGTGGATATACCCCATTATATATGAACAGATTCCCAATTCTATTTTAACCAATTATAGAGTGGTTCTTATGAATGTTAAATGTGCAAATTTGGTGATTAAAAGGAATAAATTTTTCATGTTTAAGTTCTTATAAAAAAGCAAGCGCTATCCAAGCAGTAATTTTTTTTTTCTAGAGTTAAAATCGTTTTTCAAAGGCATGTATGTACCAAAGTACTTTTGAAATTTTCAGAAATGGCAGAAGGACAGCCTGAAGATATTGATGTGGCGAAGACGTTGGCAAAATACACGAATCGTCGGAAGCAAATTGAAGCCGAGGAGAGGGCTCGACGACGTGAGGGATTTTTGTCATCAGGTGACTCCGATATCGAACTCGAATCGTTCATCCCGGCTCATCGTCGGCGTAAAGAGAAAGCTGTGCGACGAGCTCTTGTTCAAAATGTTCTCACAGCAGGCGCCAATCAAATGGCAAAGCATGAAGAAGTCGAGAAGAAACGACGAAAACGCGAAGAACAAAAGGCAAAAGAGGAAGAGAAAAGGAGTTTGCTTGAGAAACATGGCGACTATCAACAAGAAGAACAAGATCCGGTCGATCTTCAGCGAAAAGAAGAAGAAGCCATTTTGGCGGCTCTAAATGATCAAAGCAGTTTGCTGGCGATAGCAGAAGCAGCACGAGGCGTCACTTATTCAAGTTCTTTGCGCACGGGATGGGTTCCGCCTGGTCATGTACGTCGACAAAATGAGAGCGATTGTGTAACTTTTCGTCGCAAACGAGGAATCACGGTTGAAGGAGAGCAATGCCCACCACCTATTGGCAGCTTTCTGGAGATGAAGTTTCCACGAGCTCTCTTGGATGGCTTAAAAAAGAAGAACATCACAGTACCTACACCGATTCAAGTTCAAGGATGCCCAGTTGCATTAATGGGACGGGATATGATCGGAATCGCTTCAACGGGTTCAGGAAAAACGATAACTTTTGCTTTACCGATGGTCATGTTTGCGCTTGAGCAAGAAGTTGCTTTACCATTCGAGCGAGATGAGGGACCGTATGCATTGTGTATTGTTCCATCACGAGAGTTGGCGCATCAAATTCATGACGTTGTCTCGGACCTTTGCAAAGATCTTTTGAGAGCTCGTTTTCCGGAAATTCGTGTCGCGCTTTGCATTGGTGGAGAACCCCTTGGTGAACAGGCTCGGTTGTTCCATCGAGGAGTTCACATCTGCATTGCGACGCCTGGTCGTCTATCGGATATGCTTACGAAAAGGATCTTCAATTTGCAGCTGTGTCGTTACTTGGTGCTGGACGAAGCTGATCGAATGTTGGACATGGGTTTTGAAGATGAGATCAAAAGTATCTTCTCGTTCTTCCGATCACAACGACAAACTTTACTCTTCTCGGCGACGATGCCAAAGAAGATTCAGATTTTTGCAAAGAATGCACTTATCAGGCCAATCATCGTGAACGTCGGACGAGCTGGAGCGGCTTCGTTGAACGTTTTACAAGAATTTGAGTACGTTTCACGAGAAGAGAAACTTGTTCGAATTTTAGAGGCCTTGCAAAAGACGCCACCTCGTGTGCTTATCTTTGCTGAGAAAAAGCTGGATGTGGACAGTATTTATGAGTATTTGTTAGTGAAAGGCATTGAAGTTGCCTGTATTCACGGTGGAAAGGATCAAAAAGATCGACACGAGGGCATCGAAGCTTTCCGTCGAGGGGAGAAAGATGTGCTCGTGGCAACTGATGTTGCTTCAAAAGGTCTCGATTTTAAAGACATCCAACACGTTTTAAATTACGAGATGCCTGACGATATCGAAAATTACGTTCATCGAATTGGACGTACAGGAAGGTCCGGTAGAAGAGGTCTCTCCACAACATTTATCAACAGACGCACGGACATGAACATTATGGCCGATTTGAAGCAATTGCTTATCGAAGCTGGACAACCGTTGCCTGAGATGTTGCAAGAGCTTGGTGGTGGTGACGATGCTGCACAGAGCATGACGGGAACGGGACAGGACCGTGGATGCGCCTATTGTTCGGGTCTTGGACATCGTATTACCGAATGCCCCAAACTTGTCGGCATTCAGGCGAAAGCTACCCAAAATATGCAACGAGCTGCCGGAGAAGAGGGACACTACTAATTTTATGTCGGCTTTTTGTTGTAGAGTTGTGATATTGTGATCTCATTAAGTTCGGAAATTATGATTTTAATTGCCTTTTCTTTATTTTTATGTCCTCTTATTGTTATTGTTGTTTTAATGATAAATTTAATTTCCAGATGGAAGCCCCAGCCGAGTTCAATCGGCTTGTTTTTGAGAGAACCCGACTCACCAACGACTACTGCACACTGGCCGCCGAATTGGAATCGTTATTGGAAGCTGTTCGCTATGACATCTCTAAAGCAAAGTAAAAGAGTTACACATAATGTTTTTTTGAAAATTTATGCTTTAGGACAATCAACGGCCTTTCACTTTCCACAAATATCTTGCCTGGAGCGATCGATTTAGAGCCATATGCAAGGTTGGCGTTGTTGCTAAAAGTAAAAAGCATATAAATAAGTTTGTTTGTTAATATTGTAAAGTTTAGAGTGCATATAGACAACTCGAGGTTTTCATTGCACGAGGATGGGGAAGAGAGAAAAGAGGAAACGGTTTAGGATATTTCTGAATTGCTAATTTTTATTGATTTTTTAGGCTCATAGAAGAAAAGGCCCAGCAAACGACGATGAGCCAAAAGAAGAGGAGAACAAAGCCGAAAAACGGGTCAAGCTACCTCAAGGCGCCTATCGACCGTTTGGAGTTCTTGAACCTGAAGCAGCGAAAGTAGGGTTTTGAAATAAATCGAAACTTTTATTAGCTCAATAGTTTACTTTTTTCTTTATAAACATTGACTCAATTTGCTTTACTAGCAGTTTTTAGATCTTGCTTCAAGAAATCGAAATTTAATCACGAATAAAAGTAAACAATTGCCTCTCAGGCTTATCTATTCCACAAATTTTGTCTTTCGTTAGATGGCCCGAAAAGAAGCCGCTCATTCACTAAAGATTTGCTGCGAAATGGCGGGAATTCGTTCGAGAATTTGCACGATCGATCAACGTCTCGAAGTGCTGAAAGCAGAAACTCCCGAACTCGTCGAACAGATAAAAAAGTTGGTGCTTTAAAATTGTCTGTACTTTGTAGTTCTAGAAATTTTCCATTATCACAGGCTGTGAATTGTGCTCATTACATTGCCCTTACCCGAATTGTGATACATCTTTTCTATCTAGTGTTTGTAAAGAATTTGCGTCTTTGTGTAAATTAGATGCTGAATAAACGATATAACAATTCTTTCAGTTCAAAAGTCGGGGGCCTCCTAGTTTATTGAGAGTTTTGGCTAGAAATTGAATTTTGAAAATTGATCAGTTTCAACAATGTTCTTCACCGATGGACTACCTTCATCGGATTCGGAATCCGATTTCTCGGTTTCGGGACCAAAACCGAAAAAAGCTGAAGCTAGCAAGTATTGTTTATAATCAATTTGGAGAAACATTTCTTTTTTTTTAGTTTGAGTGCCATTTTCTCTTCACCAAAACGCCCAGTCGAAAGAAATGAGCAAAAACAAGCGGGTAATTGTTTTTAAAATGAAATTTTAACTAATCGTAAGACCTGTAAAGTATCTGTAAAGCTTCAAAACTCAGGTATTGCTATAGTTCTAAAACGTGTAAGTCTTATCTAAAGGTATATTGACAGAAGCCTCGACGTCATCTGTAACATTGTCGGTGAAAACCGTTTTCTCCACCTCGGCTCACTCGTTTTTGATGAGAAACGATTCGGAAGAATTCGAACCATATTTGATGATTGGATTAGCGGGGATATTGCAACAAAATGTGGTAATATTTGATGAAATTTGCGAAAAAACACCTTCAGCTTCTTCTCTCTAGCTTCGTTTAATCTTGTACACTCCCGACAAAAAGTCGATTCATCAAGTGGCTTTGCAAAGGATGATGACTACAGGTTAGTGTTTTGGTCTACTGTAAATGTTAGTTTAGGGTACTATAGAATTTGAACCGTATTTGATGATTGGATTAGATGACTATAGCTGTGATACAACGGTACACTGTAACACTAGGTCACTGTAGGTCACAAAAGAAGATTCGATTGAAAATCCAAAAAACCCCCCCGCCGTTTCAGATGACTCATCTCAAATCTCATTCGCATATCCTTATGTCTATTTTCGAAATGGTACAAATTTCAAGCAAATGTCGATCATTTTCTCGCAAACACAAATTGATGAGTATTTGGAGTTTTTGATTTGGGTAAGAGCTTGAAAAAAAACAAATTTTGACATATAAGCTTTTGTTTTTTTCCAGTTTCTAATCTTCACAAATGAGACGAAGAGCTTTCAAATCGATTTGGGAAATGGGGAGTTTTTGATTGAGATCGGCGATTCAGTTCTGGTAGAGGTTGGGAGAAATTTGGATTGGAAGAGAAAATGAACAATGTTTAGGTGAAACATTTCACTGTGGAAGATGCGTGTTTGAAAGTAAGACTTATTTCTGAATTTTTTGAAATTTTTATTCTAACAGAAAACGAGTGAGGAAACGAAATTTCGGATTCGAGAGAACTCGCCGAAGTTCGAGAATTTTCAGCACTTGATCGGATTGAGAAAAGGAGCCACGGTTGTAGTGGGTATTTTAAAAAATTGTAGTCAATTGTAGTTGCAGTATCAGTAACGTACTGATACTGTACTCAAGTTGATATGCAAATTTGATCAATTAGCTGTACATGTCTACTGAGCTGTCGCTGAGATAATAAGCTAATAATAATTGAGCTGTAGTACTGTTTTCAGTAAAATGCAGCTGATTGAATTTGCAGATCAACTTGAGTACAATAATCGGTCTATAGAACTGTACTTTGATGCTACAGTACGACAGCTTGGTGACGATTAAAAATGGACGTTTTATGTCTGTCGTACAGTACTTTCGTACTGTACCCGTCGTACAGTACTTTATCGTGCAGTACCCCGTTTACGGTAATCGATATTCAGCTGAGAACGCAAAGTGGAGAGATTGTCGTCTTGCGGGTTCGAAAGCATAAGAAGGCCTCTGATGAGAGCAAGTGAGTACTTTATCAAATTTATAACTGTACTGCAATAGTTTAAGATAGTTATCTAGATCTAATTTAGAAGCCTTCAAGAGCCTAGCGAAGCCAAAGATCTCTCCGAAACACCGGAACCGACTCCAGTCGAGAGTCACGAAAACTCGGAACCCCGGGAATTGGACAATGGAAATGTTGAAGTTGGCGAGGCAAAGGGTTTCTTTGATTACTTTAATAAGTACTACTCTAAGGTTACAGTACTCTTGCATTGTGTAATGATTCCTAGCTGCAGTACACTAACAAGGGAACTGTTGAGTTGAAAGAGTTCCCCTAGTAAGGCTGATTGATCAATCCTAATGTTATTAGTACTCTTTTTGTACGATAGTTTATACAGTACGATAGTTTAAAGAGGATTATGGATTCTCAAATGATACAAGAATTTGGATAAACAAAAGAGCTGAGCTTTTAGAGCTGAAACCGAGCGTGCTTGAGCGAATGGCTCGATTGGGACAACCGGTGCTCGGGATGAGGAATCTGATTGGGAAAGATGAGCTGAGATCAAAAAATGAATCGACGAATAGAGAAGAAGAAGAAGAAGAAAATGAAAAAGTTGATTAAATGATTTTTTTTCGATTTTTAAACTCGAATCTCAGATTTCAATTGTTTCTTCTTCGAAAATCGAACTCGAAGAAGTGAAGGATTTGAGAGATTGTGAAGCAGAAAAAGCAGAAAAAGCTGAAACGAGGGAAACTTTTGAAAGAAACGAGGTCAGTAAGACAGATTTTAAGGTATTTTTGTGCTCAAAACTGTAAACATATCGAATCTGGTGCACTGAGGTTGTCACTTATCTTGTGGCTTTTAGACGTTTAACGAGTAAAGAAAGTCTTATTTAGAATAAGAAGCGCAAGAGGCCCCTTTGAGCAAAGAGCTGTAAAAGGGTGCGAAAAAAGCAGTCGACTCAACTTGTTCGCATGGCACAGTGCCAGGGTGGCTGTTTCTCGATCAGACCCTCCCGGGTTTGATCCCGCTCTCAAACCCTCAGTTTTGCAATTTCTTCTTCAATTTTGGGAGGACAAAAGAAAAGCGAAATTTGCAACTTTCCTCTAAAAAGGAAGCATTGAGTGCGCTAGAAAGAGTGCCTTTAAGCACTTAAACAGAGTACAGAGTACAATAAATTTCAGCGCTCTCTCTTGAACGATTACGAATTGGTGCATCGCGTGATCGGCGTTGAGATGGATCGTTTAGAGGGAAGACTCGAGAAAAGATTTCACCAAATATCGACTCGATTTGAGGAAAGGGTGAGCTTTTTGTAATTTGTGTAATCGAATATCTAAAGAGTACCGTAATCTCGGTCATTTATTGAGAACCGATGAGCATAAATTTGAGTTTCTGAAAGGTGCACCGATGAAAAGGATTTCTTTTCTTCTTTCTTCTTTCTTCTTTCCCCTTTCCCCTTGTCTTTCCCTCTTTCTCTTAAAAGTACCAAATAGCTCAGTGGTTAGAGCAATTGCTTGGAAAGCAAAAGGTTAAGGGTTCAATCCCAAAAAAAACCGCTTTTTTTTTGTCACTTCTTTCACTTATTTATCATTGCTATCCATTAAAAAAATCATTTATCGATAATGGTGAAAAAGGAAAATTTCAGCTGGATTCGATTGATAAAAAACTACAGCAACTCATCGAGCAACAAGGGAAAAGTCGAGGAAATTCGTTGATTGATTGAAATAGAAAAAAAAGATAAGACAATATTATGACAATAAAATATTAGATTCTCTTCGAGAAGGCACAAGCGATGGCAGTGAGAGAAATCGTTTTTTTTTTTTTTTTTTTTGATTATGCTGGTTGTGGGCGAGGATTGGGAATAGCGGAGAATATTTTGAATATCTTTTTGATTTTCAAAGCAAAACCCAACGGCAGCTGTGTACTGCGAGGGAAAAAGCGGAAAAACGCTAGAGCTAAGCTAAGCTATAACCTTTCCCGCTCTATTCATATCGAAATCGTCGATGATCGGCCTCTTGGAAGCGAGATCGATGCGCGAAAAACGCCGATAAACCGTATAAACATCCCAACAAGAAGCACAAAGCCTAAAAACTTTTTTTGGTTGAAGATCTTTTTAGAGACTATAGACTTTGGTAAGAGATCATGAGAGAATGAAGGACTCTTAGCTTCAATAACAGCTTCAATAACAGCTTGAATAACAGCTTGATTAACAGCTTGAATAATAGAGCAGACACCAATCTGATTGGTGTCTGCTCTACTATTCAATCTAATCAAAGCACTCACCGCTGCGAAAGCCCACTCGTAAACGAGACGGCAACCATTATGCAAAAAGCCGTCAGAACCGATGTCATTGCAATTGTTCGCCCATGAACCCGTCGAATAATAGCCTTCGACGAATGTCATGATAAAGAAGAAAAGTGAGGCTGTCGCTGAGAAGACTAGGTCCTGAAAGGCAATGGGTTCGAGATTAGCGGCCACTCACTTTAAAGATCTAGATAGTCTAGAAGAAATTCAGCTAACCAAGTCAAACTCAAAAGTACCGTAAGATTCCAAGGCCAGAAATCGAGGTGTGTCTCGTCGAGAGCGAAGAAGTAGACGATGAGGAAAATGAAGGAGACACAGAGGCAAACTCCAGCGAAAATTAAGAGCATCGTTTGCCCGAAAAGGACTCCTGAAGGGGAGATTTGAAAAAGAGATTGCAAAAGCCGAACCCGGGATCGAACCCGGGACCCTTGGAGCGAGAGACCGCCGCTCTGGCACGGCGCCATATGAACAGGTTGAAAGCCGGCTTTTCTGTGCGTTTTGAAGGCTCTTAGGTCAAAGAGACCTCTTGTGCTCAACTTGATCGTTGCTATAAAATAGCTTACTGTAGCTGAGCTAGCTGCCTGTAGCTCTAAGCCAGCTGCCTGTAGCTAAGCCAGCTTACTGTAGCCAAGCCAGCTGCTGTAGCTAAGCCAGCTTACTGTAGCTAAGCCAGCTGCCTATAGGTGAGCCAGCTTACTGTAACCAAGCCAGCTGCCTGTAGCTGAGCCAGCTTACTGTAGCTAAGCCAGCTGCCTGTAGCTATCAAAGGCTTACCTTTAAATGGACCCGGTCCGTAAACGGATGTGATCAAAGAGATGGCGACGAGCGCAAGGAACTAAAAGCATCAAATTCTTAGGGATTAGTCGATCATTTCCAACACTCACAATCTCGCATAGCCTCAAAATGCCCATTGGATGCATGCAACGAGCCGCATCCGTTCGCCCTAGCCCACAGCTGTAGACTTCGTCTTCTCTGTATCTGAGAAACGAATTTTAAAAAAGTCTTTATCTTTCTATCTGTTGTTTTTATTGTTTTAGATTTTTAAAGTACAAAAACCATCATTTTTTGGATTTTCAATAACCCAAAGAAAGCCTCTTGAGAAGAAAAAGGCGAGAAAAAGTACCCCTGTCAATTTGCTGACATAGCTCAGTGGCAGGTCTCTTGTCTGTCAAGCAGAGGGTCCAGGTTCGATCCCGGTTAGCGCTCTGACTTTCCCAAGAGGGCAGGGAAAGACGCCGATTCTGCGGCTTTAAACAGCCTCTACCTTGTGGTTTCTTTTGTTGTTGTTGTCACATAGGTTCCATCTGGTTGCGCTGTTGTGTAGATTTGTGCTTTCGGTGGTTCAGACATTCTAGAGGTTTAGATTTAGAAATTGAAAACTTTAGAGAAAAGTACAAGTCGATTTGCTCAGTTCTCTAGTTGCTACGTAAACTTTCGCTATCTAGCGCATTAGAATGAAAAATTCAGTGCACCAAGTGGTGAAAGTTTAGAGTGATGGATGATCAATTACAACAATCAAATGGGAAATCAATTATGATACAGATTAGAGATGAAACTATGAAAGTATAGAATAAAAAAGGATCAGAAATGCAAGTGTTGAAAAGAATGAAAGGAAAAAACAGATTCAAGGAGAAGAATCACGAAAAAATGTCTTTGTTATGAAGGGGGGGGGGATGCACAAATAATACTCAAAAAGGATGGGGGGGGGGGAAGGCTGTCTTGATTTCTGCTCAAGGTTCTCAAGAAAGGCAACATAAGGGATGGGCGATTGTACGATTCGTCATGCGATCATCCGAGAAAAGATTTGGAATGAATTTCTTGGAATATTCAAATAATTCAAATAACAGTTTTCGATCTAAGATCCCAGTTTCGGCAGGAAATCAATGTTCGTTTGAAATCGATACAGTAGAAAGATATAGAAAGATATAGAAAGATATAGAAAGATATAGAAAGCTATAGGAAGCTATAGGAAGCTATAGAAAACTAGAGAAAACTATAGAAAGCCTATAGAAAGCCTATAGAAAGCCTATAGAAAGCTCTCTGTGTTTTTCTTCGTGCATAACTAGGCATAACTAGACATAAAAGCATAAAAAAGCATACACATAAAAACTAGTTTTTAATGTATTTCTGGAAAGTAAAGTTCAATTTAGTCTAGGCACCAAAAAAAATGCTAAAAAATGCTAAAAATGCTACTAAAATGCGAGGTACATATTGGGTGAGTCACCGAAAGGAGAAAACTGCAGCAAAACTCACAAATTGCCTTCAATAAAGTCAGGAAAAAAGTGGGAGAGAGGTTTGTGACTGAAAAATTGGTTTAAGAAAGTCAAGAATTCAAGGGAAAAACTTGAAAAATGAAATTTGGCTGGTATTCAGCTTAGCCAGAAAAATGTTTAGTATAAAAGTAGATGTTTAGAAGCTTGCTTTTGAGTCATAAAGATATTCAGTCAAAGCAATAGAATGAAAACTCTGGTCAAGCAAAAAAAAACAGTGCTCAAAAAGGCTCGAATGAATTTTGGGTGAAAGGGGTGTGGTCGATGGAAGAAAAGAAAAGTTTTCTTTGCAAATAAGGTGGAGAATTGATGGAAAGTGTAGAGGGAAAAGGGGAGCAAGGAGAGAAATGCCTGAGATAGGACTGATCAAAGTGGGGTGGGGAATTGATAGGGAGAGGGAAAAGAAAAGGGAGATTGTTTTGGGGATACAGAGATCATCGATGAATCTTCTTTATTGCGAAAGGAGTACTTTCGAAAAACGAAAGTACTCTAGAAGGAGTACTTTCGAAAAACCTCTTAAAATTAGGATCAATAGAGCAACAACGGTAAAAAGCTATCGACTCTAATAGAACGCCACGTACAGTCGCGTAGTCTAACTTCTTTTTAGAAAATCATTCTTTTCTCAGTCGCTAGATTTCCAACTAAACTTTTGATATCAAAAAATACTAGATTTCAAGGGCTATCATTTGACACTCAAACGAAAACTGTAGCATAAAGCAGCGCGGAGAATGAAACGTTCAAAGTTCGACTACGCGACTGTACACCCGTCATTATGGCGTTCAAAGTTCAACTACGCGACTGTACACCCGTCATTATGGCATTCTATTAGAGTATTTACGGTAGGTACCGTTTTCCTAGGTAAAATTAGGGATCTTTACGGTTAACGGCGGGGGATAGCGATTATCGGCGGGGCCAATTTTTTGGTCAACTTTCAGCTCATTTTTAAGCACCATCAGATCACTTGTCCCTTTTTCCCCCCCCTTTTTTTTAGATCAGGAAGTTTTGTTAAGATTTAGATAGCTTAGAACATCAGCTTTCAGAAAATATTTGTTTTATCAAAATTTATTAACATAAACTTATATAAAATCGGGCTGGAAATTGATCAAAAACTTGGCCTCCGTTGGAAATTGGAAAAAAAATTGGAAATTGGCCCCCGCCGTTAACCGTAGAGGTCCAAAATTAGAATTCAGGCCATGGAAGTGCTGTCGTTCTGATCAAAATCGTCAATGTTTTAGTTTGACCGCTTTTGAAGAACGAAGTTTTGAATAAAATGAGAACGAATAAGAATAAACAAAGAAAGAACAAAATCTTTTATAGAAAAAAATCGAGGAAATGGGACAAATGCTACCTTTTTTTGCGCACACGGCCCACCAGGGCTAATATTTTTTTAAAAAGCTAATATTAACAAATTTCTATTCCAAAAAGTTGTTTTTCTGGGTAATTTTATGGCGTACAATCCAAATTTTGACATATAAGAGTTTGTGGAATCAATTTGAAAGATAAAAGGGTAGGTTTTTGAAAGGTAGGTCAAATTACAGAAAAATTACAGAAAATTATCGATTTTCGTTTTGTATAACTTCGCCTGTTTACTTCCACAAGCTCTGATATTTCAAAATTTGGATTCTACACTCTAAAATTACCCAGAAAAACCAATTTGCCAATAGAAATTGGTTATTATTAGCTTAAGGTCTTTTTAAAAGGCGAAAAAGGGTGCGCTATTGGGTCGGATGCGCAATAGACTTGCTTATCGATATTATCGATACGAACGGCATGCTCATGTTTGGCCGTTCAGATCTAAGCTTCTAGCTGCAAGCTTGCCTGTCCTAGAACTGGACAGGACTAGGACGTGCCTGTCCGCACCGATCACAACTGCCTATAGGTCTTGTGCTTTTGTGGTTTGTGTCTGAGTTAGGTGAAGCGCGAGCCTAACCCAAGCAAAAACTAAAAAAACGCGATACTTATAGGCAGGTGCAGACGGTGCAAAGGCCACAAACAATCTTCTTGGGGTAGGCTAATTTCCGCAACAGGGTCAACAGGCCAAATTCTTTTGCGCAACTCGCCAAAACTTTCTTCTAAGTCGGTCAATCTTTATGATTTTGGTTTCATTTTGTAGATCTCAATAAGTGCAACAAAATGAAAGCAACATCATAAAGATTGGTCGACTTAGAAGAAAGTTATGGCGAGTCGCGCAAATGACCCTGTTGCGCAAAAAAAATTGTGGAAATTAGCCTATCTCATCTTCTTGCAAGCAAAACAAATAATAAGTGACAAGAAGTTAAATGCAAAATGGCGCCAAATGAATAAGGTTTACTAAGCGACACTTATTTCTTGTTCTTCTAGCATCTTTGATGTGTTTCTTAGCCAAATCAGTCTAAAAATTCCATTCTGGAAAACCCCGTTTCTAGAACAGCTATCAATCTGAAAATTCTTTCATTAGAGTGTCAGCTTTTGATTGTTATTTTATACATGGCGACTTTTAATGAGTAAGCACCTCATAAACCTTATCGATACTTTTCGATATCGAAAGTCTCGATTATCGATTAGCTTGATTAGCTCGATAAGTGTTGATAAGCTTTTCAAGGCACTCACCTATGAGTTGCTCTGAGATAGCAATCAAAAGCTGACATTCTTGACTTCCCGAAACAATTCTCAGATTGATAGCTGTTCTAGAAACCGAGATCTGCACGATCATCGATAATATCGTAATATAATAATATAAGCAAGTCTAGTGCGCAAAAAAAAGGTCGCGTTTGTCACAATTCCGAAATCGACAAACAAAAAATGAAAAAGTTTTATCCAAAGAAATCGATAAATGTTGAATATTACGCCACTTGACTGAATATCTTCACTTTTGTAGCTGCATTGAGAAAAATTTTTCATTCTTTATTTGATTTTTGAATTGTTGCGCGCCAATCCTTTTGTTTTGCGTAGTTTATTAAACTTGACGGGGTGGGACAAATGCGACCTTTTTTTTGCGCACCTGGACATTTGCGCACCTTTTTTTGCTGGAAAAGGCCTTAGGCAAGGCCATAGAGCTTCAAAAATCTTTCCATATAAGGGAATCGTATGCGTAGATTCCGAATTTCGACAAATCAGACCTCGCTGACACGTCAAATTTGGGCTAAAAGGCAAAAGCGTTAAGTTGCGTAGTTTTTGCCTTTTAACCCAAATTTGACGTGTCAGCGAGGTCTGACTTGTCGAAATTAGGAATCTACGCATACGATTCCCTTCCATGAAAACATTTTTGAAGCTCTACGGCCTTACCTAAGGCCTTTTCCAGCAAAAAAAAGGTCGCATTTGTCCCACCCCCGATTTTTGAATTGTTGCGCGCCAATCCTTTTGTTTTGCGTAGTTTATTAAACTTGACTCATTTGGCGTTTTATTTCAAGAGCTCAATGAAAATGAGAAGAGCATCCGCGCTTTTAAACGTTAACCATGCTACAATCAATGCTTGTCAACTGATATTGTAGTTTTGAAGCCGAAGCTTGCTCCAATCTTTGTCCCTAGCCATCTTGTTATCTTTTTCTATTCTTGATCCATTCAATTTTCCTTTTTTTTAGGGTACGATGTCCGATCACGATGAGGATCATCAATTTGAGGGAGCCGCAGATTCAGGAGCTGCTGCCACTTTCCCCAAGCAATGCTCGGCACTGCGCAAGGGTGAGCACGTGATGATCAAGGGGCGTCCATGCAAGATCGTCGAGATGTCAACTTCGAAGACTGGAAAACACGGACACGCCAAGGTTCATATGGTTGCTCTCGACATCTTCACCGGCAAGAAATACGAGGATATCTGCCCATCCACTCACAACATGGATGTCCCAATCGTCAAGAAGCGCGAGTTCATGGTTGGTTTTTTGGGGGTTTAATATTAGACTTCAAACATACCTTTGAAGTACCGCCCACAGGTGTCTCTATTACTAGAGGTGAACTACGTTTGTTGCGTTTTGCTTGCCCTTGATAGCTTCATTCGATAGATATTAATCGGGGCTATCGAATGAAATAAAGCCTAGTCAAATCGGTCAAGTGAGCGGCAAGAAAAACGCAAAAAAAAACATGGTTTGCGTCTGGCAGACTTGTGGGTGGTACTCTGGGGGACATTTGGGGGCTGTACTTCAAAGGTACTACAGAAGAAAAGAACCATGGCCGTTTTGCTTTTAAACTTTATTAAAACATAGCGATGGGGACTGTTTTAGCATTTAATTGTTAAGGCTAATGTAGGGAGTTACTAGATTGTTGCCTGAGATTAATGTTTTTTTTCTTTTAGTTGATGGATATTAACGCCGATGGATTCCTCAGCTTGATGGATCCTGAATCTTGCGACACAAAGGACGACTTGAAACTGCCAGAAGACGCTACACTTTCAACTCCAATCAAGGAAGCTTTTGAGAAGGACGAAACCGGAATTATGGTAAATCTCGGGTTTATTAATTAGATGCATTTAAGGTTCATCAGCTTTGTGAATTGTCTATCTTGTTCTGTTTAGGTGACCGTTTTCGCGGCTTGTGGCGAGGAAGCTGTGATGGGTTTCAAGAACATGCCCAAGGATCAATAGAAGATACGTGGCCTCTTCCAGCTTTCTTCAACCATTTATCACCAATGATTAGACGCCGAAATCGTTAAATATTTCTCTTTGGTTGTTTCATTATGGTAAACACTTTGAATTATTGTGTCAATGTTTTAAAGTTTTTAATAAATTTTTATCCATTTTGCTTGAATCACGTATGCAATTGAAGTTTAAAGAGTACTTTTTTTCCAAATTACAGTTATTCTTTGAAGTTTGGTGGTAGAGCATTAGCCGTCGAGCTTTTTCAAACCTTGTAAACTGCTTAGGTTTTACTGAGAAGATATCTGGGTAGGAAGAAAATAAGGCGTGAAAGGATTTAAATAATGTATGGTACTTAATGTTGGTTGCTCTAGATATTTCTGGAACGCATCAAATCGAACCAAATTTTGTTGCGAAATTTAAGCTCTCCGTACCTGCTTTTTAGTTTTCGTAACTTCAGTCATGTTCTTCTGCATTTTGTTTTTATTTTACTTTCAGCAAATGGCTGACTCGGATGATGGAGAGCTCACTTCACTTGAATCGCTACGGAAGTCCATCAAACGAGAGGAAGAACGATTTCGAACCGGATTAGAAAGTATTAAACAGGTTTCTATTTTATGTGATTCAGACTCATTAGTGAAATTAGATGCTGCGCGAAGTCGACGATATCGAACCAAGTGAAGCCGACGCTTTAAAGAGGCGCTTTGAGGTTTTTGTCAACAACTTTGAGCCGCGCTCGACAAAAATTAACGTTTGTTTTTAAAATTAAAATTAGCGTTTGTTGTCTAAATTTCCCTTATCAAGCTAGATTTGGTGCTTTTTAGATCAAGAAAAAAGCGCAGGCTAAAAAAACCGAGCGGATACCACAACGGGATGAGCGTATCGCCAGCTAATATGGAAAATGAAGAGATTCTTGAAACAACCATTCCTCCGAGGTCATTTGTAGAATCGGTTAGTTTTTTAGTACAAGCTACAAGTATTAATTTAAGTATTTAAGATACCGTCGACAAGTCGACAGGATAACTTAAACTCGGAAGTTTTATCGACAACCGTGTCTTTGAGGAAATCTGGTAAGCTGAGTGGAAAATGTGCTTGGTTTTATGGTTATTGTTGGGAAATTTGGAAGTTTAGGTAACCCGATTTTGCAAGCGGATACAAGTGAATCGCAAGAAAACTCGTTTGAGCTGTACACTGATGACGGCAATATATCATCAACGTCGATGGTCATTGATCATGAAATTGACGACGCGAGCGATAATGAATCGACGGATATACATCGACGGGTGTGTAGACTCACTGAAAAAATTACCATGTCAACATCACAGAATGAATCAAGTCCCGAAGAAGCTGCTGAAGTATTCGAGCCGCCAAATTTATTGACCCTTCTTGGATTGCCGCCTACGACCGACCAGCCGATGCTTGAAGAAAGTACGACAGCCAACGAGAAAAATATTACAAAGGCGGATCGAAAGGAGAGAAGCGTTCGTTTTGTGACTGTTTTCAAAATTTTCTCGAATTTTATTATCGATATGAACTCGGATTCGAACTGCACCTCGATTTTATAGAACGGCATGCGTTTCTACTTTTATAATGCCCTTAGCATAGAGTTGGGTAACTGACCTAACTGACTTATTTTCAGTTTCATGGGAAATTTCAAACAAATGGGGCAGCTACGCAGGAAAGGGGCGGAGCTTCGTAGTTTCTGTGGTTGTCCCTTTTGTTTGAAGTTTTCCACAAAGTTGAAGCTATTCAGGATAGGGAGACTTTTCAAAAGTTTATAGTTTATTTATTTTCCCTAAACATTTTCGAAACGCATAAGGGCAATTTGAAAGATCGATAAATGCTGAAAAGAATCGTGGGAGATGAGTTCCCGTCGGTCGACCCACAAAAAGCACCCCCGGCCTCTACCATTTTTTGCATGCTATCGAAAGAGAACTGGGCTGTCCGTTCCGCGCCGCCTCTTTCCCCCCTTCTCCCCACCTTCATTCCCTGCATCGATTTGGACCTACTTTTTATGCCGTAATTTCTATCTATAAATTCTTCTACAACTAAATTGCTTATGTTTCTGATAACCTAAAATTTTTCTGACTTTTCCAGTCTTTTGCTGCTAACAAGCAAATTTAACAGCGATTACTTTTTTTTGGGGTTATATGCAAATTTTTTTGGCAAAAGAAAAGCGTTAATTGTTTTGAGAAAAACAACCTTTGGTGCATGTTTTTATTATGGGGTAAAGATTATTAATAATAATAGTTAAAGTGCAATTTAGCTGGGGAAGCATTTTTCACTAGGAATTATGGCATAAAATTGTACCATAAAGATATATACTATTCATCTTATTATCTTTTTTTGCCTTTAAAAATCATATTTTCTGATTTACATTTTTATAAAATCCAGAAAATGTGAACCTATCAGTTTAAAACTGTTCTATTCAGGTTGGAGCGGGTGACACTGAGAAATCTGCATCTACTCCCGAACTTCGAGATATTTTTGACTGCGATTCACCGATAGTTTGTTATTTAATTTTACAAAGTTATTAAATTTTTAGTTTGCATGCGCAGATTTGGAACCGGCAAGCAAAGAAAAAACACCAACTAGTGATAGTCAATTTGCCGCAATGGAGGTAATTCTATCGAAATCTTCAATTAAGAGTAGCTCATCTTAGGAAGGTGACCTATCGGATGGCTCGCTAGTCGGCGACGAGGATATACAGCTTTATGAAGAAATTCGAAATGAAAAGAAAGTTCTCCGTAATAAGGGCAAGAAGAAGGTGAAAAACTTTTTCAATTTATTAAATTTTATCGATATTTTAGACACCCAAGAAGCAGAAGAAAAATTTGTCGGATAGTGAAGATGAGATTGATGCACTACTTGCCGGAACGAATAAACTTCTAAAGCAGCCCATTCGAATCATCAAAAGAAACAATGATGATGATGATGACAAGAGCGAGGAAGTTTCCGAAGAGAACGAAGAAGAAAAAACGAAGAAAGCTCTAATGATGCAGCGCCCGATAGTGACGCCTCTACCGCAAAACCGGACAAAGTATAATTTTACACCGTAGTTCAATTTTTTAATATTCTTAGTTTTTATAATTTTTTCCAAATTTCAGGAAGCAAGCGCAAAAGCATCAAATGGAGAAGAGAAAAAAAAGAAATCCGGAGGTGGCAAAGGAATTTCTACTGAAGAAAAGAAGTATTTATTAAAGATCGAATCTAGTATATTAGTTTTATAGAACTAATGGTAAGAAGACGACCCGCCCAAGTTCGAATGATGACCGGAAGAGGGACGACGAGGATGGCGAAGATTCGAATTCGACTGGCGACTCGTCTGTTGAAGGAAGCGACGAAGAATATTTGGTACTCCTATACAAAGTAGAAAAATAGAGACTTTGTATTTAGCGTTCTATTGATGCTGACTTGCGAAAGAATCGACGTCTCCTTAAAGCAATGGAGTCGGATAACGAGGAAGATGATGACAAAAAAGATCGCCCTAAAAAGAAAGCAGCCGCTGGACAGAAGGCAAAGACTAGAAATAAGAGGTTAATTAGAAGCTTCATACGACCCACGATACAAGTTTAGGAAGCTCATCTCGGATAATGAGTCTGATGCCAGTGTTGACAGCATTTTCGATGACGAAGCCGAAGAATCAAATGACGAAAAGGAAGTGGCGCCCAAGAAAAACAAGAATCAGAAACAGCGAAAAGGGAAACGAAGAAAGGTTTGGTTGTTTTCTTGTCTTGTCGAAGGTAAAATTCTAGGTCAGGGTTGACTCTGAAGAATCTGAGGAAAAAGCGGAGGGTGAGGAAGCCACGGAAGTCAAAGAAAAGGAAAAGAAAAATTTGGCGCGCGGTGGAAAGGCACTATTGACAAAAGATAAGCTAACGAAGGAAACAATCAGCGCTGAAAAGGCAGAAAGGGTTCGTTGATTCGTTTGGTAATACCAGTCAACTTTTGTTTTAGGAACGGCGCAAACGACTTGAACAGAAGCAGAAGGAGTTCAATGGAATTGAGTTGGCTGAAGAAGAGGACTTGGCTGCTGCACTCACTGGATCTCAAAAATCGATCAAGCTCAAGTCGGTCGTACTTGATGCCGATAAAAATGGAACTCCTTCACAACCGGTTGAAGTGCATCCATCCTTGGTGAGACTTTTTCTTTTAAATATTCTAACAACGGTAGTTTAATAGCGTGCATTAAATTTAGGTTCAAGTTTTAAAGAAGCACCAAGCTGAGGGAATTTCGTTCATGTATGACTCGGCTTTCGAATCTGTTGATCGACTCGACGAGGATGGCAGCGGTGGAATATTGGCGCATTGTATGGGTTTGGGAAAAACTTTGCAGGTTGTTTTTTTTTTTTATTTCTATCAACTTAATCTTTAGGTCATTGCTTTTTTGCACACAATCATGAACCATCCAAAAATTGGACAAAAGGTATAGAGCTTTATTGATTTACCAATATCATTTTATTTAGATTCGCCGTGTTCTGATTATTGTGCCGAAAAATGTCGTTATCAATTGGTTCAAAGAGTTCCAAAAATGGCTTGCAAATAATGATGAAGAATTGGACACAATTGAGGTAGGATTAATTTTCTTTCCAGAGGATAATGACTGATTAGGTGATGGAGCTTGATCAATTCAAAAGTCACGACGACCGTCACCGTGCACTGCGAAATTGGTAAGAAAAATTTGCCATGCTTTTATAAGTAATTTTAGGCATCGACGAGAAGAACCTTCGGTAATGATTGTTGGCTATGATATGTTCCGAATTCTCACCACTTCAGAAGATGATAAAGTTTGTCATAACGTTTATGACCTTCTAACATACTAGATTCAGGGTGGAAAAAGGAAACCGGTTGCCAAGCCCAAGAAGACGAATAGGAAATTTGCTAAATTACAAGAGGACTTCCGCTATTACTTACAAGATCCAGGTGCATTTTATTGTGTAATCGATGATATTGAGCTAATTGCAGGTCCGGATTTGATCGTTTGCGATGAGGCACATAAGTTAAAAAATGACGAATCGGCTCTCAGTAAAACGATGCGAAAGATTCGAACGCGACGCCGCATTTGTCTAACTGGAACGCCACTTCAAAACAACTTGATTGAATGTAAGCCAAAAAGAAGGTCTTGATGGTTTATTTTTTATTTTTAGATCACTGTATGGTTAATTTTGTGAAACCTGGACTCTTGGGAACAAAAGCAGAGTTTGCAAATCGATTTGCTAATCCGATCAATAGGTAAAAGTTGATTCATTTTCCAACTTCAGTATTTTAGGGGCCGTACAAAAGATGCTACGTCGGGTGAGGTTCGTTTTATGAAACGTCGTTGCCATGTGCTATTCGAGCACCTGAAGAAATGTGTTGACGTATGTGCCATTGCTGTTTTCATTAATGAGATGAATTTTAGCGAAAGGACTACACCGTTTTGAAAGAGGCAATCCCACCAAAACAGGAATATGTGCTGAACGTGCGATTAACGGAACGTCAATGCGACCTCTATCGGGCCTTTTTGGAGAACGTTGGAGATGTAAGCTTGTTCTTATGATTTCTTTATTTAATTGCTTAGACGGACTTCGAGCGACTTCGCCGCTTATTACCAGACTACCATGTGTTATCGAGAATTTGGACACATCCTTACCAATTGCTGGTTCACGAGGCCGAAATGGAACGTCGAGTGAGTTTTATTGTATCCATTTTTCGACTTGCCAATCCATTTTAGAGAATCCTTCGCGATGAGTCAGAGGAAAACGATCGCTTCGTTGATGATCGATCCGAAGGTGAACTAACGGAGAATTCGGGAAGTGGAGCGGACAGTGACGTTATTTGTGAGGATGATGAACCGGGGCCATCAAATGCAAGACCGTGGGTGTATTGTTTTTATAAACATGTACTTGTTTTTAAGAACACGTTCAAGTCGTCGTCTAGCGGGAGAAGAAGTAGAAGTGAATCCTTTGCGGGATGGCACTCCGCCAGAGTATTCTGGGTACATTAATTAAGCACATCTGTATTTATAGTTGTTTAGGTGGTTCTCCAAACTGGATCTCGTTTCTGAAGATGACAAAAGAAAAGTTTGATCTCTCTAATAAGCTCATCTTGTTGGTTAAAATCATCAAGAAATGCGAAGAGATTGGTGACAAATTGTGAGTTGATTCAAATGTCAAAAGTCGTAATAGGACATCTTTAGACTCGTGTTCTCACAGTCACTGGAATCTTTGGCGCTAATCAAAAGGATGTTGATGCACTTTGATTCAACGAAAACATGGTTTACCGATGGACATGAAGCACTAAATGGAAATGAAAGATGGGGATGGCAGGTGCGTTTTTAAATTATGTTTCAATACTAATTCTTATTTTAGGAAGGCTACGATTATATGACGATCGATGGCTCCGTTCAAGCAGGGAAACGTGACTCGGTACAAACGGCTTTCAACAATCCCAGAAACCTGCGAGCAAGGTACATGATGATTCAGTTTATTTTAATAGAGCAGTTTTAGATTGATGCTCATCTCAACAAAAAGCGGGTTCACTTGGGACAAACATGGTCGCTGCAAATCGAGTTGTGATCTTTGACGCTTGTTGGAATCCGTCGCATGACACGCAATCTCTCTTCCGTGTATATCGTTTCGGACAAACAAAGCCTGTCTACATTTATCGATTTATTGCGCAGGTTCGCGTTAGCTATTTTATTATGGTATCCAGTTTTAGGGAACTATGGAGGAGCGGATCTACAAACGCCAGGTTATCAAAGAGTCGACGTCAATGCGGGTCGTTGACGAGGCACAAATTGAGCGGCACTATGAAGGACACGATCTTGCTGAGCTCTACAAGTGCTGGATTGATTTGACCATTGACAACTTTGTGCTAATTTAGTTTCGATCCAAAATCCTTGACGGAGAATGGAAACCAACGTCCAGCCTATGCTCCTCCGAAAGATCTTCTATTGGCTGATGTCCTCCACAATCAACCGGATACGATCACGGACTTTTTCCAACATGACACATTGTTTGCTAATGTCGACAATGAGAAATTAACAGATGAAGAAGTGAGTTTAATTTGATTTAAAGGTTTTTGTTTTTCCAGAAGCTTATCTTTATGATTTTAGTGTCGCGAAGCTTGGGAGGATTACGAACAAGAAAAGAAGGGTATTCGAGCGAACACTTTGGCCGGAACGAGTAAAGTTTCCTATTTTATAAAATTGTATATGTTTTTTCAGATCAATGGAATGCTGGACGCGGTGCGAATCCTCTTCAGGGTCTCTCCAATGAGCAGCGAGCAATACTAGAAAGACAACAAGTTCGAATACCATCAGTTGGGGTTAAAATGATTTTGTCTGTCGGTGTTGAGTCTGCAATGCTTGTTTGCTTGTAAAGCAACTTTGAAAATTTGCCGGTCATATTACAATCACTTAGGCAATGGCCACTATCCAGTCGGACCCGATTTTCCTGAATTGCTTCTTGATCAAAAACATGGAGAATGACACAGCTGTGAAGGTAACAATTTTTCTCTTCATTTTTAAGAATGCTTTTAGATTACTTACATCAAACGAGTGCTTGAGGAATTGTTGCCGAAGATTCCAATGCATATGCGAGGAGGAATCACCGAGTTTACCGGGTACTTCCATACTCTTATCAACGAAGTGCGACAGGTATCCATGTCTCGAAGGATTTTATGATATCAATTTCTAGAACAATCAAAAACCGGCTTATCTTCAACAACGAGCAATTTCTGTTTTCCGAACAGTTGTGAAAATGGTATGTTTTCCCATGGTGTCTAAAATTGTCTTTTCTTTAGACAAAGGACGTTCTGGAGTGTAAAACAATTTTGCGACAAATCTACAATTCGACACCGATGTTCTTCGACCCACTCGAGCCACCACCATAAAGAATTTTCCCGGCGCCGTCAATAGCTTCATCTAATGTGTTTGTTTCTCTTTTACCTTTGTACTACTTTAAAATTTTTCTTTATAATCCATCGTAATTACTCCAAGTTTCGTGGTAGATTTGAGCTTTTTGGCGGCTAACCGTGTGATCTCTATATCATATTAATTTAAGATTTGTCTTTGGCTTTTGTAAACTTGTGTTACTTTAGGCTTTTCACAGCAAAGTATTTCCGGGTTACAATTTCGGTTTTTTTGCAGGCGAATGGTGTTTACTATGTAGTTCTTTGTCTCTTTATTTATCGAGATTTATTTTCAATAAATTAATCTTTTCAAGTTATCACCGAGAGTAAAGCAAAAGGAACAAAGGAAAAACCGGCGTTGAAATCGGCGACAAGGCAGAGCAATCAACTACGAATTTGCACAATCGGTGGCTCCTAAAGATAAATTCTAGATAAAAGATTCAGATCGGATCTGATCTGATCCAATTCAGATCATTCTTGATTAATTTAGCATGATGATTTGATTAACGGAATCGATCCCTGTTAGGTGGAGCTAGTTACTAAATTAGTTGCTTTACAATACGATGCTTCTTATTTGGGATTTTCAGAAATTTTCTTTGCAAAAGGCTAACTCTTTGAAAAGAAGGACGAAAAAGTGGGCTTCGAAAAGGAGGAGAAAAAAATGGCGCTGAGAAGGAAGGAGAGGAAAAGGTTCGTTCTTCAATTTTTTTTGTTCGTTGCTGTTACACCATCTGCTATGCGCACGGTTGCCTAGTAAGGTTTGGTTTTATCTTTTAATCTACCGTATAAAGCTCTAATAGAAGACCCCACCAATAGGAGCGTTGCGTAGTCTAAGTTTACACTCAAACAAACGCTCATATCTTGACACCAGCACGTTTATTTCTGCTCGTTTAGGTTTCAAATTAAAGTAGAGAGGATGGGTGATTTTTTAAAATATAAAACAGATTTCTAGCATTAACCAGTGTTTAGAAAAAAAAAATGAAAAGAAAAAAAAAAACACTAAAAATTAGGCGCTGAAAAGTAGTTTTTAAAGAATAAAAACATTGCCTAAAGTTGTGCCAAAACTACTCTCACACTACTCCTCAAACTACTTTCAATTTGCATTAGTTATTCTCTTGCTTTAGGATTATTCAATTTTAGAGATTTGCCGTAATTTGGAAAGCCGAATAGCTTGTGGTATATTTGTAATTATTTATTATTTATTTGATTTTAGTTCTCTCAAAGGCCGAGCGTGCTGAAGGAAGAAAAGGAACCGCTAAAGAAAGATGGTAGTGATCATGGATAGATTAGAACTATTTTAGACTCAGCTTCACCAAATCAACCACCACCACTAAATGACAGCGATGGATGGAGCGATGGACAGCAATGGACAGCAATAAACAGCAATGGACAGCAATAAACAGCAATGGACAGCAATGGACAGCAATGGACAGCGATGGGCAGCGATGGGCAGCAATAAACAGCAATGGACAGCAATGGACAGCGATGGAAAGCAATGGACAGCGATGGACAGCAATGGACAGCGATGGATCGAGCGATCAAAGGACATTTGTCGTTTTGTTAAAGAAAGGTTGATTTTAATGCGTTTGATTTATTTAACTTGAGGGGGTGGGACAAATGCGACCTTTTTGCGCACCTGGACATTTGCGCACCTTTTTTTTGCTGGAAAAGGCCTTAGGCAAGGCCGTAGAGCTTTGAAAATATTTCGAAAATATTTTCATATAAGGGAATCGTATGCGTAGATTCCGAATTTCGACAAATCAGACCTCGCTGACACGTCAAATTTGGGTTAAAAGGCAAAAACTGCGGAAAAGCGTTAAGTTGCGTAGTTTTTGCCTTTTAGTCCAAATTTGACGTGTCAGCGAGGTCTGATTTGTCAAAATTCTGAATCTACGCATACGATTCCCTTATATGGAAACATTTTTGAGGCTCTCCGGCCTTTCCTAAGGCCTTTTCCAGCAAAAAAAAAGGTGCGCAAATGTCCAGGTGCGCAAAAAAAAGGTCGCATTTGTCCCACCCCCTTTAACTTGTTTTATTTAACTTTTAGAAGGTTCCCAGTGAGATACAGGGTGAAATTGGCTGAGAAAATTTGCTTTGCTGAGTGAAATTGCTAGTCTGGGCCACGTCTATCACCTTAGTAAATCGGAAATCTTCGATTTGAGTGACAAGGATTCAGAAAATGAATGCGATAATTGATTGTTGATGATTTGAAGGGTTTGTCATTGATTTTTATTTACAATTTATTCGATTTTTATTTGTTTAATGTTCAATAAAATTCTAAAAGTTTGCGTTTTTTTTAATTTTTGACTGAAATCATTTGAGTTTTTTGGTGAAAAATGAGCGCTTTTTTGGGAATTATGCGAAAAATGAGCGCTTTTACGTTTTCAGGAGTAAAGTAATGTTGTAAAGTGACGTTTGAGTGAAGAAAAGTTACATAAAACAATGAAAACAGGATGAAAAACATTGAAAAAGTAAAAAGGGAGGTGATTTTTTTTACACAAATCATCCCTTATCCTCAAGGATTTCACCCTTTTTTAAAAATTAATTTTGAAAAGAGAACTGGAGAGCTTCAACAGCTGGCTTGAGAGCTTCAACAGCTGGCTTGAGAGCTTCAACAGCTGGCTTGAGAGCTTCAACAGCTGGCTTGAGAGCTTCAACAGCTGGCTTGAGAGCTTCAACAGCTGGAGAGCTGTTGGCTTTCAATTTTGAGTAAAGTTTAACCTTTTGTAATAGTTAAATATCAAAAATTGATATCAAAAAACGGATTACTGCCAGAAACGAATCGAAATTAGTGATTTGAGTTGTTTTCATTCAACTTTCATTAAACTTTTATTCAACTTTCATTAAAATTTCATTAAACTTTCATTCATTAAACTTTTGCATTCATTAATTACTGTTTAAAAGGTTTCTTTCAACTCAGAAAACTAATGGGAGCGATATTGACAAAAAATAGGCTAAACATCAAAACAATCAACGCTGAAAAGGTAGAAAAAGTTCGTTGATTCGTTTTGTAATATCAGTTAAATTTTGTTTTAGGAATGGTGCAAACCACTAGAAGAGAAGCAGAAGGAGTTCAATGGAATTGAGTTGGCTGAAGAAGAGGACTTGGCTACTGCACTCACTGGATCTCAAGCTCAAGCTCAATCTCAATCTCAAGCTCAAGCTCAAGCTCAATCTCAAAAATCGATCAAGCTCAAGTCGGTTGTACTTGACCGATAAAAATGGAACTCCTCCTCCACGATACAAGTTTAGGAAGATCACCTCGGATTATGAGTCTGATGCCAGTGTTGACAGCATTTTCGATGACGAAGCCGAAGAATCAAATGACGAAAAGGAAGTGGCGCCCAAGAAAAACAAAAATCAGCGAAAAGGGAAGCGAAGAAAGGTTTGGTTGTTTTCTTGTCTTGTCGAAGGTAAAATTCTAGGTCACGGTTGACTCTGAAGAATCTGAGGAAAAACCGGAGGGTGAGGAAGCCACGGAAGTCAAAGAAAAGGAAAAGAAAAATTTGGCGCGCGGTGGAAAGAAATTGACAAAAGATAAGCTAACGAAGGAAACAATCAGCGCTGAAAAGGCAGAAAGGGTTCGTTGATTCGTTTGGTAATACCAGTCAACTTTTGTTTTAGGAATGGTGCAAACCAATTGAACAGAAGCAGAAGGAGTTCAATGGAATTGAGTTGGCTGAAGAAGAGGACCTGGCTGCTTCACTCACTGGATCTCAAGCTCAAGCTCAAGCTCAAAAATCGATCAAGCTCAAGTCGGTCGTACTTGATGCCGATAAAAATGGAACTCCTTCACAACCGGTTGAAGTGCATCCATCCTTGGTGAGACTTTTAAATATTCTAGCAACGATAGTTTAATAGCTTGCAATAACGTGCAATAAATTTAGGTTCAAGTTTTAAAGAAGCATCAAGTTGAGGGAATTTCGTTCATGTATGACTCGACTTTCGAATCTGTTGATCGACTCGACGAGGATGGTGGCGGTGGAATATTGGCGCATTGTATGGGTTTAGGAAAAACGTTACAGGTTGGGTACTTTGGTGGTTTGTAGGGGTCACTTTTCTTCTGTCTTAATTGAATCTAATGTTTTGAGTGGTTGTATTATATTGTTTTGAATGGTTATATTACCTTTAAATCAAAAGTTCAATCAAAACCAAAAGATCTAGGGTAATCAAACGATGCTTATACTTTTAGAGTATCGACAACATTTTTTCAAGCTTTATATTGCCGCTTTTATTTTATTTTCAAGTGTAAGCAGCTTTGAGGTTTAGTGTAAGCAGCTATTTTCAAGTGTAAGCAGCTTTGGGGTTTAGTGTAAGCAGCTACTACTAAAATTACTCAGATTCTTTTGTTTTGTGGTTAAAATACATGAGATTAGGATAGACTTGCCAAAAACTTAATCTATAATCAATAATCAATAATCTATAAATCTATAATCTATAATCTATAAATCAATAATCTATAATCTATAATCACTAATCACTAATCTATTAAGCCTATTTGATTACTTTAGAATAGAAAAAAAGGTATCAATACAACCACTCAAAAAAATTGAATCGCTTAGTTGAATGGTCAATAGAACCATTCAACTAAGCGAGGATAAAAGTAACCCCTCTCAACTACTACTAAAATCACTCAGGTTGTTTTGTTTTTTTTGTTTCCTATCAACTTAATCTTTAGGTCATTGCTTTTTTGCACACAATCATGAACCATCCAAAAATTGGACAAAAGGTATAGAGCTTTATTGATTTACCAATAACATTTTATTATTAGATTCAACGTGTTCTGATTATTGTACCAAAAAACGTCATTATCAATTGGTGCAAAGAGTTCCAAAAATGGCTTGGAAATAATGATGAAGAATTGGACACAATTGAGGTAAGATTAATTTCCTTTCCGGAGAATCATTACTGATTAGGTGATGGAGCTTGATCAATTCAAAAGTTACGATGACCGCCACAGTGCGCTGCAAAATTGGTAAGAAAAGGATGCAAGGCTCGCTGGCTGCAAGGCTACAGCAATTTTAGGTATCGACGAGAAGAACCTTCAGTAATGATTGTTGGCTATGAGATGTTCCGAATTCTCACCACTTCAGAAGATGATAAAGCTTGTCATAACGTTTATGACCTTCTAACATACTAGATTCAGGGTGGAAAAAGGAAACCGGTTGCCAAGCTCAAGAAGACGAATGAGAAATTGACCGAATTACAAGAAGACTTCCGCTATTACTTACAAGATCCAGGTACATTTTATTGTGTAAGCGATGATATTGAGCTAATTGCAGGTCCGGATTTGATCGTTTGCGATGAGGCACATAAGTTAAAAAATGACGAATCGGCCCTCAGTAAAACGATTCGAAAAATTCGAACGCGACGCCGCATTTGTCTAACTGGAACGCCACTTCAAAACAACTTGATTGAATGTAAGCCAAAAAGGCAGTTCTTGATGCTTTTTTACTTTTAGTTCACTGTATGATTGATTTTGTGAAACCTGGACTCTTGGGAACAAAGGCAGAGTTTACAAAACGATTTGCTAATCCGATCAATATGTAAAAGTTGATTCATTTCCCAACTTCAGTATTTTAGGGGCTGTACAAAAGATGCTACATCGGGTGAGGTTCGTTTTATGAAACGTCGTTGCCATGTGCTATTCGAACACCTGAAGAAATATGTTCACGTATGTGCCATTGCTGTTTTCGTTAGTGAGATAAATTTTAGCGAAAGGATTACACCGTTTTGAAAGAGGCGATCCCGCCAAAACAGGAATATGTGCTGAACGTGCGATTAACGGAACGCCAATGCTATCTCTATCGGGCCTTTTTGGAGAACGTTGGAGATGTAAGCTTGCTTTTATGATTTCTTTATTTAATTGCTTAGACGGACTTCGAGCGACTTCGCCGCTTATTACCAGACTACCATGTGTTATCGAGAATTTGGACACATCCTTACCAATTGCTGGTTCATGAGGCCGAAATGGAACGTCGAGTGAGTTTTATTGTATCCATTTTTCCACTTGCCAATCCATTTTTAGGCAATTCATCGTCGTCTAGCGGGAGAAGAAGTAGAAGTGCGGGATGGCACTCCGCCAGAGTATTCTGGGTACATTAATTAAGCACAGCTGTATTTATAGTTGTTTAGGTGGTTCTCCAAACTGGATCTCGTTTCTGAAGATGACAAAGAAAAGTTTGATCTCTCGAATAAGCTCATCTTGTTGGTTAAAATCATCAAGAAATGCGAAGAGATTGGTGACAAATTGTGAGTTGATTCAAATGTCAAAAGTCATAATAGGACATCTTTAGACTCGTGTTCTCACAGTCACTGGAATCTTTGGCGCTAATCAAAAGGATGTTGATGCACTTTGATTCAACGAAAACATGGTTTACCGATGGACATGAAGCACTAAATGGAAATGAAAGATGGGGATGGCAGGTGCGTTTTTAAATTATGTTTCAATACTAATTCTTATTTTAGGAAGGCTACGATTATATGACGATCGATGGCTCCGTTCAAGCAGGGAAGCGTGACTCGGTACAAACGGCTTTCAACAATCCCAGAAACCTGCGAGCAAGGTACATGATGATTCAGTCTAGTTTGATAGAGCAGTTTTAGGTTGATGCTCATCTCAACAAAGGCGGGTTCACTTGGGACAAACATGGTCGCTGCAAATCGAGTTGTGATCTTTGACGCTTGTTGGAATCCGTCGCATGACACGCAATCTCTCTTCCGTGTTTATCGTTTCGGACAAACAAAGCCTGTCTACCTTTATCGATTTATTGCGCAGGTTCGCGTTAGCTATTTGATTATGGTGTACAAGTTTTAGGGAACGATGGAGGAGCGGATCTACAAACGCCAGGTTATCAAAGAGTCGACGTCAATGCGGGTCGTTGACGAGGCACAAATTGAGCGGCACTATGAAGGACACGATCTTGCTGAGCTCTACAAGTGCTGGATTGATTTGACCATTGACAACTTTGTGCAAATTTAGTTTCGATCCAAAATCCTTGACGGAGAATGGAAACCAACGTCCAGCCTATGCTCCTCCGAAAGATCTTCTATTGGCTGATGTCCTCCACAATCAACCGGATTCGATCACGGACTTTTTCCAACACGACTCATTGTTTGCCAATGTCGACGATGAGAAATTAACAGATGAAGAAGTGAGTTTAATTTGATTGAAAGTTTTTTTTTATTTCAGTAGCTTATCTTTATTATTTTAGTGTCGCGAAGCTTGGAAGGATTACGAAAGAGAAAAGAAGGGTAAACGAGCCAGCACTCCTGCTAGAATAAGTAAAATTTTGTATTTTATAAATACATAATCTTTTTTCAGAACAACGGGATGTTGTCGACACCGATGTTCTTCGATCTTTTTCGCGGCTATCCTTGTGATCCTTACATCATATTGATTTATCATTTGTTTGACCTCTTGCTTCACTTCCTGGTGCCAACTAGGATACGATCTCGTTTTCTATTGGGTCTCAACGATCTTCAGATGAGAAGGTGCAAAGGTGTAGCCATTTTAATACTAATTTACACAAGGTGGCGGTCAATTTTCTAAATTCTTTTCCCTTTTCAAATTTTTGTCATATAGTTTCTTCTCTAGATCCCGAGCATAACATATTCACCTCATCTCTCTAATAGAGTGTAGTTATAATAATCCTGCAAAAACAGTCCCTAGCCATAGTTTCAGAGCTAAAGCAAGACTAAAAAGACCTCTAGTATCAACACGAGTGTCTAGCTCATCTTTAGATGTTCCCGAAAGTCGTCTGGTTGCAAACACTTAATTAACCCTATCCCTATTCTCAAAAATTTTTGAATCTAACATAGAAAGATGAACCATAAATTTTTCAAACCAGCAAACACTTTTTCTCCTACATAAACTCTAAAAGCAAGGATAAGAGATCTCTCCCAAATTGCTTCATTAATCCCGATTCTCCGAATCTTTTCCTTACAAATCCCTCGGATATTACTACTTTCTTTACCAGGTTTTTCATTTAAGTTTCGAAAATTCAAAAAAATTCAATGACATTCTATTTCCCCCTTAAAATTTAAACAAAACATCATCTCCCCATGTATCTAAAACATACCTCTTCGTGATCTCGGGGTCTACATAACTTCTTTATTCAAATTTTCACTTCATGTTGGCATAATTAGCAAAAAAAGTGTCTTACTTCCCTAAACGTATCTGAAGATCTATCAGTATTCTTGATATCAAAATTTATGGGAAGTGTTACGTCACTTATGTCCGCCCTATCCTTGAGTAATATAACCATTCAAAACGTATGCTTCCCTTGTATATGGTCTCCTATTTCTAAATATCAAGTCATAAAAATAGAAAACATTCAGAAGCACTAGACAAAATTGATTACGATAAATATAGGTCCAATAATTATGGATTTCGCTTAAAACTTTTTGATCTAGAATCTCTCCATTAACGCCGCCTTGTTGTAGATTTAGTAGAATGTTTTAAAATTGTAAGAGACCTACATCATAATCCGCTTTTCAAAAAAATTTTCTTCCTCTAAACCCTAGAAGGTCGGCACCGAGAAGGGGATTTCTGCTTTTACATCATCAAAATATTGTTTCTTCGATATTTTCTAAAAGATTCGTAAACTGTTGGAATTCGTTTCGAAATAATTTAAGCAAATGCACTTTCGTTTCTACAGTTTTTTTAAGTCAGCGGTTCTTTCTAGTCTCAAAATAATCAACTTTGTTTTTAAGATTACTATTTATTGTTGGTTCTCTGTATATTCTTGAAAGTCTTTTTCTTGGTTTTCTGCATTTTTTTATTATCATTATTGTCATTTATTGTCTTGTATGATTTCTTAAATTTAATTTCATTTCATTCTACTGTGTCATTCATTAGATCAATTTCATGAATTTTAGATATTTGTCTTTGTCTTTGACTTTTGTAAACTTGTGTTACTTTAGGCTTTTCACAGCGAAACATTTCCGAGTTACAATTGTGATTTGTTTGCAGGCGAATGGTGTTTACAATGTAAGTTCTTTGTCTCTTTATTTATCGAGATTTATTTTCAATAAGTTAATCTTTTCAAGTTATCACCGAGAGTAAAGCAAAAGGAAAAAAAAAAGTAGCAAAGATTGAGAAAAATATGGAAATTGTATGTTGTTTCTGCCAATTATTAGAGGGTGGCCCGATTGTACGCGTAAAGCTGAATGATTGTAAGGCTGTAACGACCAAGAATAATTAGTTTGTCCATATGATTGTTGTTAATAGTGCGAAGAAGCGTATTCGATTGGCTTATTCACGACGACAACTGTTGGTTTCTGGATCGACGACGCGAAATTCGCCTCTCTTAAGAGGTAATTCCGATAGGCGAACGAGACACGAGCTTGCCAGAGATTGTAGAAAAGAAAGGTGAAGAGAAAAGCATAAACGGTAGCTGATTCCCCGTAAAAAACGGCGTTTTTCTCGGAATACATTGCTGAAAAATGGTTATTTTTTTATTGGATTTCTTTAATTTATTTCATTTTCTCTTACTTTTAAACATCCAATTAGTGATCATTAAAATGTAGAGCGGTTTAATGAAGAAATAGAAGGAGAAGATGAGGAGTGCGTATGTGGAGAGACCGATATGGAAACACTGAAATCGATATTACGGCATTTCGGGAGTTTGAGAGGGAAATTAAAACCGTTTTTTTTGATCATTTTATATGATTTTTTTTATTGATTTTCTTATTAAAAACAAAATCCTATTATCTTTTTGCTTACCGATTGAGCGATAATAGGCCAAACAAGTCGATGATTTCTCGTCGTCACCGCTGCGATCGTCACTCCCACCACGGAGAGTGGGATCAATAAAATGAACATTGCCTGAAAGTATTTGATGGTATTTGACGTTAGATTTAGAAACCTTAGACGTTTGGATCAATTAAAGTGATATCCAGATTAGAAATTTTGATAGGAATTGAGCGATTCTGAGGCATTAGAAGGCTTGGATTACTCCAATCTTGTAGTGGCTAGTTTGAGTGTATCTAACTTGTAAGGAAATCGATTATTTGACGTCACCGGCAACTAAAGTGCTATCCAGCTTAGACTGTTCGGGGCTCATTGAGTGATTCTGAGGCATTAGAAAGCTTGAATTGCGTCAATCTTGTAGTGGCTAGGTTGAGTGTGTCTAACTTGTAAGGAAATCGATTATTTGACGTCACCGGCAACTAAAGTGCTATCCAGCTTCGACATTTTGATGGGAATTGAGCAATTCTGAGGCATTAGAAGGCTTGAATTGCGCCAATCTTGTAGTGACTAGTTTGGGTGTATCTAACTTGTAGAGAACTCGGGTATTTGGCGTTTAGGTTGACTCAAGTGATATCCAGCTTAGACATTTTGCTGAGAATTGAGCAATTTTGAGGCATTAGAAGGCTTGAATTGCTCCAATCTTGCGCTAAGGACCTGATTTCCTTTGTAAACAGTTTTGGCTACGATTTACCTTTCTAAATTTCACGAAGAGCAGCGCCGACAGCGCCAACAAGACACAGATACCGACGATGATGAAAAGTCGCATCGCTGTCTGAAAGTGATGAGTTTTTGGGAGGAATTGTTGACGAAATGCTACAGATTCTAATTTTACTTAGGATTCTAGTTTCAAGCATTGATCAGCAAAAGATTGATCAGCAAAAGATCAGATCCAGAATGATCAACGATTGGTTAGGCAGAGAGCAGAGAGCTCAATGAGCCTCAAAGAAAGTCTCTTCAGATGAAAAGGCGTGGACAAGGAAGCGATTCAGTTGTCCTCGTGGTGCATTGGCAGAGCGTCCGTCTCTAGCCCCGGGCATCCGAGGTTCGATCCCGCTTGCTGCCTCCCACTATTGAGGTCTATTTTGACATCATTTTTGACCGCTATTTTATAGATTTTTTCAGAAAATCCTTTTCCAACTGATTTTGCCTGTTAACTAACCGCTAAATGAAGCTTTCCGCGAAGACATCGATCCCTATTCGAGTAGATTGACGGTGAGCCCATCTGGAAGAGTTTTTGATTGATTTCGAGTTGAATAAAGTTCAAAATGATAGCTTTGCAAGTAAGGATTTGAATGGGAAAAGGAGCTGTTTAAGAAGCGAAAAGCGAGTCGGAGAAAAGATGAGAGAAAGGCAATAAATCATTGAGGTTCCTCTCATCACTGACAATGGAATTCTTTGAGTTTTTGTTCAACTAGGTAAAGAGTTAAAGTTGAGACTCAACTGAGAAAATACTAGATTTCAAGGGCTTTCGTTTGACACCTAAACGAAAACTCTAGCTTAAAGGAGTGCGGAGATAGAGAGGTTCAAAGGTAGACTACGCGACTGTACGATCATGGGGTTTGATTAGTGAAGAGATTTGGGATAGAAAAGGGTTCAACTTGAAGTTCGAGCTTCGAGCTGGTTATGAGGGCTTCAGAGACTAGCCGGAAAGCTCCTTCGATGGTCTAGTGGATAAGCGTCTAGGCTAGAAAACCGGTCGCTTTGTTTCCCCGGCGAGTTCAAGTCCTCTCGAAAAATTTTGGTTTTTTAAAAACTTTCCCTATATTTGTGATAAAGTGATATCCAGATTAGACAGTTCGGAGCTAATCGCGCGATTCTGAGGCATGAGAAGGCTTGAATTGTGCCAATCTTGTGGTGGCTAGTTTGAGGTATCTAACTTGTAGAGAACTCGGGTATTTGGCGTTTAGGTTGACTCAAGTGATATCCAGCTTAGACCGTTTGATGGTAATTGAGCGATTCTGATGCATTAGAAGGCTTGAATTGCTCCGATGTTGTAGTGGCTACTTTGAATATCTCTAACTTGTAAGGAAATCGATGATTTGACGCTACGGGCAACTAAAGTGCTATCCAGCTTAGACATTTTGATAGGAATTGAGCAATTCTGATGCATTAGAAAGCTTGAATTGCGTCAATCTTGTAGTGGCTAGGTTGAGTGTGTCTAACTTGTAAGGAAATCGATTATTTGACGTCACCGGCAACTAAAGTGCTATCCAGCTTCGACATTTTGATGAGAATTGAGCGATTCTGAGGCATTAGAAGGCTTGAATTGCGCCAATCTTGCAGTGATTAGTTTGACTATTGATCTATAGTTGTAATTGCGTTTAAACAGTATTTCAATGAAAACTTTGAACTTTTTGGGTAATTTCAATTCGTTTCTTTGATTAATCCGTTGTCTATATCAATCTTTGATATTTAAAGTACAGTAAAATCGTATCGTATCGTAAGCTTAGCTCAAAATTGAAAGCCAAAGCCAATTGAAAGCCAATTGAAAGCCAAAATTGAAAGCCAACAGATCTCTAGAGCTCTTTTTAAGATTGATTCAAGATTGATTCAATCCTTGAGTTCAAATGGGTGAAATCCTTGAAGATATGGATGATTTGTGTGCAGGAAAACGAGTTGTTGAGGAGGAAATTTGCATGCGAAGATAGGGATAAGTGGGCGGTTCTCATAAAGATCGAAAAACAGGCTTTTTTCAGGAATAGTGCCATTTTTTGTAGAATAGATCTAGGAATATGAAATCATTCATCAATTGCAATAGAATTCGAGAGGGAAACCTCACAAATTACAATCCAATGGCCGTTTTGGAAACGTTCTGGAAACAGGACAGCTACCAGAACTTGCCATTGGATTATCAATTGTAATTTTTGCCTCAAATCAAATCCCTATTGGAAAGCCGATATTTGCTAGACTCAATCAAATGAATAGCTCCAATCGATTCCCCGTCCGCGAAAACCCCTTGGTACAAATTTACAGCTAAATATCTTCCTTTTGAGTTATTTACAAAGTGAAAGAGCAAGTGTTCTTTGTGCGGCCACGTAATCGCTCGATTTCTGGTGCATCCTTTGGATAGATAGGGGTACTTTTTTGGACAGGAAGACAAAGGGAAATAGAACTACTGAAGGCTGGCAACCAAAAGCCAAAGCTGGAACAAATGATAGTCAACAAATGATAGCCAATTCGCCAGAGGAAATCAATTCTAATTGAAAGACAAGTTCTGAAAGAACCTTGACACGAGTTTTTTGAAAAACAAGCGGTTTGACCTCTGGTTTACGTCAATTTAGAGATGGGAGGCCTGCTGATCAAAGCTGAAAGAAGGGAAATCAATCACTAGAGAGAAAAGCGGAAAGTTTCACAAATGGCATTATGTTCTTCTTCATCCGCTCCTTCTCCTTCTTCTTCTTCTCCTCCTTCTTCTCCTCCTTCTTCCTCTCCTTCTCCATCTTCTTCCTCTCCTTCTCCTTCCTCTCCGTCCTCTCCTTCTTCTTCTCCTTCTCCATCTTCGTCTCCATCTCCTTCTCCTCCATCTCCTTCTCCTCCATCTCCTTCTCCTCCTCCATCTCCTTCTCCTCCTCCATCTCCTTCTTCTCCTTCAACTTGTCTCATTGTTGGTTCTTTGCGTGGCTTTTGTAGAGAATCGAAATTCTTTTGCCGAGTACATCTCTTGAGAGACACGAAAGTCACCGTCGAAAGTTGAATTTAAACTTCAAGTCAACAAATTCAAGTATTCAGAATTGCTTACAAGGCTAGCATCTTGTAAAGACTAGCTTGTACTCTAGTAAACGCACACTTTCTAGTACACTAAATTCTTTAATCAATATCGATTAACGAGATCTATTGTGCTAGAAAGCGTGCGTTTGAACGAAAAAACAATTCACATTCTATAACGACAAATGTTAAAGGGATAAAAGAACTTGAAGAAATTAATTAAAAGCAATAAGATTTTAAATCTAAGTTGGGAAGAGCAGAAAGGGTTAGGAAGGGTTAGGAAGGGTTAGGACTGATTTAAAATAAGCAAAGAGCTGAAAAGAGGTGAGCTTAGAGGAACTGGTTACAGAAGCATCCAGCAATAGAGCTAAAAGTCAAAAGAAGCCGCTGGGAAACGGTGGTATTCAAAATAAAGGAAAGGATTTACAAAGGAGAAGTGAAAGAGAAACTAAGGCAGGTTTATGATTCAACAAAGAGGTGGACGGGAGAGGAGTGGGGGAGGGATGGGAGTGGATGGGAGAGGATGGGAGAGGATGGGAGAGGATGGGAGAGGATGGGAGAGGATGGGAGAGGATGGGAGAGGATGGGAGAGGTATGGGGGAGGATGGGAGAGGATGGGAGAGGATGGGAGAGGTATGGGGGAGGATGGGAGAGGATGGGAGAGGTATGGGGGAGGGATGGGAGTGGGAATGGGAAAGGAAAGGAAGAAACGGGTTCGAAGGTCTTCTCCCCTCAAGCTATCCCCTCTTTCTACACCCATTTCCCCATCTATTGAAGATGGCAATCGACAAGTCAAATTGGACATAATGGCATTTCTTGATTAGCATGCTTTACATGGAATTCTTGCAGGCTTGGAAAGAAGAGAAAGTTGTGATGGGGAATGGGAATGGGTTGTAGCTATCTATTGGTACAGGATGGCTGGAGAGCTAGATGACTAGAGGCCTAGATGATTAGATGACTAGCTGACTAGCTGACTAGATGACTAGATGACTAGATGACTAGCTGACTGAATGACTAGATGACTAGATGACGGAAAAATGACTTGCCTAGATGACTAGCGTTCAACTGCTTGTCAAATGCTTGTTGAATAAGTCCAATCGAAAAGCTTTTGATAGATAAGTCAAGATAAGTAAGTAGTCAAGATTAACCCTACAATTCTCCATATAATACTTGAAACTTCTAAAATAAGATAAGCATTTACCGATTTTACAGCGTATTTTGTAATGTGACCATATTGGAACCCATTTACCGAACGCTGTGAAATTACAAGATATTTAATGAAGACTTTGACACAATAGCAAATGGCTGCAGAAGCGGCGTTGTTTTCGGGATCATGAAGCTTGCGCCGAAAAATTTACGCCACGCTGTCAAGCGAAAGTTACGCTACGGGAAGTTTGCACCATTCAACAAAGCGAAACTTCCGCCACTAGTTAAAAGTGAAATTTCCGTCATTTGCATCAATGATGTAATGGTGGCGCAAGTTTTGCTAGCGCAAGCAAGCCCTCGTGGCGCAAGTAAGGTTCGTGGCGCAAGCAAGCCCTCGTGGCACAAGTAAGCCCTCGTGGCGCAAGTAAGCCCTCGTGGCGCAAGCAAGCTTCGTGGCGCAAGCAAGCCCTCGTTGCGCAAGCTTCGTTGCGCAAGCTTCATGACCCCTTGTTTTCACCCACCGATGAGGCATCAAAGCTGCAGGATTTATTCAGCAATAAACGGTTTTGATTGTCTGTATTCAGTCTTAAAAAGCCTGGCCGTGTTCTTGAATTTTGATGACTTTTCGATTATTTGCAAAGCTTAGGCACTTGTTGCATCTAAACACTTGTCAATCTTTTTCTGGAATAAGACTTGCAGAGAACAAATCTCGAAAATCCGTTTTTCAATCCCTTTCAATTATATTTACGAGTTTTTGAGCTTTGAAAACAAATCTCTCTTACTAGGACAAGCGCAAAACTTTCCTTTCCCCCCCAAATCTATGCCAAGATCTTTGCATGACATCTAGCTTTCACCGTTTTAGATCTAGATCTAAAACGACCGTTTTCCGAATTGAGGGAAAGTAAAAAAAAAGCTATGGCTTTTTCTTCCAAGCTGGTGAAAAACTCAAATAACCAATGTTCTAGTAAATTTAAGTGTGAAAATTGTATTCAATCAAATAAAACCCACGTGTTTTAATAAAATAAAACAGAAAAACTGCCAAAACCGGGGGTAGACTAATTTCCGCAATAGGGTCATTTGCGCAACTCGCCAAAACTTTCTTCTAAGTGGACGAATCTTTATGTTTTTGGCGTCATTTTGTTGCACTTGTTGAGATCTACAAAATGACACCAAAATCATAAAGATTGGCCGACTTAGAAGAAAGTTATGGCGAGTTGCGCAAACGACCCTGTTGCGTAAAAAAAGTTGCGAAAATTACCCTACCCCCAAAACCGCATTGCTGCCAAACCGCATTGCTGCCAAACCGCATTGTTGCCAAGCCGCATTGTTGCCAAGCCGCATTGTTGCCAAGCCGCATTGCTGCCAAAACCGCATTGTTGCCAAGCCACATTGTTTCCAAGCTTCATTTGTTACACTAAAACATTCTTTTGCGAAATTTTTGGTCATCGCAGCTTTTTATAGTGCGAATCAGTGCAAACTTCTGTTTAAAAGATATTCAGTAAAAGAAATTGCTCCAAAGTCCGCCAAGACGACACCGCGATACAAATGACGACGTAGCTCTGCGTCGCTTTTCTGGCGGCCGTTTTACTTTTCCGCATTTTTTCCTAAAAATTATTTTATTTGGTTCCTCATCGATCCGTTCTTTCAGTTTTAAGTTTTAACTTTCGCTTTAACTTTCAGTTATGTTTTGTTTTTCAACTAGAAAGATTAGAAACGATACTTTAAACTAGTGGCTGATTTTTTGTAGGCAATGCTCCTCAAAAATTGAAAAATATGTCCTTCTAGCTTTTTTAGCTTTTAACTACTGAAAATTAATAATTTGCGCTAGTTTTTGATGTACAAAGATCTAAATCCTAAATTCAATCATAGCTGTGATCATTTTTGACTTTGTTGCTCGGATCTTACCTGACTAACTATGCAATCAAACCCTTAGCCTTTTCATTTGTGTCAATACCCAAAGGCATGCATTTTAATGATTGAATCAATTGCTCTTTTGTTTGTTTTCTTGTTCAAGTCTTGATTTTAGTAGTATTTTTTTCTTTTCAGGGTACAGCATGCCAACCAAGGCTAAGGGAGAGACGCTCAAGGAGTTCATCGTGATCGGCAGGAAGATCCCGACCGAGAAGGAGCCGGTGACACCCGTCTGGAAGATGCAAATCTTCGCCAGCAACCACGTCATCGCCAAATCTCGATTCTGGTATTTCGTGTCTATGCTTCGACGAGTCAAGAAGGCCAATGGAGAGATTCTTTCAGTCAAGGAGGTATTATTTTTTACAAAATTAAACTTCGATAGCCTTTGAATTAGGTAGATCATTTCTAGGATTTGATCCGGAAGCATGATTCATTTTAAACCTTTAAGGTATCTTATGCATTTTAAAAGAACATTTAGAAACATAAGAACGAAAAAAGAACAAAAGGAACAAATTCAACTTTTAGTTAGATATTTAATGTTGGATAACATTTCTAAAACATACGCTAAAAATTATAATCCGGATTTATTGTCTAGTCTAAGAACGACTGGGTGAATTGTTAACCTAGTTATACAAACTTGTTACAATTCGTTCAGTGTAGATTTAAAACAACACTTTGGGCTTGTTTAATTGTTTTTGTTCAGGTCTTCGAGAGGAACCCAACAACAGTCAAGAACTTCGGAGTTTGGTTGAAATACGATTCGCGAACTGGCCACCACAACATGTACCGTGAATACCGCGACACCACCATCGCTGGAGCCGTAACTCAATGCTACCGTGATATGGGCTCCCGACATCGTGCTCAAGTATGGTGTTTGTATGCAAAAGTGTTTATATTTGCTAGATTGAATGACTTTGTAGCTTGTAAAAGTAATTGATTACCTTCGGTAAATGTTTTACGTAAACTCATTCAGTCAGCAGATGAAATATGGTTTAAATTGCTTTTAGACCAGAAGAATAGGATAAAAATTATGACTTGTAGCATTACAAAACCATGAAGCAGCGTGTTAATTTAGAAAAGTGCAAACTTTAAGTTTTGTTTTTAGGCTGACCGCATCCACATTCTCAAAGTGCAGCCAATCAAGGCTGAAGAGTGCCGACGTGCTCCCATCAAGATGTTCCACGATTCAAAGATAAAGTTCCCTCTTCCACATCGTGTCACCAAGAGGCTCGGAGTTTCTCAGTTCACTACGCGTCGTCCAAAGACGCACTTTGCCTAATCTGTTTGTTATTTTATTTTTTCAATAAAGTTTTTGTTGATCCTAAAATATGGCCTTTAAAACATTGAAACAAAAAGTCTTTATTGGTGAGATGTGCGAAAAATCTGCATAAAAATTATTTGAACAATCGAACATGAAACGGCACATTTACTTATGGGGAAAGACTGTATACAAGTTTGGCTTGCAAATTGAGCTTTGGCGGAAGCATTAATACCCGTTATCGATGTGGTTTCAAATGCACTAGTGCTTTTCAAAAAGAGTTCAGAGGTTTCAAGATTAAAAGAAAACGGGGGGATACGGTTTGGGGGGCGGGACCTCAAAAATGCCTCTGGCCGCCAACAACGGTTTTTCTGGGGTTTTCAGCCAAGCTAAATCGATTGGTAATATTTTCAGAGCTTGTTCTTGCTACACTAAACTTATACTAGGCTATGGCTCAAAGTATTGGCTGAGCATAGGCTGCCTCGAGTGGTGTTAACGGTCTAGACGTGTTACGTACCTCTCATTGCCCCCCCAAACCGTATAGCCCCGAAATCGCTGCAGTGAATTAAGTTGACACTTGGTTTTCTAAATGATCTCTTCTAGGAATTTTACTATCGAAGTAGTCGGCTGTCGTCGTCACATGCCTTCGATTTGTCACCTAAATTAGTGTTGTTGCATTGAGTATTTCCGCTATTCACTTCAACAATATCACCATCTTTTCGATAAGTTATAGAAACAGCATCATTCGAGAGGCTTCCTAAATAACTTTTCATCATTCACTTCAGTCTTGTAAACCGTTTGGCGCGAAACTTTTCAGACTGGTGTTACTTCCGAGTTTCTTCGCCGAAACGATGTCCTCATCTTCGAAAGCGGCATTCTAAGTTAAATTTTTGATTTCTTAAACAAAGTTTTTTTATTACTCGAATTCCTTTTGCAGAAACGGTGTCTTCGTCGGCGAGTGTGAAGCTATTCGATGGCCCATTTTTAGCACTATGCACAATTGGACGCTTTTTCGCTAAACCGCTCTGAATTCTCGCCATTCGTGATTTCTTTCTTGATGCTGGACGAGCTGAAATTGAATTGAGCTTTTTGAAAGTTTTTCTCGAAACTTTACGTGGAAATGTTTCTTCAATGGTGAACATTCTTGAGGGATCTAAATTTGAATATACTTTAGACTTTGAAGACTTTAGACTTTTGTAAACAAAACCTACCCCCTTTCTTAAAAGTCTCATCACTTTCTGGACCGATGTGTGAAAAAGAGCTCGTTGATTGCTGTAAAGAAGAAGAGGGTTTTTGAGGGTTTAAAGACTGAAAAAAACCTCTCGCCGAAGCGGTGGCAAACGGTGTTGAGATGGGCCCACCATTTCAACTCCATTGAGAATTGGACTCGCCGACGAGGGACCACCAGAGGAAACAGAGTTCGCTAAATTGGGAGAAATACTGACGGAAGCCGATGCTCTTATCATATCAGAAATATGAGATTTACCTTTTGTCGTTGATCCCTTCCAATGATTTCCCGCTTTTGAGCTTCGACTACCACTTCTCTACAAGGTTTTGTAGTAGATTTATTTAAAGCTTTGAAGGCTTTGAAGGCTTTCAAGCAAAGCTTTGCACGCTTTGAAAGCTTTCAATCAAAGCTTTGAAGGCTTTGGAGGCTTTGAATCAAAGCTTTGAAGGCTTTCAATCAAAGCTTTGAACGCTTTCAAGCAAAGCTTTGAACGCTTTGAATCGTAGATCAAAATAGGAACCGTATTGGAACCGTATTAGATCAAAGGATCAGAGGCACAAGGGACTCACTGACCACCCCAATCTTTCAATCAAACCTTTTAATCAAACCTTTTAATCAAAGCTTTCCATCAAATCTATCAATCAAAGCTTTCAATCAAATCTCTCCATCAAATCTTTAACCCACCAAAATCTCGTCTTTTACTGGCTCTTCTCGAAAAACGGAACTCAACTCGCTCATCTCTAGACTAAAATCGGAATTCATGCTCAGCTTGTTTCAAATCGATTTTGTCGAACAGGGAAAGTGATGCTAGACTGTTACTAGCTTGCAGGGTTTACTTAAAGCTAATCCAAGCTAGAACAAGCCTAAGCCTGTTAAGAACAGGTCTGTTGCAGCTCTAGCGCCCATTAGATATACCTCAATCCTATTCCCCAATTCCCCAATTCCCCAATCTCCCAAAACGTACGCATTCTGTTCCCCGTCGATCGAGTGCTCGATTGAGGCAGCGCCCATCGGGATTCCAGATGATGGACCGGGAAGTGGCTCCTGGAAGTTGAGCTTTCAAATAGCTTTTCGCTTAAGCTAACGATTGTGCGAATGATTGTGGATAAGCTGAGATTTTGTAGTTTCTACCTCATCCGTAGCAATCTCATCGGATCTCATGCGTGCCAATGGGAAGCGTTCCTCCGAATCGGGTGTCTTCGGGGTTCTCGGCTCGGATGGATTTGGGTAAACAGTCTAAAAGTGAAGGATTATTTGGGGAATTGGAAAAGATCGAACGGCTAACTGTCATCGTTTAAATGAAAATGAGGCTTAAATGAAGCCTAGATGAGGCCCAGATGAGGCCAAAATGAGGCCTAAATGAGGCCAAAGCCAGGCAGCCAAAATGAGGCCAAAACGAAGCCTAGATGAGGCTTAAATGAGACCAAAGCCAGGCAGCCAAAGCGAGGCCAAAGCCAGGCCAAAATGAGGCCAAAATGAGGCCAAAGCAAGGCCAAAATGAGGCCAAAGCCAGGCCAAAATGAGGCCAAAGCCAGGCAGCCAAAATGAGGCCAAAGTGAGGCCAAAGCAAGGCCAAAATAAGGCCAAAGCCAGGCCAAAATGAGGCCAAAGCCAGGCCAAAATGAGGCCAAGGCCAGGCAGCCAAAATGAGGCCAAAGTGAGGCTAAAGCAAGGCCAAAATAAGGCCAAAATGAGGCTTAATTGCCTAGATTTTTAAACGAGGCTATTGCTACAATAATGTAATCTAATTTGTTTCAAAAAAACCAAGTTCATTTTACAGAATTTCGAATCAAATCCGTTTTTAGGTTTTTGCGAGATATTTAATATAGAAAAATAGCTTGATTTTCGAGCTTCGAGCTCTTTAAAAGGCTGCTAAACGCTCCCCCAAACAACTACTTTAATAGTCTAGTGGATAAGCTTCTAGCCTATGAAACTCTCCGATCTTTCCACCAAAGTTCGAGTCGAACTCTTGTCTCTTCAAGAAATTCGGTGAGTCGAACTTGAGAACGAAAAAGCAACAATTTCGACAGTCTATCCACTAGACTATCGAAGCAGTTAGTAGAGAGTTTCTGGATGGTTGGCATCGAAGCAGTTGGCAGGGGAAACCTTATAAAGAGATCAAGACAGAGAAACAAGACAGGGACTAAGTTTGAAAAAACTCTGACCTCAACAATGTCATTTCGTCTCTCCATCTCAGTCATTGTTGTCGCTGGTCTTTCCATTTCTTCGACTTCTTCTCGACCTTCTTCAGCATTTCTTCTACATTGAGAATTTTTTAGAAACACTTTTACAGGAAAGGGAAATGCTTGAAAATGTGCTTTGTTAGCCAAATGATACCAGCTTTGTTGGCTTTGCATTTGTTCGCCAAATGACACCAGCCATTCGACGCAGAATTTCACGCTCATTCCGAATCTGTTTTCCCTTTTTGCTACAGAGCACTCTATCAAAAGTTATACGCCTTTTTTTATAGAAAAATCAATGCGCGACATTAAAACCTAAGCCTCAATGCGCGACATTAAAATCCTGTCTTCGGGAAGGCGAGGAGATGCCAGAGTGGCGGAGTGGCATAGGGGTAGAACAGAAGGCGAGATCTGGCTGGTTCGATCCCTTCTTTTTAGACTTTAGTCTCTTGTGTGTCACAGATTGGTTTAGCACACTTTCAAGGATTCGCAGCACATCCAGATCTTCTATTAGCACGAGCTAAGGGAAGATCTGGATGCTCAAAGACGCTAATCTTCTTGCTCAAAGCTAAGAAGTCTGAAGCTAGCCTTCTCCAAGCAGCTAAGCCTCTCCAAGAATCTCTCTCCAAGAAGCTCTCTCCAAGAAGCTCTCTCCAAGAAGCTCTCTCTAAGAAGCCCTCTCCAAGAAGCTCTCTCCAAGAATCTCTCTCCAAGAATCTCTCTCCAAGAAGCTCTCTCTAAGAAGCTCTCTCCAAGAAGCTCTCTCCAAGAAGCTCTCTCCAAGAAGCTCTCTCCAAGAATCTCTCTTCAAGAATCTCTCTCCAAGAATCTCTCTCCAAGAATCTCTCTCCAAGAAGCTCTCTCTAAGAAGCTCTCTCCAAGAATCTCTCTCCAAGAAGCTCTCTCTAAGAAGCTCCCTCCAAGAATCTCTCTCCAAGAAGCTCTCTCCAAGAATCTCTCTTCAAGAAGCCTTCCCCAAGAACCTATCTCCAAAACAACTCACTCCAATTCAGCTAAACGGATTCTCCGGCGAAGTCTTTCCTGTTCTTGGCGTTGTTTTAACTAAAAGAAAGCTTTCAATGATGAAAATTGAAAATGGCCACAAACCAAAGCCTCAGCCTCCAAAACTTTAGCATTTAAACGAACGTAGTCTTGAATAATCTGTAAAAGATTTTATAAAATGAATAGAAATCGAAAGAATAACCTGTCGAACCATTAGAACGAAGCCTTCCAACAGTGGATGCGGCTTTTTCACGTTGAAACGCGTCATCACCGGTTTAAAACCATTTTTCACTTTATCAAGCTAAAATTCCCTTTATCTACTTTATTCTTTATCTACTTTTATTTTCTAATTGACTTTAAAAAAGCACTAGCTTTTAGGTTTTAGTTAAAAAACTAACAAAACCGTCGTACTCGTCGAGATGGGTCACGTAGAAGTGTTGGTGGAAAGTGTGAGAGATTTGCTGAAGACCAACCTAGAAATGAAAGCTGAATGAATAGCTTTGGCTGTTTGTCTGTCTATCTGGCTGGCTGGCTGTCTAGCTATCTATCTATCTATCTATCTATCTATCTATCTAAGCCTAAGCCTAAGCCTCCTTGACTCCTCCTACCTCATTTGTAAATGTGTATTCATCGAAATCGAGAGAGTTGAAACGATTTAGAACAATTAGACAAGGCTTTCCACGAATGTCCGGCTCCGAGAGAAGCTTCTAAAGATCACAATGACATCACAAAGAAAAGACAACCGTTGCCTGAAAGTTCATTTAAAATATGATCAAAAAAAGCTGAAGTGCTGCTATGGGAGTCGAACTCGGCTCGTCTGGGTTGTAGACAACCGTTCTCCCCACTGCACCATGGCTACCATGAATCCAGCAATCAAAAAAAGCCAGTAAAAGTCGCGCGGTCATAAGTCGCAAGTCACAAGCAGGGTCTTGAGACGCGACCGCGAGTTTTCTGGCTTTTTTATCTAGCCGGTGGGTGGTCGTCGTGGCGCAGTCGGGAGCACGGTTGTCTACAGACCGGAGGCGGTTGGGCATACAGCTGGGTTCGATTCCCCGCAGTGGTGTTCACTTTTGTTTTTTAGCTATTTTAGTCAAATAAACAATTATATTGTATTTTGAGAGTTTTTAAGTTTAGCTGAAGGTTGAGGAACAGATGGACAAACGGGTAGACGGACAAACGGATGAACGGGTAGACGGACAAACGGACAAACGGGTAGACGGACAAACAGACAAATAGACAAACGGATAAACAGACAAACAGACAAACAGACAAACAGACAAGCAGACAAACAGACAAACAGATAAACGGACAGCTCTTTTATATAGATTGTTGTTCTATGAAATAAACCTGCATGACTCGAATGTTCTCGTTGATACGCGTCGATTTTGATGCGTCTAGCACATAGATGAAACCGTGGATCTGAATCTCGAATTGCTAATGCTTTCTATAGCTTTCTAATCCTTCTTCTTACATTCTTGACAAAGAATTCATTGAGACAGAAAGCTAAAAGGGTAGACTTTAAATCTAGCTATCGAGACTATCGTTTTAAATCGTTTACTTCAAACAATAGAAAGATTTTGATAGGTTTTTGATCGTTTTTGAGCGTTTTGATCGTTTTTGAGCGTTTTGATCGTTTTTTAAAGAATTTCAACGATTTTTGATCGATTTTGGTTAAAAATATGAAAGATTAGAGTTAAATATGAAAGATTAGAGTAGAATATGAAAGATTAGAGTAAAATAGGAAAGATTAGAGTTAAATAGGAAAGATTAGAGTTAAATAGGAAAGATTAGAGTAAAATATGAAAGATTAGAGTTAAATATGAAAGATTAGAGTAAAATTTGGTTAAACCTCAGCATAATAGTTCTGCCAAATGTCTCGGATTCGTTCATTTCCACCCAAGTCGTAGATTTTGATTTTAAACTCGTCATCGAAAGTCATCTCCATCAACGAGAAACCATTCGTTGAGAGCACATTTTGTGGGCTTTCTGTAAAGTGGAATTATTCTAATTGTTTGTTGTTGTTGTTGTTGATTTGTTGTTGATTTGTTTGTTGATTAGTTTGTTGATTAGTTTGTTCATTCGCTTATGCTTTGATTAAGCTTTGTTTAGGTTCTGTAACTCTTGTTCATTCTAGTTCTAGTGTTCTAGTTCTAGGATTTAAGGATGGCTAGGATTCTAGAGTGGCTAGGATTCTAGATGGCTAGGATTCTAGATGTCTAGGATTCTAGATGGCTAGGATCTAGATGGCTAGGATCTAGATGGCTAGGATCTAGATGGGTAGGATTCTAGATATCTAGGATTCTAGATGGCTAGGATTCTAGAGTGGCTAGGATTCTAGAGTGGCTAGGATTCTAGATGTCTAGGATTCTAGATGGCTAGGATTCTAGATGTCTAGGATTCTAGATGGCTAGGATCTAGATGGCTAGGATCTAGATGGCTAGGATCTAGATGGCTAGGATCTAGATGGCTAGGATTCTAGAGTGGCTAGGATTCTAGAATGTCTTTCCCGAAAATGTCTTCCCGGAAACGAAAGACTTCCGGTTCCGGGGGTAGTATGGTTGCAAAGCTGAAACTTAAAGGAATTGACGGAATCGCACCACCAGGGGTGGAGTCTGCGGCTTAATTTGACTCAACACGGGAAAACTCACCCAGCCCGGACACTGTAAGGATTGACAGACAACAGAATGGCTAGGATTCTAGATATCTAGGATTCTAGATGGGTAGGATTCTAGATGGGTAGGATTCTAGATATCTAGGATTCTAGATGGCTAGGATTCTAGATATCTAGGATTCTAGATGGGTAGGATTCTAGATATCTAGGATTCTAGATGGCTAGGATTCTAGATGGTTAGGATTCTAGATGGCTAGGATTCTAGATGGGTAGGATTCTAGATGGCTAGGATTCTAGAATCTCTAGAATCTCTAGAATCTCTAGAATGTCTAGAATGTCTAGAATGTCTAGAATGTCTAGAATCTCTAGAATGGCTAGGATGTCTAGAATCTCTAGAATGTCTAGATGTCTAAGACTCAAGGACTTCCGTATTCCCTCTATAGTAGCCGTTGAGCCGAGTTTTCGACTATTCAACGGTTTTGAAGTTCAAGCTCTCCCTCAGAAGATCTCATGGTTAGCTTTTGCAGAAGCTCAAGAGTCTAATCATCTAGATCTGAAGAGTGAAGCTTGCAGAAGCTCAAGAGTCTAATCCCTCAGAAGATCTCATCGTTAGCTACATTTTCTCTCACCCCACACCAATAGATTTTGATCAATAGATAAGGTTTTCGAGATTTCAACGAATTTAGACAACGCCAACTATTAGAGACTATATTTGTGATTTCTTTTCACTCACCTCCTCTCAAAATCTTCAAAGAACTCGTCTTTCCAGCACCGTCAATGCCAAAACAAGCTAGCACAATTTCTCTAGAATTAGTGATATTTAAATTTTGATTTGAATAGATTCTAGAAAAGGATTTAAATATTGTAAGCTTTTGAAAAACGATAGAAACTTAATCGTTATCTTCTTATCGATCTAAGCTTAACCGTTATCTTCTTATCGTTATCTTCTATTAAATTACCTTGAATTCTTCTGGTGGTCGTTGGGGCCACAACAGAAATTTCCCATTGAACATCGGAGTTAAAAGGATAGAGAATATAGAAAATAGAGTCTATAATCTAGCTGATAATCTAGCTGATAATATAGGTTATAATATAGGTTAGAATCTAGGTTATAATCTAGGTTATAATCTAGGTTAGAATCTAGCTGATAGTCTAGCTTATAATATAGGTTATAATCTACCGTATTTACTCTAATAAAAGCCCCCCCTCTAATAAACGCCCCCCCCTAGAGGGGTATCGAAAAAATAAACGCCCCCCCTCCAATAAACGCCCCCCCCCCAAGTACGAAAATTTACAAACTACATAGGAATAGCGACTTTTTTTTGATAATTTTTTGGTTTCTCTTTTAAACTTTCTAAGTAATCATTTTTACGTTTTGTTGATTTGCCGTATACTTTTGAAGTACCGCCCCCAAGTGTCCCCAAAAAGTTTCCCCAAAGTGTCCCCATATGGGAACTCTTTTTGATACTGAAATGCTTCGTTTTCTTTTTTTCTCTAGAGCTTTTTTAAAATTCTGTTACAGACGAAATTGTTTAAACTCTCCATATTAGATTTTCTCTTTGGGGACAGTTTGGGGAAACTTTTTGGGGACACTTGGGGGCGGTACTAAGATGAAACCGTTTGTTGTGTTACCACGAAAAAGAATGGATAAGAAAGTTGAAGAAAAGTTTCGCAAACGATTAATCCTTTATTGGAGTGGTAAAGAGCAAAAATGCTTCGATAACTCAATCACAACTGATTATTTGGAAAGGACCTTTCGGGGGATTGGGTTCTTTGACAAAAAGGAACGCTCTTTCCTAGTATGGGATCAACACACGGCCCATCGAAGCGAATCAACGATGAAATCTTTGACAAAACTAAAGCTAGACTGCTTTTTTGTACCTGGAGGCACGAATAAATTTGTTCAATGTGCAGATGTTTCCTGGAATGCTCCCTTTAAAAAATATATTCGACATCAATATGAAGATTGGATCCTATCAACGGCACCCGAATTGACGAAATCGAAAGCTGATGGATCTGGTGGTGGTAACCCCAAACCTCCTGCAATGGATGTTTATCTGGAATGGATTGCTTCGTCTTGGGAAAAACTATCTTCAGAAATGATTGCCGAGTCATTTAAAATCTGCGGAGTAGGAATTGATCAGGATGGAAAAGAAGATCATCTTATTCACTGCTTCCGCTCAGATGGCCCGATACCTTCCGGATTTAAAGCAATTCAGAGTGCCCGATTGGATAAGGAAATCGATAAAATTTTAGTCCCAAGCATCGAATCAGCAAATTTTCGTGAGCCTAGACAAGAGGCTGAATACGATTCTGATACATCAATTGCTTGAAATGCTGTTTTTCTTACATTCTTAGTTTCTGTTAATTTTTGTTGTTGAAATAAATAAATAATTCGATAAAAGTGACTTATGATCTCGAATGCTTTATTTGCACTACTATTTTTTTTATCGTTGAATCAACGTCAATTATGTGTCTAAGTACGCCTGCAGAGGGCCATCGAAAAATAAAAGCCCCCCCTCCAATAAACGCCCCCCTCTAATAAACGCCCCCCCTTGAGGGGTATCGAAAAAATAAACGCCCCGGGGCTTTTAATAGAGTAAATACGGTAGGTTATAATCTAGGTTATAGTCTAGGTTATAGTCTAGGTTATAGTCTAGGTTATAGTCTAGGTTATAATCTAGCTGATAATCTAGGTTGTAGTCTAGGTTATAGTCTAGGTTATAGTCTGTATAGCTTAGCTTAGCTTAGCCTTAGACTTGAAAACGAAAAGAAAACAAAGTAAACAAAGAAAACAAAGCAAAGAAAACAAAGTAAACAAAGAAAACAAAGCAAAGAAAACAAAGTAAACAAAGAAAACAAAGAAAACAAACAAAGCAAAGCAAAGCAAGCAAAGAAAAGCAAAGCAAGCAAAGAAAAGAAAGCTTTTAAAAGAAAAGCTCTCTAATATAGCTTCTCTAATATATTGAAGGATGAGAATCGAGATGGTGAAAGATTCGAGCAGATCCGATCACCATGACAACATCAACATTTCTCTCGTTGGAAAGCACCTTTTCGTTTACTCATTTCGCGTCTGCGTCTCTTTTAAATCGTTAAGGAAATCTTCTCACTCATTTTCACCATCTCGAATCTCACTAATTTTGACACCAATTTTCAATTAAAGTCAGTCAATTAGTGAAAAGAATCGTAGAAATTTGTAGAAACAAAATCTCGATTGGAAATCTTAGCATGATTGTTTCTTTTCATTCTTTTGAGTAAAGTTGGCCTTAGATTGGTTAGGCTTTAGGTTTAGCTTGGCTTGGCTGCATTAGCTTAGCTGCATTAGACTTGGCTTGGCTTAGGCTTAGGCTGCATTAGCTTGTCTGCTTGGCTCGGTTCAGGCTTACGCTTAAGCTGCATTAGCTTGTCTTCATTAGGTTTAACCTAGCTTTGGCTCTGCATTAGCTTGTCTTCATTGGGTTTAGCTTGGCTTTAGCTGCATTGGCTTGACTTGACTTTCACTGCATTAGACTTGGCTTGGCTTAGGCTCTGGCTTAGCCTGAGAATTTGGCTTTTAACTTAGGCTTGACTCTTGGGATTTAAAGTCCCAAGAGTCAAGCCAGGAGAGCTTGGCATTCGATTCCATAAAAATCAAGAACAGCCGACATTTGGCTTTGATTTTCATCAGACTGAATGATCGAATCAAGCAAAATTTGGTCTTATTTGAAAGCCTGGATTTTCCTTGTTAAAACGATAGAAAAAGTTTACAATAAGGTTGTTTGTAAGCAAAGTTATGGATCATCAAAGTTTGTGTAGTTAAAGGAAGGGGAAAGGGAGAAAGAAGGCGAGTTTTTGTTAACGGATGGGTTAAAAAGGTCTTTTCGAGGGGTGCAGGGAGGGTGTTGGTGGCCTAGTGGATAAGAGGCTAGACTGCCAGTCAAAGATGAGGGTTGAAAATGAGGGTTCAATTCCTCGTGGAGCTTTTTTCGCATTTGACAGATTCAGATCAGAATCAGATCAATTTCTGATCATTTTCAGATCAAAATTCAGATTCCAATGACAGAAATTCTACATTAATGATATGATATTATACCTATTATATGATTTTCTAATATACTTCAGATTCCGATCATTTATTTAATATTTCTGAATCTTTCATGAAAGAATATCAAATTTAGAGCAGAATTTCATTAAATCGTTTTCCTTTGCTTGAACATTTCCGTTTATTTCTACAGACAACAATGCCTCATAAATCAAATGCACGTATTGTTAACCATCGGTGAGATGAGTTGAAAAGGAAATTGACAGCATTGAGTCGTTTTATCGTATGACGCTTGAATGAGTTGCCCATTTTGGCGGAGATAACAGCAAGCAATGTTGCCGTTTCGTTGCTGCGGTGTGCCACAGCAGAATTGCGTAGCCGAGTTGTATTGCTGGAAAATGGGGTTTTTGAAGGTACTGTGGCTCGTTACAGGAATCCCTAGGCATCCCCAGGCATCCCTAGCCATCTCTAGGCATCCCTAGGCATCCCCAGGCATCCCTAGGCATCCCTAGGCATCTCTAGCCATCCCTAGCCATCTCTAGGCTTTCAAGAATTGCTTAAAGAAGTTAAAGAAGCTTAAAGTTAAAGAAGTGAAAAGAGCTTTTAGAAAAGTTGTTCTACGGCTTTTTTTTACCGAAAAATCTCCATCCGGCGATTCGCAACAACTGTCAAAGTCGCTCAGTTGAAAGACCTGAAAATTGAATGTAATGAATGCAAAGACGCTAAGCTAAAGAAAAGCTTTCACCGATTCTCCACAACACATTTGCGTTCGTCCTCCATCAAACGTTGTGGAGCCACAGCAAATGTCATTCGGTGAATTTGATCTAAAAAAAGACGACATTTCTCATTGCGTAACTTTGAGCTCAAATATCTTCGTGTTGGGTTATCCAATTGAAATCCTTTTAGTATCATTAGATTCGCCAAGTCTTTCTCTATCGATTAGTAGAAAAACTATTGAAATTGGACGGCTGAGCATCAAGAAATTTGAGCTTAAAGTGCTAATGGGAAAAGGGGCGGGGCCTGTATAAAAGCAGCCCATTTCTTTGCTATTGACTTAGGCTTAGGCTTTAGCTTAGCTTTGGCTCTGGGTTTGGCTCTGGTTTTAGCTTTGGCTTAGGTTTTAGCTTTGGCTTTGGCTTAGGTTTTAGCTTTGGCTTAGGCTTAGGCTTTGGCTTAGGCTTTAGCTTTGGCTTTAGCTTAGGCTAAAGCTTGCCATATCTCTTCTATTCTAAAGCTATCGAATAGTCCATTTCCTACCTGACCAGCGTCTCATTGCAGCATTTGAGATTTGGATCGCTTTTCGAGTAAACCACCGCCCCACAACAGTCACCACTGGCCACGTTGTGAACCTATAGGAATCTGTATTTGTTCTTTAGATTCATGACTAGTTCTAGTGCAGTCCAGTTCGGACAGCTCTGTCTAGCCCGGTTCTAGGTCTAGAATAGATTTTAAAATAGTTCAGTCAACTCCAGCCCAGTTTGCGCCAGCCCAGTTCGCCAGGTTGAAAGAACCGGAGCCTAGCGATGGCTGGATTGGGATGGGAAGGAGGAATCTAGCGCTAAGCCTAGACGAACTGCTCTCCAAGGATTTGCCGGAGCTTTCGCTAGAAACAAACTTGTTCTAGGTTTATTGGGTATTCGTAAACATTTCCCACCACTCCATCGCAACACGTTTGATCGTAGGCAAGTGTGCTCGTCCCACAGCACAACTCCGCGTAGCGACCATCCGGTGTTTGACGATAGCGAACAGCCTATGGAAATACATTACACGAATAAGTTACAAAAAATAAGCTAGCCCTGAATCTAGAGCTGATATATGGAAAAAAGAAGCAAATATCCAGCTGATGGGTTTGAACCCTTGACCTTTCGACTAAGAGACAGGGCACTTAGCCAGTCGGCCATAGGGGCTTGTTTGCCAGGGAGATTGAAGGGGTATTTGATCCCCCACCCCCTTTGCCATTGGCGATCCTCTGCCTCGCCTTTTTTCCCATTGGCAATCTAAATTTAAGCTCAAATTTCTTGATGCTCAGCCGTCCAATTTCAATAGTTTTTCTACTAATCGATAGAGAAAGACTTGGGGATTCTAATGATACCAAAAGGATTTAAATTGGACAAACCAACACCAAGAAAATTGAGCTCAAAGTTAGGCAACGGGAAAGGGACGACTTTTTCCCATTAGCACTTTAAGCTCAAATTTCTTGGTGTTCAGTTGTTCAACTTCAATAGTTTTTCTACTAATCGATAGAGAAAGACTTGGAGATTCTAATGATATTAAAAAGATTTCAATTGGATAATCAAACCCGAAGATATTTGAGCTTAAAGTTAGGCAACGAGAAAGTGACGACCTTTTCTCCTTAGCACTTTAAGCTCAAATTCCTTGGTGTGCAGCTGTCCAATTTCAATAGTTTTTCTACTAATCGATAGAGAAAGACTTGGCGAATCTAATGATACCAAAAATACTTCAATTGGACAAACCAACACCAAGAAAATTGAGCTCAAAGTTGCCAATGGGAAAAGAGGCGGATGGCGTATTAAATTTCTGATAATCTATGGTAGAAAATGCTGTTTTTAAGAATTCTCTTTCTTTTCTTAAGAAACGATTCTTTCTTTTTCGATTCCCTCACTCCATTGCAACAAATTTTCGTGAAAGCATTGTATGGTTGAAGGCCACAACACGCGACACCGAGAAGATCCTGAGCTCGGGTAAAGTTTTGGCATTCAGCGAGTTGAGCTTGCCCACCGCAACACGCTTGGATTTCTATAAAATTGAAGAAAGAGTTTAGCTAAATAGGTTAATTGAATGCTAAAAGCGAATTCTTAAGTTTCTTTAGCTTCAGCTTAGCTGAAGGCTTAGGCTTAGGCTTAGGCTTCAACTTCAGCTTCAGTTTCTTCAACTTCAACTTCAACTTCAGCTTCAGTTTCTTCAGCTTCAACTTCAACTTCAGCTTCAGTTTCTTCAGCTTCAGTTTCTTCAGCTTCAGTTTCTTCAGCTTCAGTTTCTTCAGCTTCAACTTCAGCTTCAGTTTCTTCAGCTTCAACTTCAACTTCAGCTTCAGTTTCTTCAGCTTCAGTTTCTTCAGCTTCAGTTTCTTCAGCTTCAACTTCAGCTTCAGTTTCTTCAGCTTCAACTTCAACTTCAGCTTCAGTTTCTTCAGCTTCAGTTTCTTCAGCTTCAACTTCAGCTTCAGTTTCTTCAGCTTCAACTTCAACTTCAGCTTCAGTTTCTTCAACTTCAACTTCAACTTCAGCTTCAGTTTCTTCAGCTTCAGCTTCAACTTCAGCTTCAGTTTCTTCAGCTTCAGTTTCTTCAGCTTCAGTTTCTTCAGCTTCAACTTCAGCTTCAGTTTCTTCAGCTTCAACTTCAACTTCAGCTTCAGTTTCTTCAGCTTCAACTTCAACTTCAGCTTCAGTTTCTTCAGCTTCAACTTCAACTTCAGCTTCAGTTTCTTCAGCTTCAACTTCAGCTTCAGTTTCTTCAGCTTCAACTTCAACTTCAGCTTCAGTTTCTTCAACTTCAACTTCAACTTCAGCTTCAGTTTCTTCAGCTTCAGCTTCAACTTCAACTTCAACTTCAACTTCAACTTCAGCTTCAGTTTGTTCAGCTTCAACTCCAGCTTTTTCTGTCACTTAATTATCCAAGGAATCAAGCCAAATTCTTACAACTATATCTATATTCGCCTAAATGAAAATATCAAAGATTCTTCTAATTTTCTCAAATTATTATACTCTCATTGCTTTGAAGGAGGACTGGTTCTCTTTTGGATCCCCTTTCCCAATTCTTTTCCCAATTCTTTTCCCAATCCTTAGCACCTTTCCAAGTTGAACCTGTCCGAAAAACGATTCAACAGACACCACACACCAATTATTCTTCAGAAAAGTTTGCCTTCATTCACTTCATTCACTTTTCATTTTTAAATCTTTCTTTTAAAGTTCTTTATTGATTTTTCTGCTTTAAAGTCGTTTTTTTACTTATTGCTTTGTCATGATTGGCTTTGACTTGCTTCTCTTGATTTGGAATGGTCTTAGAACCAAGACAAAGATCTAGACAAAGTTAGAGAATGATCTAGACAAAGTTAGACAAAGATCTAGACAAAATCCTACAACTTATAGTTACTTCTCTTGGTCTGGAATGATCTTAGAACCAAGACAATGATCTAGACAAAGTTCTGCTTCAAAAGCTATTGTCTAACAGTTCTTAAAGTCTTATAGTTCTTGATGTCTTACAGTTCTTGGTGTCTTACAGTTCTTAAAGTCTTCCAACTCACAGTTACTTCTCTTGATCTTGAATGAGCCTATCAAATGAAATCAATGAAATCAACTGAATGAAACAAATAGCTAGCAGCTAAGAGCTAAGAGCTAAGAGCTAACAATTAACTAACAGCTAACAAACAACCAGCTAACAACTAACAGCTAATAACTAACAACTAACTAACAGCTAACTAACAGCTAACAGCTAACAGCTAACGCTAACAGCTAACAGCTAACTAACAGCTAACAGCTAACTAACAGCTAACAGCTAACGCTAACAGCTAACAGCTAACAGCTAACAGCTAACAGCTAACAACTAACTAACAGCTAACAGCTAACTAACAGCTAACAACTAACAGCTAACAGCTAACAACTAACTAACAGCTAACGCTAACAACTAACAGCTAACAGCTAACAACTAACTAACAGCTAACGCTAACAGCTAACAGCTAACTAACAGCTAACAATTAACAACTAACAACTAACAACTAACAGCTAACAGCTAACAGCTAACAGCTAACAGCTAATTAGCAGCTAACAACTAACAACTAACAGCTAACGCTAACAGCTAACAGCTAACAGCTAACAATTAACAGCTAACAACTAATTAACAGCTAACAGCTAACAGCTAACAGCTAACAGCTAACAGCTAATTAACAGCTAACAACTAACAGCTAACAGCTAACTAACAACTAATCAAATCAGAGCTTCAACCAAAGCTTATTTCTTCAAAAAAACTAGAAACCCACGTAAATTCTGAGCATAAACAAGGGGAAGAAAGAAAGCGGCGATGACGGCAAGGAGGACACATTGAATGACATCATTTGATAACATTTGTCCCAACATTTGTCCAATCACAGATGAATCTAAAAAGTCCAAAATTGTTCTCCTTCAATCTTCAACAAATCTTACCATCTGTTTCTCGTTGTTCATCATGAAATTCGAGTATTTGTTGGACTTCCTCAAAGGATCTTTCCATCTCAATTTCATCGTCGTTTTCACAAACTTTTAAGTGAAAATTTGATTGATTAATCTAAAAATAAAGAAATTAAATCTCTTTTTCGGCTTTCTCTTCTACTTCCTTGCTTCCTTTCTACTTCCTTACTTCCTCTCTACTTCTACTTTGTTAATTGCTTAGTTTAAAAAAGAAACAAACCATTGGAGCTTCTTCTAACAAAAGCCTTGACACTCCATCATTCCACTCGATCGTTCTCTCATTTGTTTTTGTTGACGACGATTTTGTGAGCGTTGTTCTCGTAAATTCGAATTCATCCGTATTCTTTGATTGATTTTGCCCATTCTTTGATCTCCTTTTTGTCTTTATCACTTTCTCTTTGCCTCTTTTTAAATGATTCGAGTTGAGCTCGTCGACAGCTCGAGCATGATGGGCTGCGTGAAGTCTTCTAGAAGTTAGAAAGTCTTCTAGAATATAGAGTCTTCTAGAATATAGAAAGTTTTCTAGAATTTAGAAATTCTTCTAGAATATAGAAAGTTTTCTAGAAGATAGAAAGTTTTCTAGAATTTAGAAAGTCTTCTAGAATATAGAAAGTCGTCAAGCTTAAGCTAAAGCTAAGCTTTAAGCTAACTAGTAAGCTTTTAGCTTAATGTCCGGCTTAATGGCCAGCTTAATATCCGGATTAATGGCCAGCTTAATGGTCAGCTTAATGTCCGGCTTAATATCCGGCTTAATGGCCAGCTTAATGGTCAGCTTAATGTCCGGCTTAATATCCGGCTTAATGGCCAGCTTCATGGCCAGCTTAATGGCCAGCTTAATATCCGGCTTAATATCCGGCTTAATGGCCAGCTTAATGGTCAGCTTAATGTCCGGCTTAATATCCGGCTTAATGGCCAGCTTCATGGCCAGCTTAATGGCTAGCTCAATGTCCGGCTTAATGGCCAGCTTAATGGCCAGCTTAATGGTCAGCTTAATGTCCGGCTTAATATCCGGCTTAATGGCCAGCTTCATGGCCAGCTTAATGGCTAGCTCAATGTCCGGCTTAATGGCCAGCTTAATGGCCAGCTTAATGGTCAGCTTAATGTCCGGCTTAATATCCGGCTTAATGGCCAGCTTAATGGTCAGCTTAATATGATTCTAGTCAAGTTTTTCGGCTTAAACTAAACGCCTACCTACTCTTATCTAGCTTTGCTATAAAATTTTGGAGATTTGATACGCTGCCATTTACATTGGAAACTTTGAGCTCAAATTTCTTGGTGTTGGTTTGTTCAATTTAAATTCTTTTGGTATCATTAGAATCCCCAAGTCTTTCTCTATCGATTAGTAGAAAAACTATTGAAATTGGACAACTGAGCACCAAGAAATTTGAGCTTAAAGTTTGCTAATGGCAAAGGGTCGCGTCTCGTCCCTTTGCCAACTTTGAGCTCAAATTTCTTGGTGTTGGATTATCCAATTGAAATCTTTTTAATATCATTAGAATCTCCAAGTCTTTCTCTATCGATTAGTAGAAAAACTATTGAAGTTGGACAGCTTCAAACTTCGCAATCGCTATGAAAGCTGACTTGCAGCAATGCACTAATTGTTCTTGCTCTTTTTGCACTTTCTCCAAGTCCAAACCTGTGCAATTCCTGATGATCAGGTACATCGATCGGCGCTTCTTCCGTACTTAGAGGATCCTCCGGCACCAAAGCACTCAATGTCCCATTGATCTGATCCCTTTCAATGGTTCGTATGGCTGTCTCGCTTTCTGTTGGAGCGATTGTTTGTGCCTGTGCTCTAGTGCCTCTTGCTCTTTTCAATGCCATTTTCACTCTGAAAGGAAATGAAAAAGGAATTTGTCCGGTGAGTGCTTTGAAAAAGATCTAAAATTGATCTGAAATTGATCTGAAATCGAGCTAAAATCAATCTAAAATACAATATTTAAAAGATATGTTAGGTTAACAATTGGACAGAGTTAGAGATTAACAAAAAAGCTAAAGGAAAAGCTAAAGGACTAAGCTAAGCTATGCTAAGCTAAGCTATGCTAAGCTAAGCTAAGCCAGGACAGGAATCTGCTGGTTCAGCTCTTCAGCTCTTCAGAGGTCAGATCATCAAGCTCTTCAGATCATCCAAGCTCTTCAGATCATCAAGAAGATCAATAAGACAAAGGAAATCTCTTCAAACAAATATAGAATTATGAAAGCGGAAATGGGAGAATGAATTGAAAATATTAAAATCGACAGTTGAAAGGGGAGAGCCTCTATTTGAACAGCTTGAACAGCTTCTTTCCGCGCAATTCGTTTGTTCAATTTCACATCCACGAATCCAGAAGGCTACGGGAGAAATATAAAATTATATAAAACATGTGGCTTTGCTGAAAATCGTAGTACCAAGGATCAGGATCAAAGGAGAGCTTTGGTCTGGCTTACTCAGACTTCTAGACTAGCTCAATGACTAAGCTGTTCTACCGCTAGCTCAGCCTATTATTAGACTAGCCTTTTTGGCTTAGCTAGCTACAACTAGCTCTAATTCAGCCAAGCCAGGCTCGACCCTGGCTCGTCTTGGCCTCATCTAGAGGCCCTAGTATCACCTAGAGGCCCTAGTATCAACTAGAAGCCCTAGTCTCATCTAGAGGCCTTAGTCTCACCAAGCCCTAGCATCACCTAGAAGCTCTAGTCTCATCTAGAGGTCCTAGTCTCACCTAGAAGCCCTAGCATCACCTAGAGGCCCTATCCTCACCTAGAAACCCTAGTATCATCTAAAGGACCTAGCATCACCTTGCCCTAGTCTTACCTTCAAGCCCTAGTCTCACCTAGAAGCCCTAGACTCCATCTAGTGGCCCTAGCATCACCTGGAGGCCCTAGTCTCATCTAAAGGCCCTAGTCTCACCAAACCCTAGCAACACCTAGAGGCCCTAGTCTCACCTAGAGGTCCTAGTCTCACCTAGAGGTCCTAGTCTCACCTAGAGGCCCTAGTCTCACCTAGAGGTCCTAGTCTCACCTAGAGGCCCTAGCCTCACCAAGCCCTAACCTTACCAAGCCCTAGCCTAACCTTGTTCAACTTTAGTCTAACTTTCCTCAACACCTCATCAAGTTTTTGATTTTAGTACATAGTTTAGTTTAGTTTATAAACTATAAACTATAAACTATAAACTATAAACTGATTGCTCTCAGGCAATGATCGCTCAACTTTGGCGACGAGTTGATGAGCTCAAATTCGAGATGAACACAAGGAAGCGATTCAAAAGACAAATGCAAAGTGAGCTGTCGAAAGAACTGTCATTGATATAGTATCATTGATTTGTTTAGATCTCGTCCTTCTAGATTCCCCCCTTTTTTTACTTTCAGCTTGCTGCGTCGGTTTACCAGGTCCACCGGGTGAATCGGGACAAGATGGCATCGATGGTGATGATGGGAGTCCGGGTAAATGAATGAAAAAAACTGAAAAACAAGATTCGATTATATTAGTATCAAAGACGTAGTTATATTCTAGTAGCTACAGTAAGCTAGCAGCTACAGTAAGCTAGCAGCTACAGTAAGCTAGCAGCTACAGTAAGCTAGTAGCTACAGTAAGCTAGTAGCTACAGTAAGCTAAAGAAGACAAGAGTTTCATTTTATAGAATAAAATCTAGGATCCGACGGTTCACCAGGTCGTCCAGCTGAAGGAGATCCGAGAACGACATGCGAGCGCCCGTGTCCTCAAGGAGAGCCCGGGTTTGAGCAATTCACTTCTATAGGCAGCTTGAGGGGTTTTATTTAAGAGATTTTAAAGATAATAGAGGTTTTAGAGGTTTTAGAGGTTTTAGATAGATTTTTGAGGTTTTGGATAGACTTTAGAGATTCTAGATAGACTTTTAGAGATTCTAGATAGATTTTTGAGGCTTTAGATAGGTTTTAGAGATTGTAGATAGGCTTTTAGAGATTCTAGATAGACTTTTAGAGATTCTAGATAGACTTTAGAGATTCTAGATAGACTTTTAGAGATTCTAGATAGACTTTTAGAGATTGTAGATAGGTTTTAGAGATTGTAGATAGACTTTTAGAGATTCTAGATGGGTTTTAGAGATTGTAGATAGGTTTTAGAGATTGTAGATAGACTTTTAGAGATTCTAGATGGGTTTTAGAGATTGTAGATAGGTTTTAGAGATTGTAGATAGACTTTTAGAGATTGTAGATAGACTTTTAGAGATTCTAGATGGGTTTTAGAGATTGTAGATAGGTTTTAGAGATTGTAGATAGACTTTTAGAGATTGTAGATAGACTTTTAGAGATTCTAGATGGGTTTTAGAGATTGTAGATAGGTTTTAGAGATTGTAGATAGGTTTTAGAGATTGTAGATAGGCTTTTAGAGATTCTAGATAGACTTTTAGAGATTCTAGATAGATTTTTGAGGCTTTAGATAGGTTTTAGAGATTGTAGATAGACTTTTAGAGCTTGTAGATAGACTTTTAGAGATTGTAGATAGGTTTTAGAGATTCTAGATAGGTTTTAGAGATTCTAGATAGGTTTTAGAGATTCTAGTTAGACTTTAGAGATTCTAGGTAGATTTTAGAGACCCAGGGCCAGAGGGTCCACGAGGAGCACGAGGCCGCAAGGGATATGAGGGAAAACCAGGTCGACCCTCTCCACCAAGTCCACAAGGAGAACCAGGACGATCCGGGCCTAAAGGATTCCAGGGTAAGGATCTAGATCTTTGTCTAGAACAATATTTATTCATTTCAGGCCCACTAGGAGCTCGTGGAGAACCAGGAGAACCGGGAAAGGTTTTGTTAAGTTTATTGATTGGAAAAGACGTTAGATTGTGTTCTAGGATTCTAGGATTCTAGGATTCTAGGATTCGGATTCTTCTAGGATTTCAAAGATTCTCTCAGCTTCTCTAGCTTCTCTAAATAGCTTTCTATATAGCTTTCTATTTAGAATATCATTTTTTAAAGTAAAATCTAGATTTATGAAATGTCTGGTCCTCCAGGGAAAGACGGAGCTGTTGGTTTGCGGGGACAACCAGGAGAAAAGGGAACGCCAGGGAAAAACGGGATACCTGGTAGGGGAATTATGGATATAAAGCGATAGTCGATAGATTTCTCTACTTACAGCACACTTTTCAGGTTCACCAGGTCAACCAGGTGATCAGGGTCAAGACGGGAATCGAGGAGTGCAAGGGAAACGCGGTTTACTCGGAGAAAGAGGTTTATTTCAAAGGATTTCAATGAAAAACTCGTACTTTTAGGTATTTTATTTAAAATCTATTTAAAATCACTTAAAGATTAGCCAATTTTAGAGCAAAATTTGTAGAATTTATTGTTTAAAATCGGCTTGATTAGTTATGGATTCAAAATTTCAAAATTCTAAATCCTTAACTTTAAATCTCGACTTTTAAAGAACTTTAATATCTTCTAAACAACTTCAAGATCTTCTAGACAACTTCTAGATCTTCTAGACAACTTCTAGACAATGTAAAGATCTTCTAGACAACTTCTAGATCTTCTAGACAACTTCTAGACAATGTAAAGATCTTCTAGACAACTTCAAGATCTTCTAGACAGCTTCAAGATCTTCTAAACAACTTCAAGATCTTCTAGACAACTTCTAGATCTTCTAGACAACTTCTAGATCTTCTAGACAACTTCTAGATCTTCTAGACAACTTCTAGATCTTCTAGACAACTTAAAGATCTTCTAGACAACTTCAAGATCTTCTAGACAACTTCAAGATCTTCTAGACAACTTCAAGATCTTCTAGACAACTTTAATATCTTTTTAAACATTAAAAAATGATTACAATATCTTTAGAGATTGTTGAATCAAGAGATCAAGAGATAAATGCATTTGTTTTTAGGTCCAAAAGGTCCACCAGGACATCCGTGGCCTTGTTCTGAATGTCCTCCACCTGTCACAGCTCCTGGCTACTATGAAACTGGTTTTAAAGAGAATGAGGATCGTAAAAAGAAAAAGAAAAAGAAAAGAATGTTTGTATAAATTGTTTTTTGAAGAGATTTTGATGTATTGGATGTTACAGAAAGCAGGGATTGTTTAGGATGGATTAGGATGGATTAGACTGGATTAGACTGGATTAGACTAGCTTAGACTAGCTTAGACTGGCCTAGAATGGCTTCAACTGGTTTAGGATGGCTTAGACTGGTTTAGACTGGCTTAGGATGGCTTAGACTGGCTTAGACTGGCCTAGAATGGCTTCAACTGGTTTAGGATGGCTTAGACTGGCTTAGACTGGCTTAGACTGGATTAGACTAGCTTAGACTGGCCTAGAATGGCTTCAACTGGTTTAGGATGGCTTAGACTGGCTTAGACTGGCTTAGACTGGATTAGACTAGCTTAGACTGGCCTAGAATGGCTTCAACTGGTTTAGGATGGCTTAGACTGGCTTAGACTGGATTAGACTAGCTTAGACTGGCCTAGAATGGCTTCAACTGGTTTAGGATGGCTTAGACTGGCTTAGACTGGCTTAGACTGGATTAGACTAGCTTAGACTGGCCTAGAATGGCTTCAACTGGTTTAGGATGGCTTAGACTGGCTTAGACTGGCTTAGACTGGATTAGACTAGCTTAGACTGGCCTAGAATGGCTTCAACTGGTTTAGGATGGCTTAGACTGGCTTAGACTAGCTTAGACTGGCCTAGAATGGCTTCAACTGGTTTAGGATGGCTTAGACTGGCTTAGACTAGCTTAGACTGGCCTAGAATGGCTTCAACTGGTTTAGGATGGCTTAGACTGGCTTAGACTAGCTTAGACTGGCTTAGACTGGCTTAGACTGGCTTAGACTGGCCTAGAATGGCTTCAACTGGTTTAGGATGGCTTAGGCTGGCTTAGAATGGCTTAGACTGGTTTAGAATGGCTTAGTTCTTTTTGTTTCAGTTGCAAGTCTCAAATTCTCTCGCTCTTTCTGTTTCGCTACTTTCTTTCAAAACTCTCCAGCGTCCTGTGAGTGTGTTTACGTTTCCAAAGCACAAAGAACAAAGCCAAATCTATTATGGAGTTGGTTTTGATCCAATTGTAAACCAGTGAAGGCTTAGAAGTACGACAAGTTCAAGCTTGGATTTAGGACTTTTGCTGAAAGTGTGGACTTGGGTCTGGCTTTGCATTTTGCAATGAAGTTCGATTCTTAAACATCGACTTGAGCTTTTGCTTGAGCTGAGCTTGAGCTTGAGCTTGAGCCTGGTACCAGGTTCTGTAGTAGAACAAGCCAGCCAATACTAAAATCATTTCAAGCCTGTAAAAAAACCAGGCTAGTTGAGAAAGAAAGAAAGAAAGAAAGAAAGAAAGAAAGAAAGCTTCTATCTGAAAGACGAAACTCTCGCAGTTCTTTCTTTTAGTTTAAAACCCCTTCTAAACTCCTTAAAACCTTTCTCAAGAGTGATTTGTTGGGTTCAAAGGAAAAGCCCCAGTACCTGTTCCATTTTGAGTTCTCTTAGAATTTTTTGGAAAAAAGAAAACAATTACGTCAACACTTTGAAGACTTTTCAAGGAAATTGTCATTTTTCCTTTTTTTTCTTCGTTCTCATTCATTTCAAAAAACCATTCAAACATTGAGCTGTTTAATCCTGTGCCTTATGCTCGCAGAAACACACCAATTCTAGCGCACTGAGTACTTTAATCTAGATAGAAGCTTTAGTTTAGATTGCTTAATTGGATTGACTGGAGTCTAGAAGGCTTGAAGGCTGAAGGCTTGAAGGCTTGGAGGCTTGAAGTCTAGAAGTCTAGAAGTCTAGAAGTCTGGTAGTGTAGAAGTCTGGTAGTCTAGAAGTCTGGTAGTCTAGAAGTCTGGTAGTCTAGAAGTCTAGAAATCTAGAAGTCTGGTAGTCTAGAAGTCTAGAAATCTAGAAGTCTGGTAGTCTAGAAGTCTAGAAATCTAGAAGTCTGGTAGTCTAGAAGTCTAGAAATCTAGAAGTCTGGTAGTCTAGAAGTCTAGAAATCTAGAAGTCTGGTAGTCTAGAAGTCTAGAAATCTAGAAGTCTGGTAGTCTAGAAGTCTAGAAATCTAGAAGTCTGGTAGTCTAGAAGTCTAGAAATCTAGAAGTCTGGTAGTCTAGAAGTCTAGAAATCTAGAAGTCTGGTAGTCTAGAAGTCTAGAAATCTAGAAGTCTGGTAGTCTAGAAGTCTAGAAATCTAGAAGTCTGGTAGTCTAGAAGTCTAGAAATCTAGAAGTCTGGTAGTCTAGAAGTCTAGAAATCTAGAAGTCTGGTAGTCTAGAAGTCTAGAAATCTAGAAGTCTGGTAGTCTAGAAGTCTAGAAATCTAGAAGTCTGGTAGTCTAGAAGTCTGGTAGTCTAGAAGTCTAGAAATCTAGAAGTCTGGTAGTCTAGAAGTCTAGAAATCTAGAAGTCTGGTAGTCTAGAAGTCTAGAAATCTAGAAGTCCAGAAAGCCAGAAATCCAGAAATCCAGAAATCCAGAAGTCCAGAAATCCAGAAATCCAGAAATCCAGAAATCCAGAAATCCAGAAATCCAGAAATCCAGAAATCCAGAAAGCCAGAAATCCAGAAATCCAGAAATCCAGAAGTCCAGAAATCCAGAAATCCAGAAATCCAGAAGTCTAGAAGTCTAGAAATCCATTATTCATAGACTTGCCTATTCTAAAGATGCAAAACTCGAGTTCCTACATCTTGCTTCTTTGGGATTAGCTGGATAGCATTGAACAGATTGCGATTGAAGAGATCCTAGCACCCTAGCTTCCTTTTCCCTACCAATAGAGACGCAGACTGTGCAAATAGAGTGCGGTTCGAGTGAGTGGATTCCCTCACAACTGACCCTTCTCTCTTCGTCTTTCCCCTCTTAAATCTCTTTACTGACAGCCTTTAGCTGTTCCTCTTTCCATTCTCACCCCTTTGTCCACCTCTACCTCTTTCCAGCTCTACCTTTTCCCGCCTCTACCTTTTCCCACCTCTACCCTTTTCCAGCTCTACCTCTTTCCATTTCATTCACCTATTCGATGGCTCTAGTTATGTTTTGTCTAGTTTTCTAGTTTTGTCTTTTTTTTCAGTTTTGATATACTTAAATAATGAATAGCTAAATTTAAGCTCAAAAAAATTAACGCTAATCGGCTTTACTAAAAGATTAACGCTTTGTGGCACGCTTTGTGGCACACTGCTCTAGATTTGGCAATCGGTTTCATTACCAGAAAGCTCTCGCTATAAGTAAATGATGATGTTATAGTAAAAAACATGATGTTATAAAGATCCAGAAAGATCCAGAAAGATTTTCAAATCCAAAACGAGTTTCTGGACTCCGGGGTAGTCTTGGCAACGAAAAAGAGAAACGATTCTCGTGGTTTAGTCGAAAAAGAGAGAATTCTTTCGTGAAAAGCCTCCTTATTTTACTAAAGCTGTTCCTGTTTTTCATATATAAAAAACTAATACTCTAAATAATAATATGACATCCAACTAAGAAGAAACCAAAATTTCATCAAAATCTGTTTACTCAGAAAAGAGTTAATAGGAGGGACAGGTTCGAGACCATTTCTTCCTAAACTAAAAACAAAAGAATTAAAAATCTGATTAATGCTAATTTTTACATGATATCCAACTAAGAAACAGCCAAAGTTTCATGAAGATCTGTTTACTCAAAAAAGAGTTAATAGGGGGGACAGGTTCGAGATCATCTCTGACAAAACTAAAAACAAAAGAATTCAAAATCTAATCAATGTCAATTTTTATATGACATCCAACTAAGAAACAGTCAAAGTTTCATTAAAATTTGATTACTCAAAAAAGAGTTAATAGGAGGGACAGGTTCGAGACCATTTCTTCCTAAACTAAAAACAAAAGAATTCAAAATCTGATTAATGCTAATTTTTACATGATATCCAACTAAGAAACAGCCAAAGTTTCATGAAGATCTGTTTACTCAAAAAAGAGTTAATAGGGGGGACAGGTTCGAGATCATTTCTGACAAAACTAAAAACAAAAGAATTCAAAATCTGATTAATGCTAATTTTTACATGATATCCAACTAAGAAACAGCCAAAGTTTCATGAAGATCTGTTTACTCAAAAAAGAGTTAATAGGAGGGACAGGTTCGAGATCATTTCTGACAAAACTAAAAACAAAAGAATTAAAAATCTGATTAATGCTAATTTTTACATGATATCCAACTAAGAAACAGTCAAAGTTTCATTAAAATCTGTTTACGTGAAAAAAAGTTAGAGGGAACAGATTCCGGGCTATTTGGTCCAAAATTCACATGGTAAAGTTTCACATGGAAGAAATGGTCTCGAATCTGTTCACCCTATTAACTTTCTTCTGAGTGAATAGATTTTAATGAAACTTGGGCTATTTCTTAGTTGGATGTCATATAAAAATTGGAATTGATTAGATTTTGACTTTCTTTGTTTTTAGTTTTGTCAGAAATGGTCTCGAACCTGTCCCCCCTATTAACTCTTTTTTGAGTAGACAGATTTTAATGAAACTTTGGCTATTACTTAGTTGGATGTCATATAAAAATTGGTATTGATTAGATTTTGAATTCTTTTGTTTTTGGTTTTGAACCGAATAGCCCGGAACCTGTCCCCCCTATTAACTCTTTTCTGAGTAATCAGATTTTAATGAAACTTGGGCTATTACTTAGTTGGATGTCATATAAAAATTGGAATTGATTAGATTTTGACTTTCTTTGTTTTTGGTTTGGGAAGAAATGGTCTCGAACCTGTTCCCTCTATTAACTCTTTTTTGAGTAATCAGATTTTGATGAAACTTTGGCTATTACTTAGTTGGATGTCATATAAAAATTGGTATTGATTAGATTTTGAATTCTTTTGTTTTTAGTTTTGAACCGAATAGCCCGGAACCTGTCCCCCCTATTAACTCTTTTCTGAGTAATCAGATTTTAATGAAACTTTGGCTGTTTCTTAGTTGGATAGCACACAAAAATTGGAATTGATTAGATTTTGACTTTCTTTGTTTTTAGTTTTGTCAGAAATGGTCTCGAACCTGTCCCCCCTATTAACTCTTTTTTGAGTAGACAGATT